ATTTTGTCTAACAGCAGGACAACTTCTTGAGGCTTCAAAAAGTATATACTTAGTGGGGTATCCTTGGGGCCAGCAAAACACCAAAATCCACACATTGCAGGAGGAAGTAGACTATGTAAGGCAGGTGCCTAATATTACTGGAACTGAGTAAGGAGTTGGTGGAATAAGGGCCAGGTGACAGGATAACTGACCCCAAGATGTATGGAGACCCTGAAAGGACATACATCTGCATTGAAAATGATTGTCTGTGACACTCTTATTTTTTGGCGTTTTCACTGTCTGGTATTTTTGCTGCAAAATTTCCTGTAGTGTGAAATCGTGCTTTTACTTTGAAATTTGAAAGTTCAAACTTCTACCAATAAATTTTAAGTTACAGAACTGAATGAAAATAGTTAAAAGAACAGTTGGTGTAAGCTTTAGCACACCTGAAAAGACACTAGCACTTGCCTTTTTGTATGTGTTCTTTTCACTATAAATCTTGCAACATCAGTCGTATAAGTGTCTAACCATCTGTCAGAGGGTGGTTACAGCTAGCTTGTTGCAGCCTGTTCATAGCTATTGTAAGGAGTCTCTGCTAGCCCCCTTGGTGAACTAGTCATATACACAGGGGTAGAATCTGCTTTTTTTCTTCAGCACATTGTCACATTTTTCCAAAGATTATTATTTCATGACTGTATGCTCTGACCTTTCAAGTGTTTCTATTCTGTAACTGTTAAGATGGCCCATGGTCTGATTGTGAGCTACCATAATTTTGCCAGTTGTCAGTCAGAAACTCACATAATTTTGTCCCAGAGTTTTGTTTGTTTGTTTGAGTTGAGTTGAGCTGAGCTTAGTTGGACTGATTTGAGGTTGATTTGAGCTGAGCTTTGTTGAGCTGAGTTGAGTTGCTATGAGCTAAGCTTAGTTAAGATGAGTTGCGCTGAGTTGAGTTGAGTTAAGTGGGATGAGTTGAACTGAGCTTAGTTGAACTGATTTGAGGTTTATCTGACATGAGCTAAATTGAGCTGATTTGAGTTGATCTCAGCTAAGTTAAATTAAACTGAGCTTAGCTGAGTTGAGCTGAGTTGGGTTGAGTTGTGTTGAGTTGAGTTGAGTTGAGTTGAGTTGAGTTGAGTTGAGTTGAGTTGGGTTGAGCCATGCTTTGTGGGTGTGCCCTGAGCTGAGAACACAGCCCTGTAATCCAGGCACCAACGGAGGATGTCCTCAAGTTGGGGAACCTAATCTGTCCCAGCAGGAATCCAAGCAGCTCTGTAAGTGTATGAATAGAGATAAAATCTCTATAATGAGGCCTGTTTTGTGCCATCAAAGTCTTCAAAAGGGTCTGAAACCTGACCTCCCTCCTAGCACTGACAATCCCTCAGTAATAGCTCCCTATTATTAATTGTTTTGCCGGCTTGCTGAGTCCATGTTCCCATCTTCCTCTCTCTTGCTTTAGGATTTCAGCTGCTAACACATGACCTTCTCCCTGTTTGTTACTTGTCAATTAGTTGGTGTTTTAGTTTCTTCTCTAAAATTAAAGTCCTTAAGATAAACAACAGTCTACATATTTTATCCTTGGCTGCACAGAGGCAGAGCACTCATGCAGGAAAATCACCTTAAAAATATTATTCATGTTCGGTAAATTTAAATAATTTCAGCTATTATGCAATCTATCCCCCTGACAGATACTTGTTGCTGCATAAGTAGTGGCACAGGTGTGCTTGGCATGACTGAGCTGCGTGTGCTGTGGTTGACTGACAAACATCCGGACGTGGTAAAAAGAACTGACCAGACCACCCCAACCCAGCCCCACTGACAACACGGCCGTTTGCATATCCTGCTTCGTGACCATTGTCTATTGTGAGCGGCAGTATGATAAGTGGGTCGTCTATCTGATGCCGTGGAGAGTTCTGAGAGATCCAGCCTTACAGTTCTTCACAGGAAAGCAAGCGAAGATCCAAATGACTGATACTGTTTGATGAAAAAAATGTGACTTGTCAGGGGTGATTTAACATCTGCACACAGCTAATCGGAGAGATCAGCAGTACAGAACAGAGGACACAGACAGGATGAGGGTGGTCAGGACGGGAGAAGCACTTTTCCCCATTTTACGCCACAAATCTTTGCTGACTCAGTGTTTCTTTAGTCTACATAAAAGTATGGCAGCTTTCTGTGGATATTGACATCAATTTTGCTTCAAAAGGCAGAAGAATACATCCCACTCTAAGGCTATTTAATTGAGACATATATATACCATGACACATTCTGAGACATTTTAACAGATGCACTTAATGACTGCATCTAAAATGCTTGTTTGAGGGAATCCTGTAAGCTGTGTGAGTCATAGCATCCAGTAAACTCACTCTCATCTCAGCTGGTAATGGACTTTAATGGATGTAAAGTGAATAATCTGATGACTAATATTTTATATTTAGTGTTTGTATCAGTAATTAAGAAGTTTCCTGTAGATGGTAAAAAAACGAATAATGTTCAGTAAGTCTTTGCTCATGACCAAAACTGTAGTTTGAGAAAGAAAGTTCAACAAAGTTTCAAACTCAGCTGATATATGACGTCTCAGATGTCACATAAGTGGAGGCAGCCTTTAAAAGGAAGTTTCTAAAGAAGCATTTTTTTCCACATGGTGACAGGTCACTAATGCCCTGTAAGTGATGCAGAGAAACACACAAGACACACACACACACACACATGCCAAAAGCATTTACCACCACAAGCACCTCAGAGAGAAGTATCTCCATCAAAAACATCCCTCTCTCCATCTGTTAAACAAATAGGGAGCCCCTACAAAGGTGTGCAAAAGAATCCTCATGATCAAAGTGTATGCGAATGGCAGCCTTGTCCTGGCCTGGCCATTATCAGGCCTCATGAATGCCTGTCTTCTCCTCTTTTGTCGGCTGGGGCATTGACAGTCACTCACCCGGCAATGACTGTCACACCAGCGCAAAGAGCCAGCCGCCGACAGGGGCCAACCACATCAAACGAGGCTGTCAAGGGGCCCCGCTCGTGAACCGTGGCAACAAACACCTCCTGATCCTCACCTACAGCTCAGCAGCAGACACCCACCGCTGTGCTCTCAGCCACTGCCTCCACTGAGAAAAGATGTACTGCCTGGACCTCATTTCCCTCTCTGTCCCCCTTGTCAAGTAATGCTTGTGTTAACCTCAAGCCTGCCGAAACAAAAAAGAGCCGCTAGAGTGTTTAAGAATGCTTTATAGATGCATGACAAGGAGAGGTTAAGGCTGCTGGGGGTCAGAGAGTATAAAGGAGTTGAATGGGATACATTTAGTTTTTACTATCAATTTAGGGCTGAGTCATAGGCAGGTTTTTCTGTGAGAAGCTTTAAATCAAAAGTCAACCAAGACAAAAAAGCCATTTTAACAGACCTTGATAGGTACTGAGGTAAAGTAAGCATGAGTGTAAGTTGAATGTGTATTTGAGCAGTTTCAGGTTGAATGGAAACCCATGAAGCCTCATACACTGGGTGTTTTTTCATCCTCTTTTTTTGAATGATCTCAAGTTTTCTAATGCAACAGCCATATCAAAGTGATGTACAGTTTTTTTTAAACATTGTAAACACACACACATATTAAAATCTGGTAAATTTTTATGGTACCTCTTACACACACAAAGCTGAAAAAATGTTGAATGCAACATTGCAATTACTTAACATGACAGTTGAGAGACTTGAATTAAGAAGTAATGTTTATTTAGAGACCAATTAAATATTATTAACCATAAACAGAAAAAAAGGCTTGTTCATGATAACCACTGTGCCAGTGACTTTTAAGTTTGAACATCAAATGCTCATTAACATCCTCGCTAAAACAACATAAATCCCAATATAAGATATATGCCTTTACAATTATAGGACACGTTTTCACCTTGGTCTTTGGTTTGACCTCTTGTTTTATTTGATTTAATGTGGTGAGACTGCCACCTGTTGGCCAAAATTATTCCAGCATCCATTTTGATATTCTATGATACCATATGCAAACGTTTCAGTTTCAGCTGTTTAATGTTATTTGGATAGTAACTAAAACTTGTTTTGCAATCACACCTTACCTTTTAGTTTCTTTAACTGTGCCTTAGATCCACCCCACATACAAGAAACACATTCCTTTCAGTCATAACCAGTTTATGGAGACTTTAAAGAGAAACAAAAAAAGAAATAGCTCATTCCCAAACATTATCTGTGTTTCTGTCAGGAAAAAAAAACAAAAAAACAATTACAAACAGGGCATCCTCATACACCAACCAGTCATAATAAACCAAACAATGGTGTACTTGGAGTGGTACACATTTGGTGTACACTACTGAGGTGCCTTCAGTGGACTTGACTGAAAAGGTGCTTTCTAGATGCCTTTTTCTGTAGATATAACATATAAAAGTGCCCTCTGAATGCACTGCCATTTGATGCCATGTGTAAAAGTGCCCCCAAGAAGTCTTTCCAGTGATTATATTGGAAAAAAAGGGCCTTAAGGTGGCCGTATGGTACATATTTTATAACAAATGTGCACTCTGGAAATCTTTTCATATGCATATTACATAAAAAAGTCTCCCCTGGATGCCCTTGCATTATATGAATTGCAAAACAGTGGCCTCTGGATGCACTCGCAACTCCTTCAGTAAAATTAAGGTTAAAAAAGTGCCCTCTGAATGACCTTCCAACAAATCAAATGTGTTACAAGGCATTTTTGGTGATTTAGTCTTATTATACAGTCAACACTGTTTAAGAGCCAAGTTTTCAGACTTTTCATATCGATAGTTCCTTCAATTATTTGATTTACTGTAGCCTATTATTACATTTACTTACTCACTTTTAAAATGGCCATTTTATAAATAACAACCAATAAATAACTCAATGCAGGACGAAACCTTTCTCTTTTGATTATGTATCGATAATTTTGTGGTTTTCTTTTAAATTTCCAACTTTAAACGTCTAACTCGATTTATCTGCGATCTCCTATCAATGTCTTCAAATACGACGTACGCGTCTTTCCACTACCTTTGTCTTATTTAAGATGGCGGCCTAGTGCTCAGTAGTAACGCGGTTATGGATTATTACATGTCAACATGTCACTTCTCAGAGTCTGTGCCTTCGCTAAATGTCTAAACCGTCGCAGTTTATTTGAAAAGTGTGCTTTTCGCGGGTCTCTCCCGGACTATTGTCAGCTGTGTGTGTCATTAAGAAACGGTGCGGTCAGAAGGATATCAGGTGAGCTGAAGGAGACTGTCTCTGATCAACACAATAATAAGCATGTGCAGTGACTCAGAGGTGCACAAGTTCCAACAGTTTGGCTTAACACATGTGCTAAATGTGTCGCTGATGCCAACATGGACATAAGTTGTGTTGTATGTCGGGTAATTGAGAGAACACACCGGGTTTGTTATTGAGTGTAGTCTTGAGATGTTGTGTTTAAGGACACACGTGTTATGGTTAACGGGGTTCACCGCTGTCCGATCACTCTGTCCTCGTCAATAAACAGTATAAAATAATCTTTAACCCCTCTGTTTAGCCAGTTTTAGCCATACTGTATGGTATATTAGCTCAGATACGACATGAATGAACCTCAAGTTTGTCATTTTGGAGTATTTGTCAACCTAAAGTTTATGCCAAAGTCTCCCACGTTTACAGTTTTGAATATTGTCCTGTTGGTTTGGTGAGAATGTTAAATTCTTAATCTGCAAATCGCTGGGATATCTGAAAACTTCTTTTTCCCTCTCCAGAAACTCCTCTGCGTTTTCAGAGAAGCAATGTTTCAGCCGTCAGACCAAAGACAGAGGATGGAAAGAAACGTGTGCTGGAACAGAATCAGCTCTTAGACGGTATGTTATTGAAGACAAGCTTCTGCATTTGTGAGCTCCATGAAACACAATTTTCACACTACTTTTCTCACATATTTACAATCTATTCTTCCAGCCGAAACTGTTTTGTTTACTATTAACAAAGCAGTCCAACAACGTTTCTAATGCAGCAAGGGGGCTAGTTGTTTGGAGCACTTAGTGGACGAAAATATGAAACAGCAACATACACACAGCAGCTGTGATGACCAATCTAAAAAATAAGATAAAAAACCTGCACTTAATTTACAGTATTACATGAGATTTTGACTGGTGAATAAAGTAGCTGGATAACACCATGAAAGGATCAGTCTTTCTAACAGGCAGGTAAGCAGGTGACACTGAACAAGGATCGTAAAGAATGAGTGGAAAATGTCCGACATAAATCAAAAGATTTGTGCCTTTCTGGAAATCTGCTAATTCAGTGGTTCTCAAGTCCAGTCCTTGAGGCCCACTGTCCTGCATGTTTTGGATGTTTCCCTGCTCCAACACACCTGATTCAAATGATCAGCTCGTTATTAAGCCATTACAGAGCTTGATAACGAGCTGATCATTTCAATCAGGTGTGTTGGAGCAGGGAAACATCCAAAACATGCAGGACTGGGGGGCTTGAGGACTGGACTTGAGAACCACTGTGTTAGTTAGTTAGTTAGTTAGTTAGTTAGTTAGTTAGTTAGTTAGTTAGTTAGTTAGTTAGTTAGTTAGTTAGTTAGTTAGTTAGTTAGTTAGTTAGTTAGTTAGTTAGTTAGTTAGTTAGTTAGTTAGTTAGTTAGTTAGTTAGTTAGTTAGTTAGTTAGTTAGTTTATTCCAACAGGTTAAAAGAAAAACAAAAATAAATACAATATACAATGTGCTTTGGCAGAAAAAAAATTTTAAGAAACAGCTGTGTAGCAATTGTTGTGCTACTGTAATTTAATCAGTCAGAGCATGTGAAGGAATAACAGCACAGAAGAAATCAAATACTGTATATCAGAAAAAAAGGCACATTGACCATTGTTATAAATTCATGTTTCTGTTTCTCTCTTATATCCACTCAGAATGTGGCTTATAAAAATAAATTGAAATTGCTTAGCAATCTGCAGGTTTTCATTTCTTTGCTGCAGCTGTTCCACAGATTTACTCTTTTGACTGATATACAGTGCATTTTTGTGTTGGTGCGTACAGGTTGTTTTTTAAAAAATGCATATTCCCCTGAGATTATGTTTGTTTTCTCTTATTTGAAACAACTTTTGGATGCCCTGTGGTATCTGATTCTGATTTGCTTTGTGCATGATCTGAACTGTTTTGAGGTTGACCAAATCCTTGAACTTTAGTGCCTTCAGTTTGATGAAGTGTGAGTTTGATGGTTCTCTGTAGGTACTTTTATTTACTATTTTTATTGCTATTTTTTGGAGTTTGTATATTGTTTCTGTGTTTGTTTTGTATGTGTTCCCCCACACTTCCACACGGTAGGTGATGTATGGGAGAATGAATGAACAGTACAAAGCGTATTGCGATGACTGGTTTAGAAGATATTTGACTTTATGTAGTATTGCATTTGCTGGTTATGAAGTGGATTTTGGTCTTTTGTTGAAGGCTCCAAAGATATACTCGTTTTCATGAAATGGATGAGATTAAACTGATTGATCTGGAAGAACATCATGTTGCAGAATTTTATATGTTAAAACATTTTAACTTTTTTAATGCATCAGTCAATCAATCAGTCTTTATTTGTGTCACATTTTTCATACAAAAACGATACAGCACAAAGTGCTTTACATAGCAGAGGAATAATAGAAACAAAGAATACCCTGAAATAAATAGCTCAATAAAAGATTATCCTGTCACTTAAACTAGAAGAGATAAAGATTAATGATATTAAATTTAGTTAAAAACACGACTTAAAAGGTACGTTTTAAATTTACTTTTAAAATCATTATGCTTTTGTGCTCCTTATATGTTGATGTGGTTTGTGTTTTGTTACAACTCAGTTAGAAAAGTCTGTGTTCCGTCTATTTTGCAATTGCATCTTGTCATCTTTTTTGTGGGTGTTTTACTCCAGTAATAAAAAAGACTGGTCACAAAATGTGTTGGCTAATATTAGCTTTCTTTCCGATTCTTTCTCTCTGGCAGTGCTCGAGGCAAGGATCCACCAACTCCAAGCTGACGTCATTCTCGATGTCCAACGTACAAAGGTGCAGTTTGTTAAAGCCCCCTTCTCTGGAAAAGGTGGTCCATCTGGTAAGGGCCCCAAAGGTGGCCCACAAGAGAAAACAGACATTACAAAATCAGGACAGACTGGTTCTAAGGTGGGTCCTAAATCTCAGCCCACTCGGTGGATGGAAAAACTGTCTGAGGAGAAAAAAATTAAACTTAAGAAGCAGCAGAACGTACTAAATGGAATCAAAGCGAAACCTGCAGCCAAATCCAAGGGCAGAAAAAGCAGCTCAATGCTCCCTGGAACGTCACATAAGACAATTTCTATCACAGCTAAAAAGACTGTGCCCGTGATTAAGGAGGGCAGGAGTAGCAAGAAGCTGGCTGATGAGATTCGCGATGCAGTTACCTCCACTGCTTCTCCTGTTACAGCAGTAACTACAGCAGTGTCACATAAAGCATCAAAATCTAAACAGAAGAAGATGAAAAAACACTCAATCAATGAAGAGGGCCAGAAACAAACTGCTACTGATGCAGAGAGTATTGCCAAAGAAATGGCTGAGGTGGAGGAGCTGGAGAGGCGGCTTAATCAACAAGCAGGACAGTCAGTATATTCAAGGGAGGAAGAACCTCAACAAAAGGACACCGTGAGAGCTGGGGACCTCCAGACGAGCATCCACTCCTACCTCGAGGCGTGTGTGTTTGTTGGGGAGATTGAAAGGGCTCATCGTTTCCTGCTCAGCCAACACAGAGTGAGGAGTCGGCGCAAACTTCTAAACACAGGCATCTACAACATCATGATGAAAGTGTGGGCCAAGAAGGTGAGTCCAGTAAACTTGGAAAGTGTTTTAAAATGGAGGCCAAAATCTTCATTGGGATCGGGGCTGTTAATTGGGACAATCAACCTACGTTTTGTTTATATTTGTTTGCTCTCAATCTAAATGCAAAACTGTGAAACTCTCTGAAACTCTTATAATTATATACTGTTATAATCACATTTAAAACCAGAGATACTTGTACACAATTATGGGATGCAAGGGTTGTTAGGGGGAGCTAACCTCCAGGAGGTCAGGCCGCTGGTTAATGCTATAGTATAGGAGCTGGTCTTCCAAGCTAGTGTTTTGGTATATTTGCCAAAGCTGGTTAACAAACAATACATTTCTTCTTCCCCATTTTTAGAATTGTAAAAACACAACGTATTAAATATTGGAAGTGAAAATTTGTATAATTTAACAACCATCTGTAAATGCTCATTTCCACTTTGATGCCAGCATGTTTCAAAAAAGTTGTGTCAAGGACTGCAAAAGTCTGAAAAAGCAACAGAACGTCAAAAATTTTTTGGAAAACAACCTGAATCTAATGAATAAATGTTTGGAATTTTAATTTCATTCATAACTTGTCTGACCATCAAAGCAGTTAACTTAGCGTTTAAACATATTTTGGTCCACCCTAGCCATGGGGATGGACTAAGAGTGAGTTGACATGAAACAAAAACAACAAAACTGAACAAAAACCAGCACATTGATTGTGTGTAAAGTTATCTCAGCTGTTGGCAGCTTTGTCTGACTTGTGTCTGTATGACTTAGAAACTGCCATATAAAGCCACATCCCTTGTATTAGTGAGCCGAATTGATGGGCACATTTTTTTTAGCTCAGTTGTCCCTTGTTTCCCTGGTAACAATAAACATTTGTGGAATAAACAGTGTTGTGTTTGTGTGGAGCCAAACCTTAATTGTCCTCCGCTGTCTTTCTCACTGTTTATAGGGTACATTAAATCAGATTGGGCGCATGTTTATCCTGTTAGAGGAAGCTGGTCTGAAGCCAGATCTGGGATCCTACGGTTCCGCCCTGGAATGTATGGGCCGCGATCCCAGTTTATCCCAACGGACTGTCAAAAGGTAAGGGTGCACAATTAACACGTATGTTCTCATTCACGCACATAGGACCTGGCAACCGGGTGCTGGTAAGACTCATCTAAGCTCTTGATTTTCAATTTGCAATGATTTGCATATTTCTAAAATGATTGAACAGACATTTATACTTTTTGCTTTGTTTGACCTTATTTTGAACATAAGGGTTTGAACTGTAAGACAAAGGGTCAAATATTTAAATTTTTAAGAAAGGAAGATGCAATACACAGATTGACCAGCAGGGGTCACAATATGCTAAGGCTTTCTTCTTTTTTTGCTGTTTTATTTCAGAAGTAGCAAAGTTTGTCTTCAAGCATCTGTTATCCCTGTGATTTAAGCTCTGGTACTGGTGAATGGTCTACACATAAAGTAACAGCTACTGTGTCTGTTTTTATTGCATTTGGCAGCTTTTGTGTGACCGCTCCTAGACCTGACAGCTGCTTTAAAACTAAACTAAGCACAACGGACTGACCAATGAGCACAGAGTTTGCAAGAACACCAGCAGTGCTTTGAAATGAAAAGGGTCCAAGAGCTTCACCCTGTGTGTAATTCAAATAAATCTGTCTCTGTGTATTTTGATACAGCAGGTTAAATAAGTATTGAGCACGTCACCAAATTTCTGTTAATGTCGGTAACAACCAATGCAAAGAAATCAAACCTTAGTTTTCCATAAATTATGTGTAAAAATGGAATTATTATTATTATTATTATTATTATTATTATTATTATTATTATTATTATTATTATTATTATTATTATTATTATTATTATTATAACTTTAGCAAAGAAGGAGGCCATCATAAATGCAGGAGTGCAGTTTGTGTTGTTGGTTGAGAGACCAACTATAGAGTCTACAACCTAATATTTAGAGTTCCTTTGATGGAGGGCTGAGTTATGTTGATAAAGCCCCCCTCCTGTGTTATAACAAATGGAACATACTTTAAACTGAACAATTATAAATTAAAATTTAGTAGTTCTTAATTATCATTAAGATTTTTGCATATTTTAATGCATATTTTCTATAACCTGGTTGGGCATTAACTGTAATAAGTTAATCCTAAGCTGTTAGTCTTGAGTACCATTATTAGAGTAGCCTCACAGTGAGTTATGACATGATATTAAACTCATGCAGTTTACACCTAATGAGCCCAGAGCTTCCACAGTAGACTCTTGGTAGCCAAGTTTATCTGTTTGATAGCTGCCAATACCATTAGCTGACATGCTGCCCAGGCAGGGAAGGCTCTCTTTAGTTTATTTCCAACATTACTCTGGAGTCTTATAACATCAAAAACTGTAAGGCACCTGTTCTGTTTCCAAAAATAAAGGACATTGATGATCTATAACTTACAGACTTTTTTGTTGACACTCTTGTCAATGTTTGCATCATCATCTAACAGCCAGTGTTGGTTTGGCGGTTACATTTACCGATCATTTGGCACATTGTCAGCCAGCTGTGAAAATGATGATAAATTATGTAAACTGGAGTAGAGTGGGAACTTTGAGCTTGACAAGCTGCTCTTCCAGAAACAGGCCCACTGTGAACTGGGCTACAGCTAATTTGTAATCACACCCGAGTAAAAATAGCCCTCTCTTTGCACATGTTTGTGCATTGGATCGAGACGTTATAGGTCCCCTGTGTCACCGCCAGCATGATTGTATGTTGAAAAGCTTCATCAGCCTCAGTCACGTTGATCACTTGTGCAGTCAGAGAGACAATGATATCACCCTATACAGCTCGGTCCAATAGCAGGGCAGGTGGCAGGGCAGGGCATCGAGTTGGTCCATCGATCACTGTAAGCTGATGCTTCTATGACATTGTTGTACTGAAGTGGTGTACTCATACTTATCCTCTGACCAGGCAGCCTTTCTCCTCTCTTATGAACATTTTATACATTTTTTTATTGTCATGTTCTTTAATTATCTGCGTTGTCAACCTCTGTATTACTGTCAGCTTGCTGCACTTCTCTTGAATCACACTTGCCTCTAAAGTATCTCATCTTTGCCCTCACTGTACCAATCTGTTCCCCTCTCCTCTCTCTCCTAAACACACTCACACACACGCATACACACACTCTCACTTACACACACACTCATCCCTTCCAAGTTTTCCCTTTTGTAAGTGCTCTGTCCTCCAGAGCTCTTTGCTCCCTAGGGTGCAGCAGAGCAGTCACCAGGCTGATTATGCTCTATCTTTCAACCTCTCTGCTCTCTTTGTTCCTTTCGACCACACTGGCAGCACCCAGATTAATCCCTTCTTTGTTCAAGGCTCCCTCATGTACTTATACCAAATTGCACATTGCATCACGAGAGACTCCAAGACACAAGACGAGCGAAAATACTAATAAAATATGACCTCTTTGGCTTGCTCAAGAATAATTTCCAAACATTTTACACCATTTTAAACTTCAGATATATGACAAAAGGCTTTCCTCCTTCAATGAATCACAGTGCAGACCCCCGCTCTCTTCAGATTACAGTAAGTCAGAGGAAGCTGCTGAAGCAAAGTTTCCTCCAGATGGTGATTAGTGTGCAGTTATTTTTAATTGCCATCGGGTATAAGTGTGTAAGGTGGAGCAGCGCTCTCATCCTCAGTGCGTTATGACAAAAGGGGTTCCCTCCTCTCTATCCTTTGTTTTAGTAGTACTCTTATTAACCTCTAGAGGGCAGTATAACAAAACATTCTCCTGGCCCTCTCATGTTTGTTCTGTGAAGACTTCAACCCTCATAATGTTCACTGAACTAACTAGATTATGTTGCTCTAGACGTGCAAAATAAAACGTTGCCACACACAGAAATAATGCAAAGTGTCCTCTGTAAGCCAGTTGAACGGAGTACATAAATTAGACAAAACTGACTGGATATTAATTAAACAAAACTTAGACGAAGAATAGCAACATTCATGACTAACTTTAGCACAAACTTTAATTAAACTTTTTATCCATTTAAGCCCCAAGTCCATTATCTAAGAACGATACAAGTCTGCAAGGCCAAAAAAGAAATTAAATCTCAAGCCTCCTTGGATATCATTTATCAAAATGAGTGATGGCATTATCGTGTTATTACGCCTCTTCTTTGTATTCAGAGAATGAACACACATACGCATTATCTGCATCCTGCAGTCTACTCATGGACACTCTCCTCTCTCGCTCCTCCTCCCGCTCCCTCTGTCAAATACCCCCCCTCCTTCTGAAATCTCTAGGAGATTCTATTTAAGTAAACATTTCACTGGTGTCATCAGAGCTCATCTGCCTTTGGATAAAACTCATACTTTGTGTCTGGCAGAAAGGGCTGTTGATGCAAATGCTTGAATTAATATTCAGCCGCTGTCATTCAGGGAAGGAGAGACATATACAATGACCCACAGACGGGGGAGTTGTTTTTTAAAATGAATTAATCAGGAGCCCAGACATTCATATGATTATCTTAGTCCCATTCCCACATCAGCATGCAGGTCAAAGGGTTGTAAACTCTGAACTTGTGATCAGCTTCTGGAGGCTGTTCCATCTATAATCTCTGACGTGAATGAAAATCAACTTTTAATGTGAGCGTGTGGCTAAATCTGAACAACCCTAAGTTTATCATTATAAGTAACAAGTTTTTTGATGATTCTGGTACCTTATTCTATTTTAGTCTTTACAGGAAAATATATGATGTGTCCATATGTAAGTATGATAATTGTTGAGTCCTCATGTATCCTTAGGACTCCACAGATAAAGCAGAAATAATTTGTCTTCCCCTTGTGTCTGTGTGTGTCCAGGTGCCTGAACCAGATGATGGAGGACGGCCTGACGGTGGACGATGTGTTTAGCAAGTGTGTTTTCCATCAAGATGAGAGAGACATGGTGCTCAAGGCAGTGCACCTCGTTCAGCCAGACTATCAGCCAAATCTTCACAACACTGCCAACGAGTGCTACCCTCCTCTGGTTATTGACTACTACACACAGGTATCACAAACTACATTTGATTTTTGGTTGAAAAAAAAAATGCAATCGCCTCATTTTGACCCATAAAGTAGTCATTTTATTTAATCTTCTACACGCAAGTTAAATATCAATATTGGCAGTACAATAATGAATCACCACCCAGCAGTTTCAAATGAAATGAGAATTCTTGGAGAATTTTGGACTAGCCCCTAAATTGTAACACAGCCATGATTAGCAGAAAAATATCATTGGACCTACCAGTGAACCCTGTGGAACACCCAAATCATTGTGTTAAAGTGATACTGCATCCTTTGTTTGTTTTGCAAATGTTTTTGTTGTTGTAATCATTTTTTTACTTTGTTTCTTTAAGGAAGGTTAAACTGAATCAATAGAGGAGTATTAGTCCAAACTTTAATGGGTGTAAAAGAGTGGTGCATTATAACCGTGTTAGCTTCATAAAAGTTATTTTCTCAAGCCTTAGTCTTGTATGTTGTGAGAGTCAAAGCACCAGAGAACTTGTAAAGCTGACAGGAGGCTTCAGCGTGACTACCAAAGGTTTGATTGTCATCCCTTCACAGCCAGAAAAGCACTAGCCTATTTATAGTGAGCCAATTCTGCTCACCTCTCACCTCTCCATCCCTCCTGATTCTCACATGATTCATTCACAGCTTCTCATATAATTGCAGTATTTGTTAGCACAAATCATAACACCATATTAACTCAGGTCTACATCTGTAAGTATTTCGAGTCATCTTTCTTATTCTTTAAGTGTTTGTAAGAAAGTTTTGATCAGCAGGTCATATAACGGAGCACATGTTGATGTGATAGGCCACATAGCCAGATGAAGCAGCTGAAACGGCAAGTTACGACTGTTATCTTACTTTTTGGTTAATTTTCTGTCCAATTAGTTATCTGACTCTTACTGTGACTTTTTTGGTGGGTTGATTTAACGACTGAAAGGCTGAATAAATAACTGGTCCACTAGATAACAGAGGGGCATACTGATGGTCTCCGGAGATGTTTGAGTCAATTTCAGCAGCAGACACAGATTTGAATTAGAATAGTGTTTGTTGGGGTGAGATGGCATTTTGATGAGGTTGATGCTTGTCCAAATTCAGTTTGATCTAGTTTCAAATCATCATCAGAGATTTTTTTTTTAGTATCCTCTTTTTTTTTTTTCTTTCTGGCATCTTGCCTCTATGTGTTTCCATTTCATGAAAAAAGAAAAAAAAAGAAAAGAAAATGCAAAGTTGCGTAGTTGTCCTTTGTAAGCTCTTCTGGGTGTTGGAGAAGTCTTGTTTACCTTTCCAATGAATGTATTACTTTGGCAAAAGAAACTTTTCCAGAAACTCAAAGGCAGCACCTATCTCTTACATAATATTGCAGCACACTGTCTTCATAGCGTGCTGCTTTCTCTGTCGACTAGAATTGTGCCAGCACATTTTTTACCTGCTATCAGCTGACTCCATCCTGTTTTTTTAATTAGGTATTAAGTTTTTGGCTCATTTATTGTCCTACTCCTGAATATTGTAGGGGGGCTGCCTGTCGAGCAATTTATGTGCAAAACTACCTCAAGGTTTGCTCCAGCTGCTGTCTATGCTTTGTGCCCCTTCAATTTCCTTGGCAAGTTCTTAAACAACAATTGGTTGAATTATTATTTTTTGGGCAAATTTCTCTTTGTCTGAAAAATGTGTTCCCTCTTTAGTCAGCTTGTCGGTGCAAACCCCTTTGATCTGAAGGGATATAAGAGGACAGGCAACAAAACAGAGAGCAAAAAGGACTCATCGCATCGACTACAATGTAATCCAGGACAGTCATATGGTGTAGACTGAGTGTAAATTTATGCTTCTGAACAGATGTCTGCATGCTAACAGTCAGCTCTTGGACATTTTTTTTCTCAACTTTAACTTTATCTCACTTCACAAGTTCTTAGTCAGAGTGCCAGATATGAGAGAGTTTCACAAAAATAGGGAGTCAATTCCAAAACTAGCTACACCCCGAAAGAATAATCTGCTGCTCTCAGAGTTAAAATCCTTGTGATTGCCAGTGGGTTGAAGGATTGCTGGTCCAACAACCTGCCAGTCTATTCAGTTAAATCTTGAAAACAGTGAAAGTCAGAGTGATGAACTCTTTGTTTGTATCATGGCAGAAGTTAAACAGACTGACATTCTGTCTTGGCCTCCAATCAATGTGTTTAAAAGGTCGTCTGAACTTCTTGCCTCTCAGAAAAAAATCATATTGTGAACTAGCAATGTCTGGCTATCATGATTACACTAAGGACGATCCAAGGTTAATGTCTACTGTCCTTGCTTTCTTTAAAGTCTAAGCACAGGGCAAGATCTGTGTGTTAACTTGTCTTTGTTTCTGTCTTTCTCATTGTTGTGCTTGTGTATGTTGTTGTAGAGGGCAGACCACCATTACCCCAAATTGGACTTCACTCAGGAGGAGCTTCAGGAGCGTTTCAAACAGCAGCTTCAGATTGAACAGGCCTGTACTATCACCATCGACTCTGTGGAGGGGTGCAAGCCTGTTACCAAACGCATCACAAAAATGGTAAAGAAACTTAAATGCTGCCTTTCTTTATCTTAGTTGTAGTCACTAACTGTGAATTGGCACATGTAACTGTGATGGGTTTTTAAATGTCCTGTTGCCAAGTTCATTTGTTAGTTTGAGTATATTTTATGAGTTAACAGAAAAGGAAAACGGAAGACTTATCAAAAAAATAGTCCCCAGAGATACAACATATGGCATTTGAAACTCCAATTAACCTTGTTGCCCACTGTTGAGACACAAACAGCTTGTTATGTGTTAGAAGAACATTATGTATTGTCTCTTTAAACTGCAAAAATATCTGCAGATTTCATTACAAAAAAAAAAAAGGTTTCTAGCAGATGAATAGATTCAGACTGATTCAGACACTATCTCCCGTTGATGATGATCAATAATAATTCCATATTTAAAACAGATTTATAATCTGTAACTGTCAGAGACCCATGACCCTATGAGTTTAGTTTCTCTTTTCGCTGGGTAATATGTTTGAAATGATATAAATGAAGGTCTGACAGGCCAGAGAAGGAAACATATTCCTGCGGTGTGCCTTCTTTCTAACTCTGGCATTTACAGTCCAGCCTGGCTCGTCTGCCTCTGCAGATGGGCTACGTGGGAAGCGAGCAGGCTGAGAGTCCCTGGTGGTCAGGAAGCATTTACAGACAGACAGGGCAGAATAATAATGTATTGTAATAGAGGCCTCTGGAGAGAATGTAGAGTCACCTCTCCATCCACAAAGCAGACTGTGTCTCAGCTTCAGCCACACCGAGTGAAACTCCTCAACTGAGAAGTGAACATTAGCTCATACAGTTGTGAAGAGAATATCCATAATAAGACAAAAATGCAAATCTATCTGCTTATTTTCTTTTCATATTGATAACCACTGATTGTTTATTGCTCATATAAGTATGATAAGAGATTAGATATTGTCATGGCAACATGTCATCATTCAATTCTGAATTGTGCAGTAGACTTATTGCATTGTTGGCACAAATGATCAATACTTTTAAATTAGAAATTGTATAGCACTTTAAACACATTTACCCTTCATTTTGAGTTATCCTTTCACTACTCATGGCTTCTCAAAGTGATGCTGATGGAATTAATCCTCATGACGTATTTTCTAAATTGCAACTGTTATTGTTATCCTTGGCAGTGGATGGTGTACATAGTACTTTAAACACTAGCATAACAACCTGGCATAACAAGATACCATTCCATATGGTATGTTATTATGCCAGGTTGTATAGTATCATATCATGATGCATCATGTTTTATTGGATCATTTCCTATTCATTATTGTATTGCTGCGTATTCTACTGTATTGTACAGGATTGTATCATAATGTACCCTATCATAAAGTATCATGTTGTATCATATAGGGCTGGGCGATATGGCCGCAAATCAATATCACAATATATTGAGCAGGTCACCTCAATAACGGTAAATGGACGATAACTACTCCACAATCTGCTCACCCCCTCCCAAATTAACTTCGCCTGCTTCATCCGCTGCTCCAGCTGCTACAACTTTTGAACCGTCCTTCATCTCCTCACCTGTCTTCCCCTCTGTGTTATGGACTGGATGGGGTGGAGTCATGTCTCTGACGTAGGACAGCGTCTTAAAGGGACATGAGACCATAGCCTACCTACACACATCCAAAACCAACTTTTATTGATTTATTTTTTTGACACCAAATATTCTGATATGGGCAAAACGACCTTTGTTATTGTTGTAAATTTCGGTATTTGTAAATTTTCGGTTTATCGCCCAGCCCTAGTATCGTATCATATCCTATTTCGTATTGTATACTACCCTACCAGATCTTACTGTGTCATTTGGATCAGTTGGTATCGTATTGTATTGTAACCCAGCATATCGTATCATATTCTACCAAAATGTATGATATCATATCCTATTCTATTCTATTTCCTATCCTACTCTACTGTATCATACAGTATTGCATTGTATGGTATGGTATAGTATTGACATTTAATCAATAGGTCTAGATGTATTGCATTTTCCTTCCTTTTTTTGGTTCTAGATTTATATGTCTTTGATCCAGTGATATTACTCTAGGCTGGATGGTCTTTACTCTGTTTGTCATGGACATAACTGAGATGAACAAGCCAAACCACGAAATAGAATGCTGGCTCATGTTGCACAATGCACATGTCCAGTGATATCTATAGCCTCACATTTCAACTGCTAATAACTTTCCATTGTGTCCATGTTTTTTGGAGTAAACAGGACATTCTGCTGTGTATTTCCTATTTATTTCACACAATCTTGGAGGGTTTTCCCCTCGGCATACACAGCCGTGAAATGAATCACTGCCAGCTTTGTTGTCCTTTCAGAGGGAGCTGCTGGCAGATCAGCGGGCACAGTGGCAGAAGATCCTCCCCCAGGCCTTTAGGGAGAGCAAGATGATCCTGACTAAGACCCACATCAGGAACTACAAGCTTAACCTTTATCCTTACCTCTGTCTGCTGGAGGACTGGGAGTATGTTGACATAATGATACAGGTAATACAAAACATCTGAGTCAGCTACTGCTCGAGGAAACACTGAGAGACCATGATTTAATAAAGACTTTTCAGTGACTTTGACAAACAGATTTGACTGACAGCATTTTTACTAAGACATTACAAGACATGTGCAGTGATGTCACTCTTCTGCTACTTAGTATTCAAGGCGCTGTTGTTGTTTTGCAACACAACCCAGCCAATCTTGACAAACCACAACACACACATCAAGCAGCTGACAGTGACAGTAGCTGCAAGAGAAAATCAGGTTTTTTGTCTTTGGCAGCAAAGAAAATCATACTTTGATCAGATATCTCATGAACCCAGCACAGACAAATATACAGGATGTGATGTTAACTCTGAGGAGACCTTTCTCACTTTGATTTCCCCTTTGACTGAAGGATTGCTTTGTATTAAACTTAAACAGGTCTGCCAAGAGATCTGCTGTTTGTTACAGAGTGTTCATTTCTGTCTGATTGTTTTTGACCCCCTCCAACAATGTCTTGCTCTCGTCCAGAGTATCATGAACATGCCTTCCAGCGGAGAATCTCTCAAGATTTTAGCCAGAGATCTGGGACACAGGGTCTACACCAAGTATTCAGTGCGGCAGAAGAACAAAAATCAGATTGAGGAGAAGTTGGGCAACATTTACAGCGAATACACAGACCTCCTGGCCAAAGATAGCAAGGTACTGGGATCATCATCAACTCTGGTACCTTTTTATGTTTACTGTAAGGTGCATCTATGTCCTTGTTAATGTAGCATTTTTTTATATTCTAGAGATTTTAACGATGGATTTCTTCATTTTGTCCTCAGAGTCTGTATCGCTTGCTCCGTGTTCAGATCTATTTTTAAATGGATCTATGCAAATGTCATCAAGACTATAATGAGCAAGAGCTCGTTAAACTTTTGTGGCTAGTTATACTAGAAGTTAGTGAAGGTGCTTGTATAATGCTTTTATTTTACATGCAGCCCTTTGTAGTGCAACCGATGCTACGTTTTTTTTTTTTTTTTCTATTTATGACACAAATCATGCTGCTTTATACTTGTCAAAGGTTCCAGGAAGATTCTTAGCTTTAGGTTATTGAGCTTTCAGTTAATGTTAATGCATCCGTGCATCTATACAGTATCCTCCCTCACTTAGAGCTGAAATGACCCATTTAATGGGAAAAAGGCAGGCAAAGGTATGTACACACTTACGGAAAGAAGCTTAGTATAATGGGATCTATCTTTTTCCAGACAGAAGTGGAGTATTGTCCAGCTTGTGTCCAAGGATTAGTGTATTGCCCATGTCATCATGCTATAGAAAAAAAAAGAGTTTTCACATCTTCTTGGTACAATTTGTTTGTATGTGTGCATGTTATTTTTATACATGGTCATACTGCAACATCTTAAAAAAAAATACAAGCTGCCATCCTAGGTCTTTGTAGTTTATTTTAGGAATGTCCAAACATTGGTTTTGCTTGCAGAGTTCACACCTCAATAAATATAAATAGTTACAGATACAGCCCCAAAACAGTAGCCTTATGTTCTCATGACAGTGCCAGTTTGACAAGCTCACTGGATCCCAATTTCAAAATCGGGACCTTAAAGTTTCTATCACACGTTGATATTCCTTCCATAATATGTAACTTATTGTAAAGATGATTCATCGCTTTTGTGTTTTTCATAAAATATGTGAAAAATATAATTCCAGCCTTGTTTCTTCTTCTCCTCGCAGGCCGCTGCTCTCCTTCCTAGGGAACAGTGGTGTAAGATTGAAATGGAGCAGAGTTCAGGGCCCACACTGCAAGGTGGGGAGTCCAATTGGCCGTACACTGTAACTCTGGAGCTGGGCACATTCATGGTGGATTTGATGGTCAAGAACCTCAAAATCAACAGCGACATCCTGGACCCCACTCATGAGAGGAAGCTTATCCCCATTCTCTACCACATGTACACTTTCCGCAGCACACGGCAGGTACAGTATGCTCAGATGCTAAAGGGCTCACTTCCTCTGCTCCATAGGGATTAGAAGAAGTTGCTTCCCTGCAGTTAGTATTTGTTATGTGAAGGCCTGATAACAGGATTCCTGAGCATTAACCAAGAACAAAAGAAGTCCTTTCAACCTCATTTCTGTGGAAAAATGAACAGATCAGGAGTGATCTCCTTGCAAATAGAGTAATTATGAATTTAAACAAGGGAAGGATCTATTTATTATGAAAAATCTTAATTAAATATCACAACTTATTGACTTTTTGAAATGACTCTCAGTTGTCTATTTAAAGCTTGACTAAGTTGGGGTTTAAGCCATTTTGCAGAGTTGACATTTTCATCATCGTGGAAAGAGCTTTTGTAGAGCCGAAACAACGGTAATAAAAGTTGACCTTCACTCTGGACAAGTAGACTGTCTGTCACTCCAAAGCCTATTACCTGGTACTCTTGTGTGGCTGCCTATCCAGTCTGAGGCTCCAAAGAGTGTGAATTATAAAAGCCATTTCCCCCTTGTGTGAATTGGCAGAGGGAATAGTTGAGTACGATGAATAGGTTCCAGGCTAATCCCTTTTTTAGTGTCCCTTTAATTGGCTCGCTGATTTACTGCTGTGGTACCCTGCAGGAGGTTCAGCCGATCGTGTCAAGGGTGAGAGGCAGAAAAAAAAAGGAAGACGAAGAGAATTATGGATTTTAGGATTTCTTGCACTTAAGCAATTGGCTGTGCTGCTGCAGAATTTTATTCTGGTGTTTTTCTTACATATCCGTCTCCATCTACTTATTTTGCTCCTTTCCACCCTCCCCCCTTTTTTTTATATCTTTGAGGTAAGCCCATCAGGGAGCATCCTAATGATTTTTCAGCACAGCATGAGAGCTTGACTCATGTAAGCAACGCCTAGATGTTTTTATTTTACTGTCAGCTCACTGTTTTGTTTCCTGTGGTCTTGTTTCAATTCAGCAAGTCCTTAGTAGGACTAAAAACAAGGTCACTGTATTTCTTTGTTTGTAAAACCAACAAAGAAAAGTCGTCCCTGATACACAACCCTGCTGTAATTATATGAAATAAACAAACAAAAAACGAACAAACAGCCGCATTCCTGTGCTGGTTACAGTTTGCTCTGGCTAAGTGTCTGATTTAACCTGACACAGCCTAGATACACCTTCATTTTTTAGATTAAAATACTCCCATCTGTCACCTCTGCTGATTTACATATGGATAGTAGAGCATTGTAACACCCTAGCAGCAGCCGTTAACCAGAGCTACAATCCTCAGTAGTAGTGGGTGGTGGAACATATTATTGGAATTTTAGTCCTACAATGTAAATCATTACCACTGTTATTTATTTAAAGCTCCTGTGACGAACTTTCAGCGCCTCCTCCGTACAGAGTAGTTCTGCTTAAGTATGTGTAGGTCCGTCTTTCTTACAAAACATCTTACCCTACATTATTTTATCACAAAATTAAATCACTGACCATGACTATCAGCTAGGGCTGGGATATGGCCTCAAATCAATATCACGATATATTGAGCAGTTCACCTCGATAACGATAAATGGACGATAACTACTCCACAAGCTGCTCACCCCCTCCCACATTTACATCGTCTACTTCAGCCGTCGCTCCAGCTGCTACAACTTTTGAACCGTCCTCCATCTCCTCACCTGTCTTTCCCTCTTTGTTACGGACTGGATGGGGTCACATCTTAAAGGGACATGAGACCATAGCCTACCTACACACATCCAAAAACCAACTTTTGATTTATTTTTTTGACACCATTCTGATATGGGCAAAATGACGTTGGATATTGTGGTAAATTTCGGTATCTGTAAATTTTTGGTTTCCCCCAGCCCTAGTATTGTATCATATCCCATTCTGTATTGTATACATTCCTACGAGATTGTACTGAATCATTTGGATCAGTTCGTATTGTATTGTATTGTATCGTATCGTGTGGTATTGTAACCCAGCATATCGTATCGTATCACCGTATTGTTTCTTACTGTATTGTATCATAGTGTACCACGATGTATCTTATCAAATCCTATCCTATTCTATTTTGTATCCTGCCCTACTGTATCATACAGTATAGCATTGTATGGCATGTAAGGGTGGAGTCCCGTCTCTGACATAGGACAGCGTCTTAAAGGGACATGAGACCATAGCCTACCTACACACACCCAAAACCAACTTTTATTTATTTATTTTTTTGACACTGAATATATTGACATGGGCAAAATAATGTTGGTTATTGTTGTAAATTTTGGTACCTGTAAATTTTCGGTTTAACGCCCAGCCCTACTATCAGCAATAGGAAATTTAAGAATAGGCTGTTTAGGTTGTATACTGGTCATTAACTGGGCTGTCACCCCCCCGTCAGCATTTTTTAGGCATTTAAAATAACTGTTGAGAAATAATCAAACTTGTTGCTGATGGTCTTGTTGACTTTTGAAGGTCATACAGAGACATCAGTACTACTTTGATTTTGATTAGATAAAACTCCTCATGGGAGCTTTAACCAGCCATTTAACCATATTAAATTTGCATTTTGTCGCTTTGCCACAGTCTGGTCATTGTATGTTGGTGTATAATCTTTGCATTTGGAGTTTCAGCTTCTAATTTGATGTCCTTGTCATGTTTTGTCTTCCAGGTTGGCTTCATAAAACTCCACCCCATCCTGAGTCAGATGCTGCAGGAGGCCATGGAAACCAAGCTGACCTTTGATTCCTATGTGATGCCGATGCTTTGTCCTCCCATTCCCTGGACTTCTACCAAATTTGGAGCATACCTGCTGACACCTACCAAGCTGATGCGCACGATAGATGGGGCCACACAACATGAGTTGTTGTTAGACAAATGCCAGAACCTCCATGCAGTCCTTGACTCTCTTAACCAGCTTGGCAACTGTGCATGGAGGATCAACAAACCTTTGCTGGATATAATCATCTCCATCTTTAACGACAAGGGTAGCGAAAAGCTTGACATTCCTCCTCCTCCGTCAGAAGCCCCCAAAATCCCATACTTCAACCCTCATGATCCCTCTTATGCTGCATCTGAGAAAGCCTTGATGAAGAGAGAGGTGATGAAAGCCAAAAAGAAGAGCAGTGAGATGCACAGCATGCGTATGGACGCTCTCTATAAACTCTCCATTGCCAACTACATGAGGGATGAGATTTTTTGGTTTCCACACAATATGGATTTCAGAGGACGTACCTACCCTTGTCCCCCGTACTTAAATCACCTGGGAAGTGATGTCACGCGAGCTATCCTTGTGTTCGCAGAGGGAAAAAAGCTTGGTCCCAGAGGGCTGGACTGGCTAAAGATTCACTTAGTGAATCTTACAGGACTGAAGAAGAAAAGCTCATTACAGGGGCGGCTTGAATACGCCAACACTATCATGGAGGACATACTTGACTCCGCTGACAACCCGCTTGAAGTCAGTATATATTCATTCTTCTTACTTGATCATTGATAGTTTAGTCCAGCCAGCTATATGCAGTTTAACAAAGCATTTATTTTTTGCTAGAATTACTTTATATTGAATAGACACACAAAAAAAAAAAAAAAACATTTTGCAGATATACAACTTTTTAATTTTTGATCTATGCAACTTATAGCATGACCATTTTGTTTCTGACTGTAAGAACGGCCAATTTTAAAGGGAATATAGATATCTGGCCAAACGATGGCTGAAGATACTTTCAGGCCAGTGTGTCTGTGTTCAAGAGAATGTGTTGTGTTTGTCTCTCTCTCTCAGGGTAAGAAGTGGTGGATGAATGCAGACGAGCCATGGCAGGCTTTGTCCTGCTGCATGGAGATAGCCAATGCTGCGAGATCCCCCGACCCAACAGAGTTCGTCTCTCATTTCCCTGTTCATCAGGTACCATAAAGACACCTGGAGAGGGATTTATCCATTGTGCTGTAATCTGCTTGATCTTTTATCTGTTTATTTTTGAAGCATTTAAAAATGTGAAGCTAAACTGTTGTCTGACATGTAATAAGACCAATTGAACAGATTTGCTCATCTGTAAAATAAGAACTATATGATATATAATAGTTCCAGTTTACAGCTTTCAAAAAAAGTTTGCCACTCACTGATTTTTATATCCAGCTACTTAACAGAGCACATACTAAAATTAATCAGCCAAGGCCTCCCAGCCGTCTGGAGCCGTTTTATGTTATTTCCCATAAACGTGTGGCTATAATCTTATTGACCAGCCCACTCTTCTAATTGTTGTCATTTTACCCTGGAAACAGATGAACCCTCTTGGACTGTGTCAGGGTTGATTATGAGGACACTATGAAGCTCACTAACTCTGCAGCCATATGTCAAGAATTCAATATCAGGTTTAGTTTTTAGTAGTTTAGTATTTGGAGCATGTAGAGTACTAACAGATCCGTTTTATGTCCTGGAGAAAGGCTGTGGAAAACTTTAAAAGTAATCAGTTAAATCTTAGAAATAGTCCTCAAAGATACAGGAAGCCAGTGTGGGGAAGCCAAAACAGGAGTGATGCACCATGTTTTGTAATTTGAAGATAATCAGAAGTCAGTTTTCCAATGGGATTTTGTTTTTAAGTGAATAGTTTGACGCCAAATCTTAGTCTGTTTTATTCTGTTACCTTTGCCTTACTCTACGTTGTCCTCTCTACTTCTGTGTCAATCTCTCTCATGCTCTTCCTGTTTGTCTCTCACTTCTTTTGTATCTTTGTTTCTCCCCACCTCCTCTCAGGACGGCTCCTGTAATGGTCTCCAGCACTACGCAGCTCTAGGCAGAGATGTTATTGGTGCCACATCGGTCAACCTGGTGCCCTGTGACGTGCCCCAGGATGTGTACAGCGGAGTCGCACAGCAGGTCAGCACCAGCAGGGGGTCTTTAGTTTGCAATGTTTTGTTCTCTTGTAGGAATAGCAGCTCAACCAAAGTGGATTGTGTTTGTGTTCAGTTTCTTGGCAGTTCCTCAGCTGTGAATAACCATGAAAGTGTCAAACCACGCTTGTACTTGAGGTTTGAATTTGAAAAGGCTTAGGTTTTTAGCTGTAGCATTGAAGTCAGTTAATTGCCTGTCATATCAAAGGCTCAGAGAGCAAGTGTGCAGACAATCTATCAAACGAGACAGCGTACTGTGAAACCGAATATTTTAAAGCAATGGAAAGCTTATTGTGGCACTGACGTTTCAGTACTCACCATTGTGTGCTGCTGAAAAATGGCTGCCCCCGAAAGTGTATTGTGGCGTTATCAATGAGCTTTTAGAGGCTGACAGAAAGTGGAGTGCCGTTTCCTGCAGGAGACCGTCTCGGTGTTTTATTTTTACCTCAGAGCTGTAACGTTATTGTCACAGGATACTGTAGATTCTATCAAAGCCTGTGTAATAGACCACATTTACAGTGCTGCCATGTTCTCCCTGGCGTCACAGCCAGAGTTAAAAGCTCAAATGCTCTTTTAATGTTTGTACTGATGTGTTTACGGTTTAAAGCTGTGCCCTGCTTCCACATTGATCAGCAGCTAAAAAAAAAACATTTGGTGAAAATCTCAAGGGGCTATATTTCAAATAAAATCTGTAAATTTTACAGCTCCAGGGCTACTTTAGGCAAGTGCAAATGTCAGCGTGCAGTCATTTCTCAACTAACTCACCATTCAGAACTGTGAGCTAGAACCCTTTCCTATTGAATTGTTTAACACTGAGAGTCTGCTTTTCTATCGTTGAGGAAACATCAGCAAGGAAATGGCAGAATACTAACATCAGTGAGATAACAGCTATTGGGTTTCCAATAATGTAGTTAGAACTTGAAATACAGCGTTGTCTACCATACCTTGGAGTACCACAGTTTGTTGCTCCAGTGGTTGATCAGTATTACATATTTGACAGCTTTTAAGTTGAAGCATAGTTTTTAAAACCTCAATCAGTGTTCTTTCTTTTAAGTTCAATGCCAGAATTTGCTGTTTGTTATCAGATATTTTTAATAAATCATTTAAATTTCATTGGTTTCTTTGGGGCTCATGCCATACTGTAAAATTTTATGTATAAACATTTTTTCATTTCTGAATTACCCATGTGCCTACCTTTACTTTAAGATTCAGGCGGTTAAACATCAGAGACAGGGATTGTGGGCTGTGTCCGAAATGAATCACTCAATCCCTAACCCCTAACCCCCATATGGGGTTTCACTATATAGTTGACTATGTAGTGAACTCAATTACTGGAGGTTTCAGACACTACATGGCATGACATAATGCATGACAGGATGCCCACCACCAGTGAGTGACCATCGGATGGTCACTACATTTTGCAATGCCTTATGGGAAATTTTGAGTCGCCTATATGGAATTGATTACTCAGGTTTCGGACACCCTTCGAAATGGCGCTAACCTCCATATAGTCACCTATATAGGAGTTAGGGATCCATTTCGGACACAGACGTAGAGTCACCAAGTCATCTCCATGTCATGTATTTGTTCTGCTCTGTCACTGAACCAGCTGCTTCCAATGAGCAGCCAGGAAGGTGAGCTCATTAGTGAAGGCACCTGGTGCAGTAACTGAGCAGAACAAATACACACGTGGACAAAATTGTTGGTACCCCTCAGTTAAAGAAGGAAAAACCCACAATTCTCACTGAAATCACTTGAAACCTACAAAAGTAACAATAAATAAAAATTTATTGAAAATTAAATAATCAAAATCAGCCATTACGTTTGAAATGTTGATTAACATAATTATTTAAAAAAAACAAACTAATGAAATAGGGCTGGACAAAAATGATGGTACCTCTATAAAAGATTGAAAACTATTTGACCAGAGTGACATGATTAACTCAGGTGTGTCCTTTAATTGACATCACAGGTGTTTCCAAACTCATAATCAGTCAGTCTGCCTATTTAAAGGGAGACAAGTAGTCACTCTGCTGTTTGGTGAAAAGGTGTGTACCACACTGAACATGGACAACAGAAAGCGAAGGAGAGAATTGTCCCAGGACATCCGAAAAAAAATTATAGACAAACATCTTAAAGGTGCAGGCTATAAGACCATCTCTAAACAGCTTGAAGTTCCTGTGACAACAGTGGCTCATATTATTTAGAAGTTCAAGACCCACGGGACAGTAGCCAACCTCCCTGGACGTGGCCGCAAGAGGAAAATTGATGACAGATTGAAGAGACAGATCGTTCGAATTGTATCCAAAGAGCCCAGGACAACCTCCAAAGAAATTAAAGGTGAACTCCAAGGCCAAGGTACATCAGTGTCAGATCGCACCATTCGTCGTTGTTTGAGCCAAAGTGGACTTCATGGGAGACGACCAAGGAGGACACCACTGCTGAAAAAAAATCATAAAAAAGCGAGACTGGAATTTGCAAAAATGCATGTTGACAAGCCACAAAGCTTCTGAGAGAATGTCCTCTGGACAGATGAGACCAAACTGGAGCTTTTTGGTAAGGCACATCAACTCTATGTTCATAGACTCAAAAACCAAGCATACGAAGAAAAGAACACTGTCCCTACGGTGAAACATGGAGGAGGCTCAGCAATGTTTTGGGGCTGCTTTGCTGCATCTGGCACAGGGTGTCTTGAATGTGTGCAAGGTAAAATGAAATCTGACGACTATCAAGGCATTCTGGAGAGAAATGTGCTGCCTAGTGTCAGAAAGCTTGGTCTCAGTCGCAGGTCATGGGTCTTCCAACAGGACAACGATCCAAAACACACAGCCAAAAACACCCAAGAATGGCTGAGAGAAAAGCGTTGGACTATTCTAAAGTGGCCTTCCATGAGCCCAGATCTGAATCCCATTGAACATCTGTGGAAGGAGCTGAAACATGCCATTTGGAGAAGACACCCATCAAACCTGAGACAACTGGAGCAGTTTGCTCATGAGGAGTGGGCCAAAATACCTGTTGACAGCTGCAAAACGCTCATTGACAAATACAGAAATCGTTTAATTGCAGTGATTGCCTCAAAAGGTTGTGCAACAAAATATTAAGTTATGGATACCATCATTTTTGTCCAGCCCTATTTCATTAGTTTGTTTTTTTTAAATAATTATGTTAATCAACAATTCAAAAGTAATGGCTGATTTTGATTATTTAATTTTCAATAAATTTTTATTTATTGTTACTTTTGTAGGTTTCAAGTGATTTCAGTGAGAATTGTGGGTTTTTCCTTCTTTAACCGAGGGGTACCAACAATTTTGTCCACGTGTGTACATGGCATGGAGATGACTTGGTGACTCCACATTTCCCATCTCTGTTAAACATACTCAAAAAGTGATGCAAACAAAACACCAAAAAATAAAAAAATAACCCATAAATATATACTGTATATTTTTGACATCATCAGAGAGGTTATCGTTTGGTACATATTTGGTACACAAATCAATATCAAGCTAAAATGTCGGATGCCTAACCAAACATGGGCAGAGTTTCAAAATGTGAGGTAAACATATCGGTGTAATCCCAGGATGAGATCCAGTTTGCTCTGAAGTGCTTGTACAGAAAGCTGAGATGTGAAATGGTGAATCTTCTTAAATAGTTATGATAAATGCAATCACTTAGATTTTGGGTCCAAAATGTGTTTTTAATTCCATAATTTGACGTTTTCAGTAGAGAAATAGACTTAGAGGCAAGGCAACAGTGGAGGAGGTTTCCAGAAAGCTGAGTTCCAGGGGCTGCCAGGGGATCCTCAAAGAGGTGGTAGCTAGAGTGAAAAGTTTCAGACAGAGTTTTCAAAGAAACCAGCCTGAGTTACTTCGATACTTGGTATAAAAGACTTCATGTGTTCAGGTGGAGGAGTTACGAGGACGGGATGCACAGCAAGGACTGAAGATCGCCCAGGTCCTGGAAGGCTTCATCAACAGGAAGGTGGTCAAACAGACTGTGATGACTGTGGTGTACGGGGTCACTCGCTACGGGGGACGCCTACAGATCGAGAAAAGACTGAAAGAGATTGATGAGTTCCCTAAGGTACAGTAGTAGTGGAGGTCGGGGATAGGCAGGGGCTTCCCTCATACAGCATACTGTTTTATTTTTAGTGTTGTATCAGAGTGGTATGATAAAGTGTCTTTCCAGTGCAGGATCTCCTCTATAAGCAGCTCCTCTTACACCTCCCCCTAAGGCTGTGCATTCTCACAGACACATTAATCATGGACAAACTAGTCATGAAGCGCAAGGTCTTCTACAGTAATGTCTATTCTCATTCTGTTGTATGCATCAAGACATTTATCACAATGCTGGGACTGACTGCCTAATTTTTTTGCAGTTTGTTGTACACTTAATGGGATTATAGCAACCTTGACTTTAAGAGTTTGAATACCTGAAAGTGAGAAACATCGAGTTAGAACAAAAGCTTTGACATTAATTTTAGTCCAAGTTATCTCACTGCAGAGAAATATTAGATTGCATTGTTATATGAGGAAGGCCGGGAGGGTTATCCAACAATAGATGGAGTTTGTATCCAGTGTACAGTCATTATGAATCTATTTTTAGCTCAAAACTGTTGCACTCAGACTTGGTTGGACATAAGTGGTTGTTTGATAGGCACACCCATTCTGTTGAATAGCATGCAATCTTCACACAGTAGTGCTTATTATCTACCAAACAGTAGTATAGTTCCTTACAATAGTTGGACTTAATCTCATTGTCCGTATAGATCAGCTACTTCAGTATCCATCTCACTGCCAAAAGACTGCTAAATGACTTCTGTATAATGTCCCTAATTGTTTAAACAGGGAATGAGGAGGAAGTCTAATTGTGAGCGATTACAGGGGGATGGATGAGCAATAAGATGGCCTTCAGCGGGGAGGATGACAGTATCACTGTAATAAGAGAAAATCAGAGTTTCCATTCAGGGCTGTGATTATAATCAGTGATATTTCTGTTCTGTTTTTAATCTTTTAATGAGTAATTGATAAAAATTCTGTGAACTGTTTTTATTTAAAATTGGAGTGAGTGAAAAAAAGATTTGTGTGACAGTGTAACTGGACATGAAAAGGATTGTGATTTATATTTCTAGGAGCATGTTTGGGATGCGTCTCACTACCTGGTGCGTCTGGTGTTCAGCGGTTTGAAAGAGATGTTCACAGGAACCAGAGAGATTCAGGTGAGTTCATTTTATCTTTACAAAGTCAAATAGTTACAACTGTGTCTTTCAACAAACATCTCCCACCCCTGATCATCACTTATGTTTTCCCGACAATTAAAATAAAAGAGGGGGTGGAGATTGAGACTTAACAACCGGTAGATACAACACAAATAATGGTAACTTAAAACCTGTATTCTTTGTTGTTTCCTCTTGATTTTAAATGTATATATTACAAGAACTGTAAAAATCTGCAATTTTGGGGGCTAAATTAAGTACAATGTTTCGTTACGTAAACAAATGTTGATGCTTGAAATTTGCATTGTAATGAGTATGCAATGTTTGACTGATAATAACATAGGATAATGTATCTCCACCCCTTCCCACTGTACAAGTAAAGCCATGATCACTGTAAGTCCACTGTTACATTTGTCATCATGACTGTCTATCATGTCAATATACCCCCCTCTTTTTAGCATCAAATACCTAATCAAGATGATTATAAACAGAAAAATTAACACCTGGATATATAGCAACATAATCCAAACTAGTTATAATGGTTGAAACCATGTTTCAAACTTGTATTTAACATACGATTTGATTTTTAAACTTGGTTAAAACGGAGGAAGTCACCTTGATAACTGTAAATGCCAGTCAATAGACAGAGCTTCAAATGTTCTGGGCTCACTTCTAGGGAGCTGTGTTGTGTTTCATCTTTCTATGTAAATAAAATATACAAATCTCTTTCCTCCTACTTGTCCAATCTATCAGAATATATGTACTACTTAAGAAATATTTTATTATCCCTGAAGTCAGACATGCTGAGGGAATTTTCTAGTTTTTATTTGAAAAATGGGTCTTGAAAACAATTTACCATAAACTTTAATTCGTTGAACCTCAATGTAGCAAATATAAGGGATACCATTGTTATATATTTAAAAGGAAAAAATAAATAAAATGTGCTTAATAGTGAACAGGGGAGACTTATTTACTCCAATTTTAGAGGACTGACCCACTACTGCCTACTAGAATGTATTTCTTTACCTTTTTTTCTAAACGAATGCCTAGTTTACCTCCCTATTACCCCAGCAATAGCACCCATTAATCACATAGACTCCATTTATAGATCTAGGCTGTGAAGCTGGCGGTGAGATTGTACATTATCTCTATAGGCAGACAGGAGTCTGGTGAGCAAATAGAAACACATGCTTGCGGGAGCGTGTCCTCCTGGCCACGTATGGGGACAACCCACTCGGAAATGAAATATCTCCCGCCTATCGTACCTTTGGGCTGACCCGGTGCGCTTGTGCATGCTTGTGTGCCTGTGTGTGCGCCGGTGCCCTTTTAAATAGGTCACGTCCTCTCACACTTGGCAGCAGTGAGTTGAAGTATGATTGAGGGAGAGGGACCTGATCAATCTATGATGCTGTCATCCCTGACCTCTCTGCATTCTCTATATACGCTCTATATTCGCTATATGTTTCTGTTATTCTTTCTCCGTCTGCCTCTTATCAATCTATTGATTCATCAGTCACTCTCTCCGGCTATCTTCCTAGTTAATCTCTCACTCCTCTCTCTTTGCTTTCTTGCTATCTTCATTTTATTGTACCTGGAAAAAGCAAAGCAGGTGATGATAAATGGAGCAGCTCTGGGCCAGACTGCTACTTTGAGTTGCCGGGACATATTTGTCTTTCCTACAGTTCTCTGTGTGCCCGCATGTGCGAGGAGGCTCTGGTGGGACTTTAACAGGCCCCTTCTATTCTCGGAGATAAACTGTGCCAGACACTTATGCAAACATCACTGTTGCACTTGCAGTTTTTAGAGTAAGCAACAACTCCTCACCTGTTCCCAAAGCAAATTTGCAACAATTGTTTTCCAGCAGACCTACATGTGGAGATCATCTTTTGATGCTTGGAAGGAAAAAGTTTCTATTCATGAACTTGTTTCCAAAGGCATCAAACTTTATCACCTGATTGTCTAAACTCACTTGGTTGCTGTTTTCATGCACATTAAAAACTCAATGAAGGCACTCTTGATTGTTGAAGGGATTTGATATGTTTCTGAGTATACGCCTCTGTCCTGTGCGTGCCCTCACTTCGCCTTCTCTGGCCTTTGTCTGTTGCAGGATTGGCTGACAGAGAGCGCCAGGCTCATCTCCAAGTCTGGCCACACCGTGGAGTGGGTGACGCCTCTGGGTTTACCCATCATCCAGCCTTACCATCGCACCCGCAGCCAAATAGTAAGTCTTATCTTTAAGTTGCTGAAGGTGAAGTTGTGCAGGATTAACTTTTATGATCAGCGAATACACTGCAAAGCTTTCAGATGTGCACTATTTCCACAACTGTACGGAGATTGACCATGCTAATGCAAAGGGCCTCCTCCGCTCTTGATCACCTCATTTTAATGCAGCTGTTGACTGACAGCTCAGACAATAGCCAGCCTGTCTTCATTTTCCTGTATTTCAGAAATTCAGCTGCTGACCTTTCCAAAGTTCTCCTCATGTACCTTTACCTGTTTGTCTCGCTCCTCTCCACTCTTTGTTTCAACCTTCACAGACTTCTCAATACCTCCACAACAACTGACCTTTTCATAGCAACCACTGTCCACATTCTGAACTCACGTAGCCGTACGGGTGTACAGAGCTCATCAATCTCTTTCAATACTCTGACTAACAATGGAACGCCCTATTTCTGTCCACTATTCAGAACAAGTGAAGTTTCACAACTGACCACTGATTGTAGGAGAAACATCTTGGAGTCCATTGGCATGTTGGAAATGCCGTAATGCTTTAACATTGAGTTCTATGGGGATCCCTTGGCTTTCAAGGCCTTCCTTAAGTGGACATTTGAGAATCTGCCTCAGTGGCAAAATTGTTCAGCACAGGAGGTTGATGCTTGGCATTAACACAGAGAGAGAAGAACATCAAAACTCTCTCACAATGGCTTTCAACTGAGAACAGGTTATGAATCTGGTGAAACTTGGTCTTTTTGTCCAAGCTGCTGTCCTCAAACAGCCAGCCTACAGTTTGTTCTTCACTTTATGTGGTCTGCCAAGGCTACACAGGCATTTGCCTGAAAGAGGGGTACTGCCAGTGTGCATGAACGCCATCTTTGAACCAATAGATTATTGACAGTGCTCCCCTTCAACTCAGATTTGGACATGGATGTAATGAGTGAACTTGTGATTTTCTAGATTTTGGTTCTGGGCTAAGTATGCAAACAAGCATCCTTCAAGCTAGAGCTGGGTGATAAAACAATAACAATGTACTATATCAAAAATTAATTTCCCTCAATATCAATATAAAACATGGTCAATATGCATTTCGATAGTCGGCATTCTGCAATTGTTTTGCTAGACTATACGAAGAGCCAGTGAAAAAGGGAGTTGCTCGGGGTCCGCTTCAGGCTGAACCAATCGTGCTAATTTAATATCAAGTAGCAAACAATTGCGTAATAGCAGACTGCAGCTACACGCAACTGTAGCACTTTAACAGGTGAAGCCAACAGCACTGTCAGTGAGAAAAAAAAGTATATGTATAATGTGATAAACTTTTTCCCATATTGCCCAGCCCTAAATGAGTGAACTTGTTATTCTCTAGATTCTGGCTAAGTTTGCAAACAAGCATCCTTCAAGCTTTCGTGCTGCCTTTGCTGCGAGTGGAATCCTTCAGCTGGTCTTTCCAAGTCTCAATGGGTATTTGGTGTAGGACTGCACCACTGATGGTGTAATGTGATTACTGTGAGAGGCCCAACTCTCCACATCATCATTACATTTGTCTGTCACTATGGAGATTCTGCCAACAACACAACATTGAGACACGTTGGTGTGCGAGCATATCTGCTGATAATATGCGTGAGTGCAAGTGTGCGTGTGTGTGTGTGTGTGGGAAGAAAGGTTCACTTCATGCCTATATAAACATGTAATTGTTTAAAATTAAAATTTGCCTCGGTCCTTAAGCTCTTAAAAGGAGACAGACGCCTAGCATAAGCCCAGCACAGGCAGACATCCTGCTCATAGGCTAGAGCTGCATGACGCCTGCTCTTTTAGAGTGACATCAAGCAGAGGGTTGGCTCACTGGGGCAGCGACACCTCACAAGCGGGTGCGAGAGGGTGATGGTGACAGATGGTTGGTCCCCCGAGGGTGCATCTTTCTGCTCCTGAAGTAGAGTGTGTTCACTCAGTTCGATCCGCTTTTTTTTTTTATGTCCAGCGGGGGCCAGGAAGATGATTAGCCTGTGCAAAGGCTGAGAGATGAATGATGAATGAATGAATGTGGGAATGACCTCATGGCTGAGTGAGGTATTAGCTTACATTTCACAGATAACTCGCCACATCCCCTGTTATAATTCCCTAATCCAGTTGCATCATTATGCAACAAAAATGAAACTTACTCTCTGAAAGGTCACCTTTTCCCTGCATAGCTGGATTAAATTCAATCTCCCAGTCTCCTCTCAGCCTCTTAGATCCAAGGCCACACTGTTTCTGGGGGTCATTAGTAATTAGACTCCTGATAGAAGAAGAAGATGAAGTGCAATAGACAGTAAGGAAACCAATAAGGGGGGAAAAAGTAGCTGCATGCAACACCATCACAGCTTTAGGAGTGCGTTTATGTGTGTTTGTGTGTGGGGGGGGGTATGTGAAAGTTTTCCTTTTTTGTTGGTTGGTTTCAGCAAACGTACAGTGATGAGTAATGCCCACCTGTGTTTGTGAGTAGCTTCCATTGCCGATGGGATATGGGGGAAATTAAAGTAGGATAGAGTAGCTGGATGGAACATAAACATACATCAGAGAGGTTGCTTAACAGGATTGGGTGATGCTAATCGGATCAGAGGTCACTCTGGCTCAGATTCCTTGTTTCTTTTTCATTCCCCACTCCCAAGCAAGGTTACAGTGAAATCTCACTCTAAGCCGGTGGGGACACAAGGGAGTCATATGGATTTGTGAGTTTAATAGTGTGACTAATCGCTTTTGATCTAATGCCCTCTATACATGAGGAATCGGTTTGGTTCAGATTTTGGTGAAAACGTCCTGGGACAGTTAATCATTTGAAATATTTTATTGTCATTTCAGCACAAATAATAAAGCACAGTTGCATGGCAGTATTCCAATACAAATGTAATCCACTGCCAGAATTAATGAATAGTCAGATTTGATATGTTACTTGCTTTAAGGGTTAAAACCTTTTGTGAAATATTATCCTATTAATCACAGTCAATTTATGAGAAAATGGACCCCTTGGTAATCACTTAAAAGCCCCTCACTCCTCTTTAAGACCCCTCACTGAACGAGGAACATTTTTTTTGCTTCTCTATTTCTGACTATTTTGAATCTCTTTGTTCCCACTTGGAGCCACGCTGTGGTCAAACTGCATCATTTGTTTGTTTTGCATGTGGGTTTCTTTGTGATGAACTTCCAGCATAAACTTGCGGAAATGATTTTATTCATCCTTTTCTCTGAGATACAATTTTTTATCTAGACAAACTCCCAACATAAGCCGTGTCTTGTTAGTCTGGGTTTTATCCACACCAGGATGGCGTTAGATGAGCCTGACTCAGGAGCTATTTGGGGTGGGAGAACAAATCGTTACAGCATAGTATTGTGATATTTTGTCTGGTGATATATCGAATCGTCTCATTTACCAAGTATCAATTTTTCAAATTAAATATTAATATGAAGTCAAATCTATGATAATGGAGAAAAAAAAAAGAACTGTTTGTCCAATGAGGTTGGCAGAGGTGACGTCATAGAGCAGGAGTAAGTTAGTCCAACAAATATATATAAGGTTTGCAAGATGTGCTACATGAAAATAAAATACAGCGTAAATAAGACAAAAATAAAGGAAAGACAAATGCTAAACTAGCTAAACAGTTGAAAAATTTTTATAAATTGTAATATATCGTATCGCAATACTCACGATATTATTGCAATTTTTAACATTTTGCAATACAGTATCATGGCCCAAGTATTGTGGTAATATAGTATCTTGGAGCCACTGGTGATTCCCACCCCTAGGAGCTATTTCCCCAGCTCTGTCATTCAACTCTAGAGAGGTGGGTCACAGTTATGGAGAACATAATGACAATTTAATGACAGCCTCCTTCCACCTTGAGTAAAGGGACCCAGCTTCGCCTGAGTCTAAGGGTGCAGTGTGGGCGGGAGTCTCCCTGGTAACTGAGCTGACCACATGGAGTAAACTGAGGGGTTGGCCAAGCTTTAGCCAAAGCCTGCTAAGAATTTTAGCCAGCAGGAGCTTAGACTGAAAGTTCACCATGCTGACAATGACATACTGGACATTCATGACTTTCCGAGGATGAACAGGATGCTTTGACCACCCAGGGGGGGGAGAATGTCCAGTATTCCTCCAACTGAAACGATACTGCCTTCTTGTTGTATTTGCAGAATCTCTCCCTGAACGCGGCAGCCCCTCAGTGATGGGCGAAAGCTTGTTAGTCCAGATTATCAGTCCGTTGACAGTGAGACCTCGGCTGCTTCCTCTCAAGCAGGGTGGACAGGTTAAGTCATCCACTGGGGCAGTATCCTCTAGGGGCCTATGTGCCTCTAAATGGCCTGTTTTCAAGCAGTGGTGTCGGGACCAGAATGCACCCCCATGGAGGATCTGTTGTGGCAGTTTTGATACTCTTCAGCAGCTCTACAGTATATCCCTACCTCTTTCATGATTAAGGACTATTTGGCCTCTGATGATCTCTGTACAGATCAGGGCTGTCAACGGATATTCTTTAATTGCTTGCACAAGTTGGGGGGGGGGTTGCATTTTGTAGTGTCCTAGGAATTCTCAAAGATGTTAAAACTTGTACTAGTTGTACTAGTTTGTCCTCTTGTTGGCATAAGGCGCAAATATAGATATTCAAATGTGTTCCAACCCTTGTGTTATTTTTAGAAGAAATATTCGAACGTCATTTTGGAGCAATTTTGACCGCCCTAGTACAGATGCTTCTATAGTTTGCATCTGTGCATCTGAAGTTCTTGGGGTCTTTGCAGTCAAAGAAAAGTCTGCTTTTCTTTCTCATTCAGTTCAGAACTATGTGTCTCTAAATGTTGGAGAAATGCCCTCTGTGTCCCCCTCGTGTCTTAGAATAGAAGTGAGACATTCCCAGGGGTAGGATAGGGTTTCGTTGATCTTACAGAGTCTTATGGCATTTTCGGGATGAATTAATAAATGCAGTTATAGTTTCAAGGAGAGCCCCAAGTGGTGAAAAAAGAAAGTTGGGTAAAACTGTGAGTTGGGGAAAGGTCAGCCGAAGTGTGGGCAGACTTAGGAGTGCATGCATTTATGAGTCTGCAGCTCTCCTTGTGTGTCTTCAGGGGGGAAATACAAGGCAGATGACCTGGAACACAAGAGGAAGAACATGTGTGAGGTGTAATTCAACAGTGAGATCAGACATGTGTTATCTAGCACAAAGTGATGAATGGGGAAACCCCTCTTGGCAGTAGAGAACTATAGACAATAGATAACATATCCATAATGAGTCATGCTGCAACTCTTCAGTGATTTAGACTACAGGAACCTTTTCCCCAAAGACACACAGCAGGGTCAGTCAAGGTCTCATTCATCACAGGCTTGAGCCAGGTCTCGTACACAAATCATGCTCTTATGCATTATAATGAACAGGACTACAGCATGCAGTAGTGACCTCTTTTACAGTGTGGCAGTCCATTACTCACAGCAGAGGGAGCTTCCATTTCTTTCATCACACACACCTTTGTACACCACAGCTTCCCCTTTGCCTCCCTTTAAACCCCGATGCTAGGACACCAAGAGGTGATGTAAAGATAGGAGTGATGGACAGATTCCCCCTCGAGTCCTCCCAGAGCAATGATGGATGAGATAGCAGACATGGCAGTAACTAATGGGGTTTTACTGCACTACACGTCTATTTTTAAAACCATTCTTGATAATTGTGTGATTCTGTCATTCATCACAGAGCAACCTTCCGTTTCCTTTGGAGTGAAATAGCCGAACAGAGAAGCTTGCACAACCTCTGAGCCTGCCTTTTATTTTACATTTGTCCATGTAAGCGCCTGTCATTTTAAACCCTTGTTAGTATTTTTGACATAGTCCAACAGGGCCATTGTTGCCGTCTTCATATCCATAAAGCACTCCTTTTATTCTGAAGCCAGAAGTACATGATAAAGAACAAAATCTCGCTATTATTTCATGAGTTACCCTGTGATTCACGGTTTTTTTTTCACACTACCAAATTTACAAAGTCCTCTTTTAAACAGTGAGGAAGAGACAGGCTGTGTTAACATTATATAGAGAGACACCCCAGAGCCTCTCCATAGCCACTAAATAATGAACAGACAAATTTTAAAATACCTAACAGCACCCACGGTACTCATACAGGTATTTAAAGATAATCCTTTACAGCTGTAAGACTTCTAAAACTCTTCCAACTTAAAGGGATATTCCGGCGTAAATTTAAGTTAGGGTCAAACACACCATAACACAGACTTAGACACCCCCTCGAGAGATGAAAATTGCCGACCACTTGCTTCTCTAGTTATACCAACTTTAGTAACGACCGCACGATAGCAATACACAGAGCAAACCTCAACCAAAAAGCCACTCATAGCCACAGATAATGCTCAGTACAGCAACCTAACTTCATCAACAGTACATATAGCCATCAAACATCTTTTTTTAGCTTTGCCTGTTCTGTGCATTATTTGTGGCTATAGAGTGGCTTTTTGGTTGAGGTTTGCACGTGGAGATGTAGACCACTGTGTATTCCCATCGTGCGGTCGTGACTAAAGTTGGTATAACTAGAAAAGCAAGCAGTCGGCAACATTCATCTCTTGAGGGTGTGTCTGAATCTGTGTTACGGTGTGTTTGACCCTAACTTAAATTTATGTGGTAATATCCCTTTAAAGCATTTAGGTAAATGATGTCAAAGAAACAGAGTTACAGGAGTTTTGCATCCAACTTAACTTTTACACACTTATAATGTCAGATTGTAAGTAATACAGACCATTATCATACATTTTTTTTGTTTGTTTTTTCCCTAAGGGAAGCAACATGGCTAATGGGATGAAAATGCTTGGTGTCTGTTCGTTGGGTACACCTGTCTGGGTCAGCCTAAAATATCTCAACAACACCTGGATGTTGAACTGTAAAGTTCAAAGATATTCATCTCTGCCTTGAAGGGGCTATTGTGCACATAGATTTGTTTACTTTGAAGCATTCCCATATACACCTGAGGAGACCGTGTGAAGATCACACAGAGACATGCTGCTGCTTATTAGCTGTAAAGTGGCAATGACGTCCCCATTTCCTCCTATGCCCAGACTACTGCCGTTGTGATTAGATGGATGATGGACGTCAGTCACCAGTGGAAGCTCTGAAAGTTTTGGCTTTATTTTAGGGGCTCTGTTGTGCCATTAATATTCTAATACAGACTCTGGTGATTCTCCATAGCACCTGAATAATGCATTATTCATTACAACACCAGACATTTCTCCATTGTTAATTCCAAGCGTATAGAGACATTTATTCACATCTGAAACCCTTACATTCAAATTAAGCTTCTCTAGATGATATATCTTTAGCAAATAGTCTTTGAGCCCATACTTAATTTCAAAAAGTGTCTCTGGATGTCATTTTGATGGAGTTCTTGGTGCAAGCTAAGCATTGTTGTTGACGCTGACTCCACAAAAATCGAACACCAAAGTCATTAGCGTGTTACATCAAGGTGAGAAAACCTCTCCCCCTCCCTTTCTATCAGGCCCACACCATCTTCCAGTTCTATCTAAACCTCCACCATCCAGTGTTTCCATCATAGGTGTTGTTATCAGTCTTGTAACCCATCAGCAATCACCTGTCACTATCTGACAATGCTGTTCAACATGCCTCCAGGACTAAATGCTAACTTTTCAGTCATTTCAGTGGAGTCAGCAGTTATCATACACTGGCTAAGACGTGTTTTCCTTGCAGTGTTTACATTCACATAGATGTCTACCTGTCATGACTGGGTCTATCACATCTGCGCTTTTAAAAATGCTTGTTTTTTGTGAGTTTATGTCGATCATTTCTGATGCATTTCAGGGTTAGGGTTGGAAAATCTTGATGCTGATTGACTATTGTTATGCAGAATCTGGCAAATTGAGGCATAATGCTGCATTCCAGTTACCTCAGAGTTAAGTCAGATGTCGGAGCTGGGAATGATGCGACACTCGAGTTGACAGCATACCAGTGAACAAGTTGGAAAACCAAAATGGACGCCAACTGTTAGCCATTGTTAGCTGTTGTTTGGCAATTGTTGGCTGTTGTTGGCCGTTGTCAGCTGTTGCTAGTTGTTGTTAGCTTTACCAGTTTTATACAATGCATAACACAGTATTGTACTCTTACAAACACTATAGCACAGTGTTCACAGTTAGATGTTGGGCAGTACTACATATACCACTTATTTAATTTCACAAAAACAAAACAGAAGAGCATTCACTGTCACGTCTGGTTCACACTGGAAGCGCCGCGCGCGGAACGGAAGCGCCGCGCGCGCGCGCAGCGCCGGCTCGCGCTTGGCTGTTCACACAGGAAGCGCTTTCTGCTGCGCTCTGACATGCCGGTCAGACATCGACTGAGCCCGGTAGTGCTCGGCCGTTTCCGTCTGCCCTCAGTTTTCCACACTTACGAGCGCTTTAAAAATGGGTAAATCACTATTTATTTACGTTTTTATTTCGTCATACATGAATTAAATATTGACAGCATCTTCAAGTATTGTTTTAAATTATTATATAGGGGTAAACGACGAATAAATTGGGAAGTCTGTTGACTCCGTTGTATGTATAGCCTTGTTAGCTCGAGGCTATTGACTGTATCGTAATAAAGTCCCCCCCCCCCCTCTTTGTCTCAATAACATCACTGAATCTCTGCAGCTCTCCCTCCGTGTGTGTGTGTGTGTGTGTGTGTGTGTGTGTGTGTGTGTGTGTGTGTGTGTGTGTGTGTGTGTGTGTGTGTGTGTGTGTGTTCATCGGTAAAAAAAAATAGACTGACAAGCAACACCGTAAATCCTTTTCTAATTTATTGAAATTTACTTTATTTTGAAAATTGACCGGATTCTCTCGCATCTCCTTCCTGACTTCCTGTCTGGTCCGATCTGCTCTGTTGAGCTTTACATCGGCGCTCGCGGCTCGCGCCGAAAATAGAGAGAAGCGGAGCACCCGCGCTCCAGAGCGCGAGCCGTTCCGCGCGCGGCGCTTCCGCGCGCGTGCTGTGTGAACAGTCTCATAGGTTAACATGGGCGCCGATCTGAAACTCTGTGCGCGGCGCTTCCGTTCCGCGCGCGGCGCTTCCAGTGTGAACCAGACGTTACTCTTTACTGGTGATGCACTGCGCTGCCATCTTTGATTATGACGTTGTTGTCAAGTCAGGATTGGTGAGGATTGTGGATTATGACTCTGAGCTCGGAAATTCAGTCTTCCGAGTAAAACTAGAATGCAGCATAAGTCTAAGTTTTGGATCCTTTTTCATGAACATATCTGTTCAAAGACAAGAATGAATCCTTGTTGGATTACCACCAATGAGAGTTGGGATGTCACTCAATGGGGTAGCCCTGCCTGCTTTTGCTCGCCATACAGACTGTTATTCCTGTGTGTTCTAAAGCTGGCTGATGCATGAATGGTTCAATACTGCTCCGACTACAAACGCACCACAGAGGGAATCCAGAACATTTCAGATTCTTTGCAGATTCTATACTCTTCATGTAGACTCTGTAAATAGAGATTTGGTCATCATAGACTTGCAAAAGGTATGAGGGCTGGGAGTAGAAGGGGGGATGCACACTTTAAGGGGTCTATGTGCCCTCAGTGTCCATCCCTTAGAGGAGCAATTGAGAATTTAAAAAGAGATGTACATCACAACTAAACACAAACGTTCTCAGGGCTCATCAGGATGTCAGCAAGACAGCGGTCATGCTCTGATATTATGTGATGTTATGTGTTATGTCGAATGTGTCCTCCAAACTGTCCATTAACAAGTGAAAAATCTTAAACATTTTCCATGCATTTTTTTTTCTGCTAGAAAACTGTAACCAATAAGTGTGACTTCCTAAGGCTTTCTGCAATGTAAGTGCTTCTACGGTCGGAGTACAGACAGATATAAGTGTTTGTAGCACTCTCGCTATTATTGAATTCTAATAGCAAAAACATAGCTTTGCCAGGTTTATACGGATAGAAATGATAAATGTATTCAGGGAGAGTAGCAGATAAGAGATTCTCAGATACATTAGTGCAGGCTCAGTGAAAGGTACAAGCCTAATGCAAAGTGCTCACATAGCTGAGGAGTTGGCCACTCGCTGCCTCTCAAATCTCATTTCTGATAGCAGCCTGTCGTTGCCACCCAGGCGTGGTTCCAAGGGTCAGGGGAAAAACGGCCCTGCCTCGCATGCCTTGGCACGGCTCACTGGAGGGACCCTCGAGGCTCAGGAGATTAGAGCGCTAAGTCTTCCCTCTGCTATAAACTAGAGCTTTGGTGTGAGTCTTAGAGAGCGAGTGAAAATCACATGATGGAGTGAAGTGAACTACTGAGATCAAAACAGAATATTTGCCTGATATTTGGAAGGACTGGCTAATTGCATGCTGAGCCTAATTTATCTTGTTGTTTCCATTGATGGTCAGCCATTAGGGTCATACTGGTACCACACCAGGTCCTTTTCAAAGAGAAAAAAAGTAGTTAAGGTGTGAATGAGGCTGTATGTCTGTATTAACTTGATATGTGCCCATTGTTACCCACTTAAATATAATAAGCTGTAATTTTTGGGTATATTCTAACAGCATCTGGAGATTTAAATGAGAGGGGGTGGTAGCTGTTAGGGGTGGGCCAATGCATTGATTTTTCAATACACGGGGATGCCACACATGACTGTCAATTACGTTTAACAAATATTCAAAAATCATTTTTTTTCCCCATGATAGTGAAATTACAAGTAAACAACTGCAGCACCCAGAGGTTGGCTAGAATGAAAAAAGCCGCCCGGATAGTTTCAAGGAGCTGACTCATGACAGACTGTTAGCCGTCATGGCAGCAGCTAAATCACTGGCTTCTGCAACTGAGCATAAGGTTCACACTTTGGGTTTGAAATCAAGCATGTGGAGTCTCTGTGTAAATAAAACATAATGGAGGTTAATTGGTTTGTTTTCTTTGTTTAATGGATACTGACACTCTATAACCACAAATAATGCTCAGAACAGCACCTAACTTCATCAACAGTACATATAGGGTCTCAGCCACAGCACTAGCCACCAAACATCTTTTTAACTTTGCCTGATTTCTTTAGTAAAGAGACTAAACACAACCCACCTACTCTCTTCCGGCAGACGCTTGTTTGTAGCAAGACCTCGGGCCAGTCCATTACGGACTGCTGCGGGTTAACGCAGCTCAAGGAAGAATATTTATGATTATTACTTTATTATTTCCTTGAAGTAATAATCATCATACTAATCATTTTGCACTGCAGAGTTCTTATGCCTTAGTTTCTTGCAGCAATTTTATTTCCATGAGGAAATTCTCATAAATGTTCTTCCTTGAGCTGCTTCACCCCGCTGTAGTCCGTAATGGTCTGGCCTGAGGTCTCGCTACTAACAAGTGGCTGCTGGAAGAGAGAGGGTTAGTTATGTTTAGTCTCTTTGCTAAAGAAATCAGGCAAAGTTAAAAAGATGTTTGGTCGCTTTTGCTGTGGCTGGGACCCTATATGTACTGTTGATGAAGTTAGGTGCTGTTCTGAGCATTATTTGTGGCTAAAGAGTGGCGTTTTGGTTGAGGTTTGTGTATGGCTCCATCGTCAGCTGAGTATTGCTATCATGTGGTGAATGTGTGGTTACTAAAGTTGGTATGACTAGAGAAGCAAGCAGTTGGCAACATTCATCTCTCGAGGGGGTGTCTAACTCAGTGTTACGGTGTGTTTGACCTTAAATTAATTTTATGCCGGAATTTTCCTTTTAAGGCTAGCTCTAGAATAAAAGCCCATATTGTGTAATTAAACATGTTGATAGTCTGGCATGACAAGAAATTGCGTCTGCATAATAAGGGGTGTTGCTGATTTTTTCTACTGCAGTACAAAATATTCAAGTATATCATCTTTAATTTCAAACCTTGGACCTTAAATTTGACATGTTTGTTCTCTTAGAAACAACCTTACCTGATCAGCATGCTGGATTTGAGAAAGTTAACCCTCTAACCCTTTTCTCCTGTGTTTTTCTCCAGCTAAAGAGCACCATTCAACACATCAACCTCCAGATCAGCCATGACACCAAAGAGTAAGTCTTCCTGCAGCTTACATCTGTTTTGATAATAGAGACATGATAGGGAGTGAGAGAAATTATGTTTACTGCAGACCACATTTGGTTTTTGTGTAAAGAATGAGTGAGTTTGTCGCCAGAAGCTGTCGACATGTGTGCTTATAGACAGCTATTCCCTGAGAGCTTTTAGGGAAAGATGGAAGCAGAAAGCAGGGCTCTCTCAGGGCAATTAACTTGTGTTTCAAAGGCCTTTAGCTCCACCAAAGCCCTTTATTCAGTGCATACTTTCACTAATTGCCCACTCAAACTTGGACATGATTTTGCATTTGTCAGGAAGTGTGAAATACCATCAGAAGTGTCTGAAACCTCTTTGAAAATGTGGTCCAGGAGTTTTTGCAAACAGAAAGTTAAACATCTTTGTTCAGAAGCCTTGGCACAACATAATGTACAGCAAAAGCATATAGCTGCCAACATACAATCAATTCACAAAGAGAGGGGTTTAACTAAAAATAGCCTTCATGAGTAGCAAAGCACACAAAACCAAGATAATTAGAGCAACATGATCTAAAGTATGACATTTTAAATGTGGTCTGAGTGCATCGACATGACAAAAGGAGAAACAAGGGGTTAAAACTTAAGACTGACAGCTTCTCAAAGTAAAGCCAAAGTATTCAGAGCACCCTATGGCTCCAGTTTAGATTATGAGCCCCTGCTCCTCCATGCTGACAGGCCGCAGGGGTCAAATTTTGCCATAGAATTACAAGTCAAGTAAATTGGTCTCCAACATGGTTTCTGTCTTTGCGGTTAGTTCAATCAGTGACTCATGATGTACTGACAAAAAATTAATTGCAGCTGTTGGTGTGTGTGAAACATCAAGTACTCATTAATACCTTATAGCTTGCTTCACATGAGAGATTTGAAATGTATAGATTGCTACCATCGTGTCGCCGTCAAACAGCGAGGAGGACAGTGATCCTTTATGTCATTACCAACTGTGCACACTCTGACTTTAGATATCAACACCAGCCTAATAACTCACCGTCTGTCAGGAGGCTATTTTGCCAGGAGGAGGTGGTGATATATCTCCCTTCTTTATATAAGGTTTATAGTTACATTTAGTGAAATCACTACCAATCATTCGCACACATGCGTATTGTCATCTCCTTTAATGGTTCATTTGCTAAGATGACAAACTGTGATGAAGTCTGGAGCAGTGAAAGGATATGGGAGAGTGGGGTAAGATGAGACATTGTTTATATTTCGGATCACTACATCAAGATGATCATAGTTTTGTCTCTAACTAGTGTATCTGCATATATTTCAAGATGTTGTGCATCCCTGCAAACCAACAGAATGAGTGTAAACATGACTGTCTTGATAATATAGCATGCCAAAAAAAAGTGGCATCCTATAGGAGCAGGGTAAGTTGAGCCTACTACCCCTACTATCCCTACTACCCCCCACTCTCCATCCCAGCCCTCCCTTACCATCTCTCTCCCTAAACAAAAGTCACTTCTTTACAGAACTACTATTATGACTTTATTAGTCCTCTAAGCTAAAATGGTGGACTTTAATACTTTGTTTTTGACCTCATGTTGTAGCTCATAGATACCACAATTTATGTATAAAACAAATTTAAAATGATCTTTTTTGGTCTGAACATAATTCTAATAAAACTTATGACAGACTAAATTCACTTTCAAGAGTGAAAAAGGATTTTTTGGTGATAAATGTCTAACCCCTTCACCCATGTGCTTCCAACCTTAACAGACTCCATGAATTAATACCCATCTCCTAAATATTTGGTCACATGATCAATTTCTTTTACCATTTCCAAGCAACAGGGGGTGGCTCAACTTACCCTTTGGTTCAACTTACCCCACTCTCCCCAATAATATTGATTTTAGCTTTCACTTCACATCTCGTCTTTTACATCTAAGATTTGTTGATTTAGCAGAGAATCTCTCCACATTTGGATAATGACTCCTCGTCTGAATAAATGCTGGATTAGGAAGTGTGAATGACTTCTGTTTTGGCGGAGTCATGAGAAAAATGTGTAGATGGAGTTTGAAAATAGCCAGGGTGATTAAGGTGAGAAGAAGACCAGAAAAAAAAGACAGAATTAGAGACAGCAAAGCAGAGTGTCAGGAAGACAGAGTGAGACAGAATGCAGACAGAGATGACAGAGACTGACAGCCATCCTCCTCAGTCTGACATCTACAGCCACACATCCAGCAGTGAGAATACAGAGAAGCAGCCAAAGAAGAGTCGAGAGAGAGGAGAGATGGCGCACGATGCTGCTTAAAGGCCATCTTCACTTAAACTGGCAATGTGCTGTCTAAAAAAGCATCAGCGTTTCACAAGCTGACACTGAGCTGAACTTGACTGATCCTCCCCCAAAAGAAGCAGGAGGATGCACAATTCCTCTCACTTTGATTAAAGATCCTGAAAAATACTTGTTCAGCTCCTGGACAGCTCTCTAAATTCGTAAATGTAGTCCTCATTTGTTCTGTTTTTATCCTCTGTCCCAATTGTCTTTGGAGGAGTTGTGATAATTGAAAATAAAAGAAACTTTAAATGCCAAGCTCAACTTTCAGTATTTCTAGTGGTGTAAGGAGAAGTGTCAGCAGCACCAAAAGAAGAAGAGTTACACTCAGAAGAGCTGTGGTCGCTCACCCCCAGAGTACTAACTGTACAACTTTCCAGTCAGGCCTGTGGTGTTCAAAGGTGCTGTGTTTGTTTTCATGTTGTTGTTTTTTTTTTGAGAGTAGATTTGAAACAAACAGAAATAAAAAAAAGAGAAGTACACCTCGTTCCCAGGGTGGATAGCAAAGCGTGTTAGCAAATCTATTTCCAGGAATTTTGCTTTTTATCAGCGCAAGCCAAGAAATGCAGGACTAAAACCTCTCAGATAAAAGTGTAATGTTTCCCAAACACAAGAACAAAATGGACAGAGGGAGAAAGAGACTGACTGACAGGCAGGCAGGCAGTGTGTGTCTGTATTAGTGTGTGTTTAAGCTAGGGCCAAGCTCTCTCCCCGCTCTGTCTGCATTCCCATTAGAAGAGCGTTCTGGTCCGTGGCCGCCCAGAGGATTTGAATGGCACAGGCTCTGGGTAATGGGAACATGGGGATACTGACAGATTGGCAGGGAGTTTTTTTTCTGAGTGCCAGTTCCACCATCAGTAGCAGAAGCACAGCATTTTATCTGGTACTGTTTTTGTTGTTTTTCCCTTCTCACAGACTGACATTTATTTAGAGAGTCCTGACATAGAATGATAGAAAACCTCATTGTCAAATCCATGTATAGGAACGACATTCACTTATCCCCTCCCGTCTCACTTCATTCAGCTAGTCAGACAAGTTTGACAAAAAGAAACATGGTCAGGCCAATTCTATTTAGAAAGCTGCTTTGTGTCCTCTCAGGTCAGGGGTATTGGGGCTTCAGGAAGTAGACAGCAAGGACAGCTAGAAAATATCTTAAACAAGGTAAAAAAAGATGTACTGCAGTCCTAATTAAAAGGGAAAAAGCATCAAAGTCTTTTCCTGGAGAGTGAGGATGATATTTAGCGAATGTCATTCCTGACACCTTTTCAAAATTCTGACACCCTCTGCAGCACCTGGCTTAACTTTGATATTTGTTGTTGTTGTTTTAGCTCAAGTAACAGAAGAAAAAAATGCTTCAACATGGTTTGAGTGTTGGAGGAATTTCAGCATAATCTGTAACTGACAACAAAATTTGGTTTCCTTTTCAACAGAGACAAACCCAAGCTCATATTACAGCATAGCATATTATCATTGTGTAAGTGACACCTGGGCATTTTTTGCGGTTATATTGAATTTATCCAAACAAACAAAATCCAAGTCCGGTGTACATAAAGCTTCCATGTGATTCGGTTTATCAAAAGTTGGTTTAAGGCTTCAAAAGATCTTAGAAACCAATGGAAGATGTCCTAGAGATATTTTCTACACTCTGAGTGACACACAAACTTTCCCTATCCAAGCTTTGGCTGTCTGACTTTTTATTTAACGAAAATGCAATCTTTGTCTTTTTTCAAAATTCTAAGTAAAGGAACCATTAAAGGAGATGACAATTTGTGTGCTGATGATTGATAGTGATTTCACTAAATGTAACTATTCATCTTATATAAAGTAGGAAGATGCATCGCCACCTCCTCCTGTTGCACAAAAACGAAGGCAAAATCTGTGAAACAATGGTTTTCATGGTGTTCAGGGCAAACATGGAACAGACGAAAAAAATTGTCTGTTTGTCTAATTGGTTTTAAATCATTTTATGTCTTTCTGATTTTAAATTGTTTTCATCCCTCCTTTTTAAAAATTTTAATGCATTTACATCTGTAAAGCACTTTGAATTGCCTTGTGTATCAATGGTGCTGTACAAATAAACTGGCCTTGCCTTTTTATTTTACGCCGTCTCGCAGTAGGTCGGTTTAGCACACTGATACTACGCATGCTACCACGACTTCTGCACAGTGATGCTGCTTGATATCAAGCTGTAATCATCAAACAGCTAGTTTTGCACAACTTTAAACCGTGAACAGGGGTCAACCGCTAACAAAATCCTCGAAAGCTCACTAATTATCGAGTAACTTTCAAATTGTTACGTGGAATCTAAAGGTTATAAGGGAACTATGTCAAATCAGTCAGACTTCAGAAACAATCTCATTCAGGTGATTTGGTTCCATTCCAATATTTTCTGCGCTTGGAGTCGATAGATTACTTGTTTTTTTATATGTTTCTGTGTGGCTGTCTTTCCTTTCTCAGGAGGCCTGACACAGTCAAACAGAAGAACGCCTTTCCTCCAAACTTCATCCACTCTCTGGACTCCACACACATGATGCTGACTGCTCTTCACTGCTACAGGTATCATCCAACACTACAAATTAAGCCGAGACACGTTCCCTCTATCCCTGCTGCTGAAGCAGAATTTCCTTCCCTAAAGAATTATGTAATAAAAGCCCTCCTGTCCTGAACGCTCTTATAGGCTCAGCTCAGCAGAGTATTTGTATTGTACTGTGGTCTCACAGAATCAGCCCTCCTGACATGACTGGTTATTCATAATGGAACTCACTGACTTTGAATGAGGGTTTCCCTTTTTTTGAGCTGCCGTGTTTCACCTTTTGTCAGAGTCTGCCTGTTTTTTAACCGAACAGCATGTTATTTTTCTTTTTTCTTCTGGTTTCAAACCCCACTTACGGACTCTGCACTTCTTTGTTCTCCTTTCTTCTCTTTCTCTCCAGTGCCGGCCTGACGTTTGTCTCGGTTCACGACTGTTTCTGGACTCATGCCCTCACTGTGGACACCATGAACAAGGTATCAACTTACAGTACAACCTTTTCCACCCCAGCCTGTATGGATTACCTCACTTTTTTCTTCCTTTCAGAGCTGTCAGATCATGCTTTATCAGTCTTATTTTGATGATCAGTTCAAGCTCGAGGTGGCAGTCCTCCCCTGCTAGCTAAATGTAGTCTGTCAACAGGCCAAGAATGTGACACAGCATATAACAAAATAGATCAAGTTACCATAAAGTCCCAGTCTGGAGCAAAGCCACGCCTTTATGTCTTTATGCAATCTCTGAGGAGTTATAACCAGTGAAGCAGTGTCCTCAAAGTAGATTTATTTCCTCTCACCTTTTATTGTGATAGTGTATGCATTCCTCATTACACAGGTAATTAAACACAACTGCAGGGGTGAGCTATCAGGTATCTTAGTCAATAAATAAGCTCCAAAGTTGGAGGGTGTCATTTAAATCCAAACAATTTTTGTCATATGCAGCAAGAGGTCCATATAATCTGTTTGCTGTCCATTCTGTGAGTGCTGAAAACAAACCAGTGTTTGTGCACAGTCCCAGCCCAGTAAATTGGAAACAAACACAGTGGGCAGACTGAAGCACAAACATAATTCCAGCAAATAAGCAACAGGTACCAGGGCAGTGCATTCGGACCTCTGCTTTTGCTGCAAGTAAACTTGCTTACCTCATTGTGGATAACTTTAAATAAGCAGCAGGTTTTACTGTTTCTTTCCCCGGCATTGCCAGACCATTAACTGCAGGGGCCATATAAGGGAGCACTGAAGGGAGGGTTGCATTTGTTTGGGCCCCGATTCCAAATAACCAGTCCATTTCCACAGTTGTATAACATACCTGTAAAGGTCACTGATTCGTCCTTTCATCCTTCATACCCTCACTTTCTGAGCAGTCTATCAATTTCAGAGTAACAGGGGGCATGAGCCAATTCCAAAAACCCTTCAGGAGCATGTAGTGTAGCATTCAAGCAAAAGCCCTGGAGGGTTTTTATGCAGTTCTCTCTCACATCCTCGGGTAGTTGTGTGTCCTTAAATGAGTCTGTATGTGTAACAAGATAAAAAATGAAAGGGGTTGTGGTTTATTTTGGTTTGTTTTTCCCCCAATGAGGGGTTGTTCTTGTGAAACAGCACAAAAGTCATCAAGTAATAGGTAGGGTTTGGTTCAAAATTCGTGCGATAAAACCTTGTCAGTCTGAAGCTAAAGAACTGATGCCACCAACTGTTCATCGAAAAGAAACCTTGTAATATTCACATAAATGTTTTAGCAAATCCTCTTTTACATCACTTCTTTTTGTTTTAGAAGTCTGACATTGAAAAAGTTGTTGTAACCTTTTAGCAGTAACTGAAATGTCAGTTATTGAAGACATTTTTTCCAGGTTTTGTGACTGCCTCATGTATATTTTTTCCCTCTCGTCCTTTGTTGTCATCTTCTCACCACCTCATCTTTTACCTCATCAGCACAACAACAACAGGAGTTGTTTGATCAAGTGTTCAGGCTAGAGAAACTCAAAAGACTCTTCTTTCTGCCTCTGCTTTTCCTCTAAGGTCTGTCGGGAGCAGTTTATCGCCCTGCACGGCCAGCCGATTCTTCAAGATCTGTCCACCTTCTTGCTAGAGAAATACTGCAGAGGGCCCCCGTGAGTGTTCATACCTACACCCAGGAACATGTATAGATTTACACGCTGACATCCACACATGTACTTTGACTTAAGATCAGAAGAATCAGATCTGTGATAGTAGCTACATTTATCACAAGTTAAATCTTTTTTTGGTCTTTTTTTTTCAATAAGTTACTTATATATGCTTCGTTATTTTCTATTCTTTGATCTTACACAGTATCTATCAAGTCCCTCTCTCTCTCTCTCTCTCTCTCTCTCTCTCTCTCTCTCTCTCTCTCTCTCTCTCTCTCTCTCTCTCTTTCTCTCTCTGTTTCCCTCCATTTCTCCCTGTCTGTATTTATGAAACAGTGTTATCTTAATGGACTTTTATGGTTTTGCTCACCATACACCAAACCTGCAGCTCCACCTACATACTGTACATTATCAAAGAGTGCAAACAGAACATATACACACACTGAAGGTTATAGGATTGTAAAAGTTATATGAGTGAGCCGGAGTTTTTCCTCCCCTCCACTCTGACACTCTCTCTCTCTATCTATCTATCTTTCCATCCTTCTGCATCATTCTTCCTGGCCTCAGGCGGGGTTATGCTCACCATCTAACTGTGTTTTTCTCTCTTTGGGATAATTGGACACCTCTTCTACAGCTTTTACTCTCTCTTTTTTTTCTCCACCCTCTCCCTTGAGCCTTGCAAACACATTATTCTGTACTGTAGTCACTGGAGAGACAAACATGAGGGAATAGAGGGTTTTTGGAGTAGCATATCAAAATTGATTTGTTATGAAATTAATGTTTCATGACTACCTTATGTAGAAATTTGAGGCACTACCTTAAAGGGGGGGGATAAGAAATCAATATATGAAAAATAAATCTCATAACCAAAGTGAGTGAATACTCTGTTAGGGATCTGTTCAACTCTTGTTAGAATGACAAAAAAGTCAAATTATTACCTTTTTTATAACGGATAAATACTAAAACAGTAAGTGAATGAAAGCGAAATAAAATTAAAATAATAATGATAAATAGATAGGAAAATAATAGCTCAAGTTACATGACTTAAAGCTTACAGGATAATTGATTGTGAGATTGTTTGAGACAGAAAACAATGGAGTCAAACCAAAAAAGGGGATTACTTTGGCTTGGAAAGGAAAAAATAAAAAGTTTGGTCATTATTTGTGGTGCCAGATCTCCATTAGACATCAACAACTTATCACAGCAACCATGTTTAGTTAAGTTTAGTTTATTCACACACATCTTCACTGGATATATAGTACATATCACAAATATACATATATACTGTATATATATATATATATATATATATATATATATATATATATATATATATACACATAACATATACAAATATACACATGTACACTGGAAATTTCTCAGTGACTGGACATGTGGAAAGGGTGACCCCAAGGAAACTATGTAAAGCTTATAGCAGGGGGCCCAATTATCCACAAATAAAGTGGCAAGAAACACAATACAACAACATACTACGACATACACCAACATGGATGGATGGATGGATGGATGGATGGATAGATGGATAGATAGATAGATGGATAGATGGATAGATGGATAGGCAGACAGGCAATAAGGCTTGGTGATGACACAGGAAAGCTCCAAAGACTCTTTCAGTTTGAACATCCACGAGAACCGAATAACAGAACGAACTTGGAAGGTCGACGTACATCAACCTGGAATCAAACGCCCAACCTTACAACTGAGAGGTGGCTGACTTTACCACAGAGCTACATCCACTTCAAATTGAACATTGGCTGTAGGAAAAGTAAATGAAGGAAGTTTCTTTAGGATGCAATCAGTTGTGTAGTCTGACCGATACCTCTTTGTAATCTCAATAAATTAATTGTAATCCCTTGTCTGGGGATGATTCAGGGGATTTCTTATCTTTATTAAAAACGCAGCAAAAACTTGAATAGGTTAGTAAAAAATACTTACGCAGTTGATTATTCATTATTAGAAGTAGCACTGATTGGGGTTTTAGCTGGTCTGAAAAAAAGAAAAACATGTTACTTCAAGGAACTAAATACGGCCACCTCATTTGCACTACACATGATTTGGTTCCTTAAACTAGCAGAAGTACATCAGCACCTTAATGTGAGCTGAGACTCTCCAGAAACCATCAAGAAAGATGGAAAATTGAATTGCACACCTATCCAAGCACAAACATGTTTTTTCTCTGAGATATAATGGTCTTAACTTTATTTCTGCGGTCTTTTGCGACAGGACTGAGGCCAGGAACAAGAAGTACCAAGAGTACAGGAAGCTGTTGTTGCTGCTGGCCAAAGTACCACAGACAGGTCAGTATGATTCAGAGGTCAGGCAACCAAACCCCTGACCTCACTAAGGTTTACGTATCTTTGAAGGAGGGAAACAGACGAAATTAGCTGGAGGAGACCAAAATATCCTGAGGCTCAGTTTTAGAGCAACAGGGAGGTTATTCAAGCGCCCCTTGCACAGGTTTTATTTTCTCTCCTGTTCAATAAGTCCTAATTGTAGTTACGTACTGTCACTGTGGTTGTACTATTATGTCGTCCACATGGTTGTCCAGCTGTCTGTTTTGCCCAGACACTCTGTTCCTACTTCATATCAAACAGGACAGTCCTCTCATTTTGGACAGAAATCAATTTTCAGCTATTCATATTTGTGATTTTTTTTTTTTTTAGTCATTGTTTGTTTTTTTTTTATATTTCTGCACGGCCACTCAGGTCTAAATCCCTCTATTTTCATTTCACACCACAGTAAGTGTCTGTCTATTGTTGCCCAGAGTAAAGGTACAGAGAAGTCATCACTGTAAGTCAGGTGGACTGTAGCTCTGCTGTTATGTAACCTGTTACTTTATCTCCATCTGTACACCTATTGTACGCTTAGTACGGACAGATGTGTGGTATAAATTGATTACCGTTAATTGTGTCCCTCCCCTGCGTAATCAGCTTATGTGTCTGAGACCAGTCAGGTGTGGTCCCGGGCTGTATGTGCTTAGACGTGATCTAAAGTACATTACGCTATGAAAGACCTTTTATTAAGGTGAATTGGGTTTCAATTTGTGTAATCCAGCAGATGATCCTATGTATGACCATGGAGCTGAAAGAGAAAAGCCCAGAGAGCGCAGTGATTTACTTCAGCCATAGTAGTGAGAAGATGCTTTTAGCTGAATTTAATAATGATACAGTTGATTTCTGTTAAGATCTTAAATAATGGTCAGTCAATCAATCAATCAAGCTTTATTTATATAGCACTTTTTACACAAGTCGAATTAACTTTACAATCAAAAGTGCTTTACAGTGATTGGAAACAAAACAGTTCAGAGTGGGAATACAAATAAAATCAGTGACAGAAAATGTAAAAAAAAAACAGGATAGGTAGAGACTAATGCACACCAAAGCTGTAAAATATGTGTAATTAAACCATTAAATTATATTAAAAAAATGTTAAAATTATTGAAAGAAAAACATTGAATATACAATGTAAAATTATTGAAAGATAATTAGTCAAATAAATATATAAATAAAAACACTAAGCTAGCTATAAAAACTAGTAATTAGATACTAAAATACAATAGTTTAGAATAAACCAATGAAATAATATTAAAATCTCTATAAAACTCCCACAAACTAAAACTTGTAAAACCTTTACAAAAAAAAGCCAGACTGAACGGGTACGTCTTTAGTTTAGTTTAAAAGTCTCAATATTTGCAGCTTCCTCCAGATTGGTATAGCACTGTACTGGCTGTACTGAATCATGTCCCTTATGTTCAGAAGCTGTAAGCCTTTGTTGCAGGCAGCCTGAGTCCAACCTTAAGCCCTTTGCAGCACGCGATCCCCCTCTTTATCTGCCCAATTTCCCTCTCTATCAATTAGTCCTATTTCCAAATAAAGACAAAAAATTCCCAAAATAAAATCAACAAAGGCTGTTTTACCGAAGACAGTGAGTTCCAGGAATGGCAGACAGGACGTGTCAACACATACAGTCGCTGACAGTTACAGGAATCAGTAGGGAATATAGAAAATATGTTCCATGTAATATGGCCTGTTAAAGACAGATATACCAATCCTCTGGTCATTTGTTTAAAAAAAAAAAAAGGGCAGACCTACTATAATCGAGACAAAAATATGTGCAGAAACCAGAACCACTGCAGTCTATGATTTCACAGGACAATGAGGATTTGTGCGTATAAAAACCCTAACAGTGGTGCTCTTTAGATAAAAAGGTTCTTTAAATAAGTTTCAAAACACAATTTCACCCAATTTTAACATTTAAAGCAGCTTGTAGGTTGTTTATTTCTGCATCTAAGGAAGAAATCAAAGAGGTTAATTATTAAAGTAAATTGTAAGTAGAGTAGGGCCCAATACAGACCCTTGTGGGATACCGTTTAGACTTTTAAAACCAGATTTAGGTTAAAACAAGGAAAATGGAACCAAAAATAGGGAAAATAACAGATGTTGCTTGTAATTGCTTGCTTTCAATTTTAATCACAGGGTTTTTTTTGTTTTGCTGTTCTGATGCTTTTTGCCAAATTCAGCATACACTGATAGTTTTGAGGCGATGAACTGATTATTTACTTTATTAAAGCGGCCTTACATTTAGTTTATGTGACCACTCTTGAAGACTTAACCTGCTCTGACACTCTGTCTCTCATCTCTCCAGGTAATTTTGACCTCCAGCAGGTGAAAGAATCCACTTATTTCTTCAGCTGAGACGCTCATGAGGGGAAACCAGTGGAGGGAGATGAGTGGAATTGACAGAGTGCAGCAGGGAGACTGCAAGCCCTGGGGTTTCAACTGGCTTTGTCTCCCTCAGACATCGGTACATTGATCCAGCCGCACCCTGCCTGTCTCCTGGTCTGCAGGCTGGCTGGAGCTGCTGGAGCGACTAGAGGCGCTCGCACAGAGTGAAGCTGCCTGATTAACTGACTAGTGGGCTGATTGGAGGAAGGGTGAAGGAGGCAAAAGATGAAGGAATCAACCCCGGGGGAGGGATGTTGAGAGCTCAATCAGTGAAAGTAGGCTGTAGCTTTTCTAAAGGATACCTTGACCATATCAAGGTACATGTGTGAGTGTCGACACATGAGCCATAGCTACTGACTGAAACTTGGAAGTGTTTCTGTTTCATTCTTGCGCTGTAAATATTCTGCTGTACACTGGACAGAGCTAAAACTCCAACTGAAACGTCTTGTTGATTGTGTGTCTGAGTGAGAGTGTGCATGAGTGAGAGTAAGTATATTTTTATAATGTGTAGACTTCCATCGAGCCTCTGTCACTGCCTCACCTGATTACTGATCATATTAATCAACAGATTACGTGGTCCCCTCCCTTACCATCTTCAATCACTTCATTTTCTTTTTTTCTGAAGGAGTTCAAGGAAGGGGCTTTTAAATGATTTCACAAATGATGTGCTGTACTGTAACTGGAGATGTGGGACTGTAAGACAAAGAGAAACATGAAGCAAACAGCCAAGGGCTTCTTTACATGCATTGTGAGATGGAGTACTCTTGATTTTTACCTTTGGAGAGTGACTAAGCACTTGAAAATAACCCTAAAATAAATCTGTTTCTTAAAATGTCTCCTTGTTTCTTCAGTGGCTCACAGAAATAGCTCGTACTCTGGGTATTCTTAAATAGGATGAATGAAACAGCCTGTTATTTAATCGTATTCCTGTTTCAACTGTATTGTGTATCTTGAGATGAAGGCCTCCTTTTGAAAGCACCACAAAGGGTTTGTAGACTTTTCAGATCTTATTTTTTTTCTAGGCCAGTGCTGAATCTAGAATTAAAAATAGAAGTGTTATCTTATCATTGCTGGAAACGTTACAGCAGATTCAGACAAAAGGTGCTGTTGATGTTCAAAGGCAAATAGTCTCAGCCAAACAAAGCTGGCTGAGTGGAAATCTAATGAAATGGAAATTATCTTCCACGGGGTATAAATGCTGCGCTGATTGGAGTGTTGGGTTTGAAATGATTTGAATGGTAGATGGAGTCTTTCTATATAGAGCTTTCCCTAGTTTTCTGATCATTCAAAGTGCTTTTACAGTACATGTGACATTCACCCATTCACTTTCTGGTAGATGGTAGTGGTTACTATAGAAATCTGCCATCAGTTTGAACTCACTCTGATCACACCATTGGGCGCAGCCAGCAGGGGGAGTTGCCAAAGGATACTGTGGACTCTGGGATTAAACTCCGAACCTTTCAACTGAGAGACAACCACTAAACCACAGAGATAAAACATCGACTTGAAGATGTTCTTTCCCACTGAGCATTTTTTGGTCTAAAAGAGGTGTAATAGACGTCTAAATGTAGCCTAGACAACTGGTCTAAAATCAAGGTACTACAGGTCTGAAAATGAGATGTCTAAATTTAGACCAAGTTTAGACAAAATCTAAATTTGGGCTATATCTATACTACACTGTTTATTGCTCAACAGCTATCATAATTATTTTGGTTAAGGACCTAGAGATCAGTTATTCAACTCACAGTTGCTTTTTGAAATAAATAGTTAACGAATATTGTGTTACAGTGCAACGTCTAAATCTAGACGATTGAAAATTAAGTCTTAAAAAAACGTCATCTAATAGCCGTCTAATGCTCAGTGGGTTGTATTTCTGATTTGAATGACATCTGACATTTATTGGTGTTGTCATTCACAAACGATTCATTGAAAAGAACTGAATCTTTTAAGTGAACGTACTGAACTGAATCACTTCCTCAAGTGATTCGTTCGTTTCTCACTTGAGCTGACGCCTGAATCACTTGGTGAACGAATCACGCATTGAACTACACTCTCTGGAAACATTTTTGTCGTACAAAACTACCTTTTTATTTTTCACTGCTTAATTGCCACCACAACAACTTTCATACAATAGGAAACAGCATGTAACAAGTAGCGTATTAAACCCACAGCATCCTTTCATTGCAGAGGTTTGCGAGAGAACGGTGCATGTTCAGTGTGAATTCTTCTAAACATTAGTGAACAAATCACTCACTGAGCCCAATTTACCGAGCAGGCCTGATAAATAGCATACCATTGTACAGTACACTTAAAACATCATGACTTATAAACAAGTTCATTTTTACAAACCTGTTTGTCAAAGCAACACAACCAAACACTCTCGTCTCCCGGTCCCAGAAGCTATGATCTGAACTGAATCCTGAACTGTTCAGCTGTGTATCAGTTCAGGAGGTCGGAGTCGCAGGCTTCTCCTGCTAAATGATTCAGTGATTTGGTGAACAAATCTTTTTAGTGAACTGATTCTAGTGATTCAATACATCTAAAAGAACTGCTGTGCCCGTCACAAACGTTTATGAGATGCGACCTGTAACATCAGTTAGTTTGGTTCTGCTTTTAGAAGTGTAAAGGTCTTCGCATTCATATTGAACCATTTTGGTACAGGGCACATGCACACTGAACTGACACATGCGAGTCAGGGTTTGACTGCATAAGGAAAATTTGCACTCATAAATTTTTTCTACTCAATCAGATCTTCTAATTCCAGCAACTTAATCATACATATAAAGCGCAGTTGTGTGCAGGCTTTTCTTGAGTTAACTTCATATCTGCCTCATTTAGTCACTAAGGCAGCTATTAAGTTGGTAATTGTGCCGAAGGTGCACACTAGCATGCCTTTACAAGAAGATCACACCGGATTTGTTAGCAGTTCAGCTCCTTCTTGTTCAGCCTGTTATTGTTTAGCTCGGTTAATGAGCCAGTTCAAACAGTCTATTACTCTGTACCTGCAGCCATCTAAGTGATAAAGCAAACAAGGCCAAGGTCTCTCAGCAAGACTCAGCCAAGCGTGAGCCTCTCCTCTCCTCTCCTCATCTTTTAGTGCAGATGACACCGGCAGAGCTCTCTCGTTTTAAGTGCTCCAGGATCTCACATACTTTACACATATTATATTTCACAACTTAGCTTTTGACAAATGGCAGATAAAAAGTATAACACGGAAGAACGGAGGAACGGTTGACTGGACCGATGAATGACGAAGTGTCTCAATCAATAGCTGTGATTTACGTCAGAAGTACAGTGAGCCGGCAAGGAAAAGGTTTTAAATGCTTCAACACCACACATGAGCATTTGACACCTTCTTTCTGACATGGCTTATATGTTTATTTTTTTTATCTATTATTTTTTTGCATAAAGTATCATTTTCTCAGGCTGAGGGAGCAAACAGGATATTGAACAGGGCCTTAATGGGCCTTGATGTCTCAGTTTCTCTGGGGTGTTTCATAGGATGTCTGCTGTTATATCTTATACATTACCAGTCCAACCTGCAGTAATGGAAGACGGTTTGTTGAAGGAAACACAAGGATAGCATCCATTACAGGGCCTCTCCAGAGATTACCATGTCTAATTGATAATGATGATGATTCTGTGTCAGGGAAATGTAAAGTGCAAAGACGATGGAAAAAGGCACAACTTTTGAATTTGATTGAACAATTGCTGAGATATCTACTGAAATAAGTCAGTTTTTCTGCCTGACTGAGTGATGATCCACAAAGAGATGTTTTGAAAGTTGTTCAATGTGCCTGCCATCAGGTTATGAAATTATGAAAAGAAATAAATATTTCACATTTTGTTAAAAGTTATACAGCATGCTTTACTTTTTAAGTTACAACTCTGCATCTGCAGAAAGAAGTGTAACATCCAGCTTTAAGTGAGCTCTTTCCTTCAACCACAGAGTCTTTCGAACTTGAACACTATGGACGTGTTGGTCAATATCAGCAAGACATGCCAGAGCTGGAAGTCACTCTTTGATAGCCTCACCACTCACTCCTACTGAGAGCACTTTGATCTCCATGCCAGGCTCCCGGGCTCTCCTGGCCTATCAGCGGTCCCATGGTGTCATGAGTAGCCAGCACTCAGCAGCACGAACAGGGGAGCGGAATGTACAGACAGTGATGGGGGGAACTGACGGAGTAACAGAGTCCTGATTTAATCTGTAATGAGTTGGCAAGATGACTTTGTTTAGTCTGACTCATGAACTGTGTTGAGTTCCTCAAAATGAACAAAAAGGTATAAACATATTCCCCTAGGAGTTGTCCTAAAAACTAAAGGCTGATAGTGTTGAATCCACAAAGACTTTTTATTATCTGTGTTGAAATCTTTGGATGGCAAGATTTTCCAGTTTCCCCCCTCTTTTGACAATCTCAACCAACTGTGCAGGGGAACTGGCCACAAGAGCAGCAACTTCAATCAGTGGGACCTTTTCAGCTGTAATGGCTCTCCAAAAAATCAAGGGTGTCTTTTAGAATCGTTTTTTCCTCAAAAATACCAAGAAATACAAGAAAAAGTTTGTCATTTCTTGCAACCCTTTAAGGAGACCTATAACCCTCACTTGCAGAGAGCGTCCAAAGGTCCTTACATACCGGGAGCGTTTTTTCGTGTGATTATTTCAGACGTCATTATTTTTTTTTGAACCTGTATCTAAAAGTGGATTTTAGGAGGAACAAGCCCCTGCCCACTCCTGTCCGCATCAGTGGGACAGATGTGGATTTGGTGGACACCTACAAGTACCTGGGTGTTACACTGGACAATAAACTGGACTGGTCCGCAAACACAGAGGCGGTGTACAAGAAGGGCCTGAGCCGGCTCTACTTCCTGAGGAGGCTCAGGTCCTTTAACATCTGCAACAAGATGCTGCAGATGTTCTATCAGTCTGTTGTGGCGAGCACAATCTTCTTTGCTGCGGTGTCCTGGGGCGCGTGCATCAAGGCAAAGGACGCCAACAGACTGAACAAACTCATCAGAAGGGCAGAGTCTGTTGTGGGCTCTAAACTTGTCACCCTGGAAGAGGTGGTGGAAGACAGGATGCTGGCAAAGCTGCTGGCAATCATGGACAATCCCTCCCACCCCCTCTACAACACACTGGACAGGTTGAAGAGCAGCTTCAGCAACAGACTCATTCAACCCCGCTGCTCTAAGGAAAGATACAGGAAGTCATTCCTACCTACTGCAATAAGACTCTTTAACTCATCCACCCCTGTTAGAGCCACAGTCACTTACATGGACTAGCCTGCCATTCCTACATTGTTGTTATAAATACGGGTACACATGCTTAGGTTGTAATTAAGTTATATTAAGCACATATAAGTATCATACAATATTTTTATCACTTTTGCACATTTCTCCTTTGCACATCTACACTTACAGATTCTTTCATCTTAGCACATACTATTTAAGTACTCATATTCATTAATTATCTTGTATAGTCTTGTATAGTCTTGTATATTTTATCTATTTTTTGTATTTCTCTTGTATTGCTTGTATCGGCTACTATAACAACCGAATTTCCCCTCGGGGATTAATAAAGTTCTCTATCTATCTATCTATCTATCTTGTCAATACAATTGTCGACATCAGTGACGTTTTCCCGTCCTGCGATATTGCGACATTTATTTTTTCTTACCGCAGTCGATTTTCTAAAGTTTCGCATACTGTGTCCACTTCTGCAATCAGATTGTGTGTTGTTGCAACGTCCGATTCACCGGTATATCCAACATGGCCGACCAGCTGATTGTTTACATGTCGGAGAACAGAGCGCTTTTTGATAAAAGACACAAACAATACAAAGATAACGACCTGAAGGACAACTTGTGAAGAGTCATAGCATCGGATTTCTCATATAACGATAGTTTGTGTGCTTTAGCAGTTTGCTAAACGTCTTTGTTTTAACTTTCATCTGTGCTAAGTAACTTTAGCTCGTAAGCTAACCTGTTTAGATACAACATACCATATGTATTTTCACTGTCTCAAACTCAATTGCGTTGCTGTCACAGCACAGTTAGGTCTCGGTTGTTACCTTACGCTTATGGGTTATAGTTTAATGTGCTTATCTGGTACTGGCCCCGACTCAGTACATGCTATCATGACAGACAGCCATCTCAACACTAGTGTCTAATCAGAACTGAAAAACACTCAGTCTGCTGTTGTGTCAGTATTCTTGCTTTCACCCGGGACACGTCTTTTTTCCCGCACTTGATTTGTATGGTTGGGCGCGTCAAAATTCACCTCCGAATATCTTGTAATTTCGCGTCATATATTTGCATCATTCCTGGTGTGTAAGGACCTTTACGGCTCACACTTCGAGCCCATATAGCTCTCCATTCAGTCATGTAAGCCCATGTTTGCTATTGTTACATCAGCTGTTTAATGGCCTTAGCTAACATAGCATTAAGTATTCCAGGAACTGTATTGGCCGAGATCCAAAGGTTAAAGGTTAAAAAAAAATTCTGGTGAAATATGGCAAAGAAATGGTAATTTTTGGGCTACTGTCCTCATTCCAGCTGCTCACTATGAACATAATGTCAGATTAAAGTTGAAGAAATATTGCCTCCCAGTGTAGCCTTCAGGCCCTCCTTTCCAAAACGACAGCAGAAAAACTCATCTGAAAGAACAAAAAAATTTACACAGGAGGGCCTAGGGGTTAAAAAACTGATTTGGAATTAAAACATATATATAACCTTTATGACAAAGGAATTCATTTGCTCAAATGATTAATTCATTATTCTGCACAATCTTGTCTTAGCTGATAAAGAAAAGTACGTATTTCTCTTATTAACTAGGCAGATACCAAGATCCTATTCAATTAGAAGGAACATAATCAGTAAAAAGCAATTATTTTGATAGATGGTTTATATGAATATAAAACATCATGACTGACAAAGCAGGGAATTCACCATCACATGCCTTTATTGCACTGAAAGTTTAAAGTCTATAAATAATATGCAAAATCATTAACCAGTAACCTGTTTGTGCTTTTCCAACACCCACATTAACTCTCTAAACACAAAGCAGTAGAATCATGTTGTAGTCAAATACATTTTATTTGCTCTCCTTTTTACATGTATTGCAGTGGGATATAACTGACAGTGGTGTCTTTATTGTGAGGAGCTTGCATCTTTTGTACAGCCACACACATAAACAATATACGTAGTACATGTATGTGGAGACTATAGTATATGCTAGGCACTAGGTATGCACAGTACATGTTATGGGAGGTGACAACTATAGACTGGTTCAGTTGAAGAAAATCAGGTCCCTGATGCAGAAATGCTTGCACTGCACTGTGAGTCTGCATTTCTCTGAAGTTCGTAGTGATGGAGGAGTTTTGGTATCATGTTGGCTTCTGTATTTGTTTTCAATGTCGTTCCATAACAACAGGTCTGGGACTGAGAAGGAGGGCAGGCTGGAGATTAACCACGAAAAGCCAGGGAACAAAATAAAATGAAATGCTGAATGACAGCAGGTCAACATGAAATATTATTGTAAACTGCAAAATACAACAAGTACACAAGTGTGTCATACTGTATATCTGTCAGGGTTAGCAATCACTTAAATAACCATGAACATACAAACCTGTGACAACGTTAGAGACACAAAATCACGTCATTGTTCCAGCCAATAAACAGCCCTTGAATGTAAACATTTTAAACACCTTAAACTCTCCTGCTTTATCTTGAGTAATGAAACCAAAGACACATGAAAAATCTGAATGGACAGTATTTGGAAAAGCTGTGGGACTGAAGGAGTAAAAAAAGAAATCACAACTCGGAGGAAACATAAACAATGCCGTAGATGATGATGAAACGAACAAGTTGCCTATATAAGCCTGGAGGGTGTACTGAAAGAAGCAGAACAACTGAGTTGTTGTAACATTTACATAACATTTAATATTAGCTGTAAAAAAAAAAAGGGTAGAAGGCATTTTTTAGAGTCATGGGCAACATGCTAATTTGATGGCAGAGTTACAGTCATAAAGGAAAAAAAATCACAAAGTAGCATTGGTTAGAGGAGCAGGACCTGGAAATCTACCAGGACTGAATAGATAAACAATTAGAAAATACACAAAAGGAGGAACCATGCAGACCTCACAGCAACTGGCACAGGTTTATATACAAACTGTGGGTGATACTGTGAGCGACTGTTTGGAAAAAGAAGCTTTTGTTATGCAAATCGTTTGTTCTGCTTTTATTACTGTGTATGCTCAAGAAATATCAGCCCGTAATAGACAGTACTATGCATTTTGTTACAGATTCAAACAATAGTCAACTGTCAAACATTTTCTTTTTAATGTAACAGTTAACTCAGCTTGATGAATAAACATTTTGAATGAAAACTATGTCCACGCATAGCTATAACAGCCATATTAGTCAAGTTACTGTCACTATGAAGTGTGTTTTGAAACTGAAAACCTTTTCAATCTTCCAAAAATAGTGTTTTGAAACAAATTTCGAAATCACTCAAAAAGTGAAGTATTGCATCTCATTAAGAAATCATCTGCATAGAGTGACAACTCGTTTTTAGATACTTATTGCTTCTTGTGCTGTACAATGACAACACCACTTATTGAGTTTAGTTGAGATGTCTCTAATTTGTTCATTCATTTTTCAGTTCCTGACATCCATATCTTGATAGATCAAACATTTTAAGCCTTTATTTTATTCTTCAGCTTAAACCATGTTTTGGGGTCTGATTAAAACAGAAAAGGACAAAAAAAGTATTTGTTATCTTCCTTTGACACTTTCACTTTATGCCCTTTCCTTCATTGCTAAAATCTTCCCTTTAAGTTCAGTTAAACACCATCCTCATAACAAGCATCTATATGGGTTATTTTGGGCATCAGATAGGTTCCACGGGGTATAATTTGGTGATAAAGCAAAACACAATAGACCTAAAAAAACACTGGGTAAAAATACTGTGCAAGAACCTTCAACATGATCCCATTTGAAACTTCCAAGGTGGAGAGCAAAGCAGGAACTAAACAAAAAGGAAATGCAGGATGATCATAGAGGATGAGCTTATTATTGGCACTGTGTAATAAAATCCAGTCGAAGGAGAACAATAACAGTCCTAAACAGGCCAGAGGGATTCCAATTTCCACTCTCATTACCCAGTAATGGTTCAGGCTTCAGTGAGATGAGGTGGAGAGAATGTCAGGTCTGGGAGAAAAGGTCCCTTCGTAATGCTTTGGACACAAATCGCTGGCATTCTTAAAGAGGAATTAATGACAGAGGCTTACTGCAATACACACCCTACAGAGTATCTTCACCGTCCTTGGCTTCTAATCAAACTGTAGTGCTTACAGTTGGGTTGAGCCTTGCAGGAGTCTCATTAACTGACTGGCTCAGTGACACACAGCCATTACAACTACTGCTGCAAGAAACATGAGATTAAGGTTTGAAAGAAAATGGATTTATGGTTTGGATATGTGAATTTGAATGGATTTACATTTGAAGTCGTATAAAGTTCTTTGTTATTGTCTGGCAGTGTTTAAAAATGTCAAAGCTTTAACTGATTTCTACTGCATTCATATAATAGGCTTCCAAAAAACAGGGAAAATCACTCACATGGCTACAGTCTATCAGCTGATTACTTTGAAATGAAATATGCTGTTAGTAAGAAGTGCATATCTGTCATTTGTGTCCCCCACAAAGCTACATTTATCCACTTCTGTTAGTCTGATCTTTAGTTACCTTTTTTTGATCATTATTTTTGGTGAGTTTATCACTAAGTGCAACTCTGTTTGCATTCTTCTCTATTATTTATAACACTGTTAGTCTGAATATCTTGAATAATACAGCTTTAAAATAAAAATGCAGACGTCTCCTGTGGAAATCAATGGCTTGTCTGGAACCAGACAATTTGTCCCCTTGCTTTTATTACAAATTATTACAAACTCCATTATTTTGGTAATTTCTGGTATTCAAAGCAGGTCCCTGATTTTCTTTAAGTCCCATTTGACCCTAGGTTTTCAAAAAATGTGGAGAATGATGGGTAAGTGAAGCATAAACACCAACACGTTGTTCAGCATGTTGTGAATGACATAAATAAAACAGTCAGGGTAGGGAAAATGCTACTTTACTTCTACTGATTTGTGCAACTACTTTGTAGGTAGAAATGTCTCAGTGCTTGAGATCTAAAAGTTACCGTACAGACTTTATGATGTAAGAACAGTCTCCGTATAGACTCTCCCTGCTGCCACTCCATTGACATTCATACATTCAGATAGTCAAACTGGAGTGGAAAAGAGAAGAGGAACTGTAGGAAGAAAAGAAATCTCCGCTCCTGCAGTCAAACCCCTGATTGAGTCACTCCTCCAGTTGAGTCTCATTAAGATCACAAGTTTGAGGAAAGCCTGGATCTAACTTTGACATGTTCAGTCTCAGGAAGGCTCGATATTGAGTCTTTCTTGGGCAGTCCTGACTCTCCATGACCTGTTCCCAAACCTCCTACTGCCAGTCCTGGACCAGCTCCAAAACCCTGCATGGATCCAGGCAGGGTTGCTGCTGGGAAGGACATCTGGTGGGGCAGAACGACCCTGTGTGAAATTGCACTCCGGACACCTGTGTGACCAGATGGGGACTGACTGGGTCCAATGGAAGTGGAAGAGACTCTTGTGGAGTGGGGCGGACTGGGGGCGCCTGGTTGTGCCCCCTCATGAGGCAGTGAGGGCTGAGAGGCAGACAGTGCCCTGGCATCTTGGCTCAGACTGTCCATTTGCAAGGAATGGGTACTCTTATGTGTGCTTGGCCTGTGTGCAGGGCTGGCTGTGTGCTGCTGGGCTAGAGAAAGCTGGGAGCCTGAGTTTGGACCGCCCATGGCACCAGCTCCATACTGGAATGATCGCCCTCCAACTGCCAGGGGGCTCTGGACAGGGGGGCTAGACAGGACGGGAGCAAAGGCACCAGAAGCAAAGAGCTGAGACTGCAGTGGAGAGGCTGAGGCAGGGCTGGGTGCACTTTCTATAACCTGGAATCTCCTAACCATCCTCGGGGACTGCAGGTTCCCCCCTCCTACCGAGTTCCCTTGCATGGGGGGACAAAAGTTCATGGCTACAGCTTGCTGCAAAGTGGCAATTGCAGAACTTGGTGGCTGGATGGAGGAACTTGATGGAGGAAAGAGGCCACCATGTAAAGGAGGTGTCATGGACATGGCCCTCTGTCGGGGTACATCAACTTGCTGAACCATCTCCCGGTCGTATTTAACTATCTCCTGGATCATCTCGTTCTCACGGTTGTTGAAAACACCCGAGTTCAGATCATGTTGAACTTTGTGCATCAGGATGGAGTTTTTCTTGCCTGCAATTAAATGGAGACAGGAATTAGCATTGTAGCTAAAACAACAGCTAATTACAGTTGAACAGCTTTGATTGCATCAACAAAACTTGGTATTCTGGGTATTGGCATGTTCATTCTCATTCTTATTTTTTAGGATTTATGTTTAACTTTATTCTTCCTTTATGCCTGGCCTCAGTGGAGAAGATCAGCTATAAATGGAACTATCTGTCATTATCTCCCAGCACAAAATCTATCACTGACAAACACATAAACACACTCTCAGATAGAGAGAGAGTATCTTATCTTTCATACAGATTCTCTGTAAAGAGAAACTGGCCAGTATTTCTGCCAGCCAGCAGTTTTTGCAGTTATAAATATAGCATTTCTAGAGCCAGTTTATTCTTTTAATCTCTGCTGCTACTCCTATTGATGAACTCCTTTTATACGATGAAAAAAAGCTTGTGTTTGTGCATGCATGTGTGTATGGACTTGAAGATGACTGGTGTGTTTTCTGGGTGAGTCGCAATTTTGTTACACAATATTTGTAATGAGATGATGGATGCCTTGCAAAAGTGCCGCGAGTTCTTTGCTCCGATCGTGTTCTATGCAAGAACTAACAATCAAGTACCCAGTAAAAGCATGGTTACGCATGTTAAAGCAACTTTTGTATCCGTTGGCCTGACTGTGAAACTTTGAATTTACTGAAAAACTAAGGTATGCAAAAGAAGATACAGCCAAACATGGTAGATAAATGCCACATACGCAGTCTTATAAAACAGAAGACATGCTCAAACATGACTTCACATCAAAATACAGAAAATGGGACACGAGTTTGGCTGAGTTGGTTGAGCAGGCGCCCCCCTCTACAAAGGACCTTGTTACATTGGTCTGGTCTTGGCTGATTTGGTGCATTACACAGTTCCTGTCTTTCTCTTTCTGTCCTAAAAACAAAAGGCAAATAGCCTCCAAAAAAATCTCAGCTAAAAAAAATGGAACAAATTCATAATGGCAGCGATGCCCTTCTAACAAAAAGGTCTCCCATAACATGTGGATTCTGGAAAGCTCATGCCTAAATTAGAATGACTTAAATAACCCTTTAAGGACGTGCCCTCTCTTTAACTCACATTCGACTTTGTCTACACTTTAGCTATCAAGCTGTTTAAAACCCCAAGTTGTTTTGTTAGTTTTGACTCCTCAGCAATATATATATTTAAAAAATAAAAAGAAGTAAAGCTATGTGATTTTAAAAAAGCATTCCCTCCTTGTGCCCTTCTGATTCATAATTTTCTGATAGATTAATTTTTGGGGGGGGGGTTAAGAATTCACATGACTGCAAACAACGAACAATTCTGGAAAAGCAAACTGAAAAGCAACAGCCTGTAAGAGTTATTTTCTGAAAGCAGAATTGGGCTTTCTGGTGGACTTAATGGTTTGGCTTTTGGTTACTGATGCTTTATCATGCCAACAGAGCAAAAATCTGTCCATATGTGAAGCTGTTCGCCATTAAAGAAACGTTGATGCTGCAGGCCACTCTGGCTTTTCTTCAGTGCCGGGGAGGAAATCCAGGACCTCATACAAGATTTCAGACACTTGCTGGTTTTCTTAGCTGCATCCAGATGATCTTCCATATGCTTTTACCTTAGTTAGTTTCTCAGATGATAAGTGTGTGTGGGCAGCGTCAGTGGTGCGTATTACAATTCTGCACTACAATCACAAACAATCTGCCTGGTAGTGAGACATATAAAGTTTCCTAGAAAGTTGGAAAGAAAGACAAGCTCCTAGTCACCAAAACCGTCTGTGTGATCCTCATGTAACAAAGAGATCAAGAAGGCAGAGTTTTAACTTGTTCTACTCTAACTCTAGTCAGCCACTTGGCCAAAAAGCAAAGCATTCAGACTGTGGTGATTGTCAAGCTCCTGGCTTCTTGCATGGATGCCATCTGTGAACCAAAGTGGTTTGGCAGACAAGGTGTCATGGTCATTAATCAGAGTTTGGAGGAAGGAGGTAAAGGAATCTCTGCTCACCCCGCAGTAGACTGGAAAAACAACATGCAAAATTGGTAGGGAACTACTGCTTTTTTTTTTTTTTTAAGGGGGAGAAAGCATTGTAATTACATTTAGGAAGGAAGGATGGTAGGAAGGTGGGTGCAGAAGCCTTCTCAAGTGCTAATGTATAGGTGGAGGTAGAGTTTAAGCTGATTATCTTCTATGGGACATTTGGTGATTTGAGCCCAGCTCCTGTAATCCACATGCCCAAGCGTCCTGGACAAGACATGAAACATTAAATTGCTTTTGGAGACAAAGCCGTGGGTGTGTTTGCATGAGACTGTGATGGGCAGTGTGAAAGGGTCAAAGCTGGCATGTACTGAAGGTACTGTGAAGGGTTCAAAGACTTGGAAATACATAATTGCAGTCTATTTTCTATGTAGCATTAATCAGGGTTTGGAAGCAGCTCCATCAGTTCAAAGAGCCACATATTTGTTGCATTGCTTTGACAACAATGCCATCTTATTACCAAGCAACACCCATAAATCACTGCGATACAGCCTCCTTCTTACAGCCTCTTCTCCAGTCATATGTGACATTTTGTTTACAGTTCGATGCATTAAGGGCCTGATGACGGCAGACAGGTGTTAAGCTCTTCTATAAAGGAATGGCTGACGGGGCTTTAACAGAGTTTTTATGAATATACAGATTGCTTGCGGTCTCAGTCTGGTTATCTATGATATAGTTTTAGAGTTACAGACTGAGCTAATCCTCGACAAGCACCCTTGGTTGCAATGCGATCTGTATACATGCAAGAATATAAAGATTTACGCATCTCTGTCGAGAATTGTATTTCTCTGGATGTAAAAATGAGACACACTGACAGTCAGTTTTTACACCAAAAAGGGAACAAAGTTTCCGTCAACGTTTACATTACATTTACATCCTACATTTTCAACCTTTATTCTGCCTCTTTGTTTTGATCCAGGCACTTTTTCTGACAAGTTTTATTGACAAGTTCAAACAAAGCCTCCTATCGTTATTGGTTCATACTCATCCAGAGCACACAGTTTGCTGGGATATTTTGGTCGGGTATTTGGTCTGAAGCAAATATGTCACTTCAAATATGTGAGCGGACTGACTGGAGGCTGCTCATGTGTGGAATCTGGCTGCCATGGCAACAGCTGGCAGGTGGCGGATGCAGGGCTTTTGTAAACATGTGAAGTGTGTGGCCATGTGAGTGGGGATGTGACATCGATGGGACTGCCGACCGTAGGGGGTATGTTAAGGAGGGGAAGTTTGCATAGTGAAGAAAGAAAATGTGTCCACATACTTCCTATCATTGAGCTCCCAATGCTGGAAAGAGACAAAACATCTTCCTGCATGTTTGTGACTGTTTCTGTGGTCCCACCAAAGACGTTCAGAAAGAGACTTAGGTAGTACAGTGATATAAAAGAGAGATCTCGCCCAACAGCTCCTATCGTGGTATTCACAAGCGTCTAACAGGTCAAGTATTAATTTTGCAAAGTGGCAGGTATACGCGGCATGCAATTAATTACCACAATAGATTTATACTAAAGCAACTACCTGATAGAAGATTCATATTCGTGCACGCGTTTTCAGCCACAATGCCTTCCTCCACACATTGTTAGGATCATTCATAGATCACCTCACAGCTGTCAGCGAGCGCACTGTTTTGACAGAGACATCATGCTAATGAATGAGCACATTTTCTGTATGCTTCATTTCATCTTATGAATGGCTCATTTAATCGTGACGACACCATACCTGGGGCTTTAACCAGTCAGGCATAATGCTCATCGTCTTTGACTCAATCTCGCTAAGATACATTAAATAAATTAAATTTGTGTAGAAATAGTACATTTTGTCCTTGAAAAGATCATGAAGAGCATGAAAGTTGGAACCTTGTGGATTCGACTTGGTATTCTAGCACATAGAAATGGTTTGTGTCCAGATGTGCTCATTCAATCTGATAGATGTAACATCATTTTAAAAGCTTCACATCAGATGTTTACAGGTATCTTTTTGTACATACAGGTGTCTACTTCCAAGTATTGTTAGCAATCTATTACACTTTTTTTTTTTGACCATGTGTCCAAAAGGAAGATCAACATTGAAGATAAACATTATCTGGAATATCACAACTGAATGATTTGACCTCTATTTAGCAACACATACATTTTAAATGTTGTTTCCCCTTAAGAGGACAGACCTGACAAAGCTTGTATTTTCACTTTTTACAAATTTGAGTCATGATGCTTTTATTGTGAAAAAATTCAAGGCACTCAGTTCCTTCTTTGTGTTCATACTGCTACAGTATCAGCCAGTTTGAAGCCTCTGTGTGTTTACTATACACAGTGAAACTGAGGTCCTGTCCATGTGGATATTTGTAAAAACATAGATTGGTTCTTCAATAATCTACACTTAACTGGAGTTTTAGGTCACTAAATAAAGAGGTTTTCAAAAACTGGAAACTGTTTTGTCTATGTTCCCTTGGACAGCAAGTATAGAGCTTTCTGTCAAACACTGACATTGTTACCTCATGGCAATTGTTCTTTATGTGTATTGTGCGTGTGCCAAGATGGCGGGCTATGCTTTTTTTCTCTAAATCTGCTTGATTCTGACTGCATAGTCATGTAAATACATCACACCAAACAACTCTGAGCACAGTTAAAAGAACTCTTACACACTCGAAAGGACGCTCAATAAGCATGTACAAAATGTCCCTCGACAATGCTTGACCTGACAGACTGATTACATGTCATTGACTCCTACTGGCCCGGCATGCTTACATTGGTGTTTTCAACCATTTCTGTGTTGTCATGTGGGCAGAGAAATGTTGGAAACACCTCTAATGTAAACAGGGTTTTTTTCTAAATAGAGAGAGAGAATATATGTGTATCTGACATATCTGGAGGGATTAATTTTGCTTTACTTTTGATCCAAACTGTTGCCTCTGGGAGACATTCATCTCTGACTGCTGGCTACATCTGCTTGATTGGCTTAATAGTTCAGCTTCACTCTCAGAGGTATAAATCAGTCAGATAATCAAATGCGGGTTCTGAAATCAAACAAAATCCAAGAAACATAAAATGGTGTGATTCCTGTGAACCCAGGTGTCTTCTTACCAATCCTGTCCAATCTGTCGATGGCAACCGTCTCGAAAGCTCTCCTCATCATCGGATACTCCTCCAGCACCTCATTGAAATTGTCCACAGAGAGCGAATACAGGCGACAGTAGGTGTCTGCTTGCACACTGGCTGTCCGTCTGCCACGGGTCAGCAGACAGATTTCTGGTGACAGAACAGACGAGAGACAGTCACATTACAAAACAGCTGAGTGACAGAATTCAGGGTGTCAGATGCACAGGCGGAGAAAAAACAGGTACTCAAAACACAGTGAGATTCATTCAGCAGCATCAAATTGATAACCTATGAAACTAGACCTAAAGTCACAAATACCCTCTTAATATCACTCTGAATACTATCTGTGAAATTAGATATTTTCCACATAAACTTAAAGTTCATTTCAGCAGCCTTGATATTTGAAATCATTCGTTTTCCCACTGGCTGGAGTGTAAAACCTCTCAGCATTTCACAGATGTGTGGTCTTCTCATGCAGTGGTCCTGAGCGGCCGATCTAACCCACTGATGGTGAAACAGAGTATTTCCTCGAGCAGTAGCACAGTGCTGACAGGTGTGCAGTAGAAGCACACTCTATATTTGGAGATGTGCTGCTATGCTTCATTTCATTCACATGTTCCTTCTTCTCCTCCCTGAGTGTCATCTTCTCTCTAGTTTTATTCCTCAATGGGCTGGGGCCTACTGTTGTCTTGACAACCATATGACCTCCTTTTCCCAACATGAAAGGTCAATCTGAACTGACTCTGTCATGGGGAAAGAGAAAAATAACAAAATGAAAAAAACTTCATTAGGAGCATGTGTTAAGGTCCTTACATACCGAGAGCGTTTTTTTTTTTTTGTGCAATTATTTCGGACGTCAATATTTTTTTTCGAACCCGTATCCTGTCGATACAAGCGTTGACATCAGCGACGGTAGAATTTTCTAAAATTTCACATACTGTGTGTCCACTTCTGACCAATCAGATTGCGTGTTGTTGCGATGTCAGATTCACCGGTATATCCAACATGGCCGACCAGCTGATTGTTTACGTGTCAGAGAACAGAGTGCTTTTTGATAAAAGACACAAACATTACAAAGATAACGACCTGAAGGACAACTTGTGGAGAGTCATAGCATCGGATTTCTCATATGACGATGGTTTGTGTGCTTTAACAGTTTGCTAAACGTCTTTGTTTTAACTTTCACCTGTGCTAAGTAACTTTAGCTCATAAGCTAACCTGTTCAGATACAACATACCATATGTATTTTCACTGTCTCAAACTCAATCGCGTTGCTGTCACAGCACCGTTAGGTCTTGGTTGTTACCTTACGTATATGGATTATACTTTAACGTGCTTATCTGGTACTGGCCCCGACTCAGTACTTGCTATCATGAGAGAAAGCCATCTCAACAGTAGAGTCTAATCAGAACTAAAAAACAGTCAGTCTGCTGTTGTGTCAGTCTTCTTGCTTTCACCCGGGATGCGTCTTCCAAAGTCGCAAAATCGCATCGCGCTTGATGTGTGTGGTCAGGCACGTCAAAATTCGCCTCCGAATATTTCGTAATTTCGCGTCATATATTTGCATCATTCCTGGTGTGTAAGGACCTTTAAGGTGCTGCGCTCGAATGAGACTCATATCTCTTCACTTTGTTTCAAGAATTTAATGAATTCAAACACAAGTTTCAGGTTTGTTTAATAACAAACAACAGTTGGTTAGCTCAACTTAGCTTAGCTTGGATTGTGGACATTAAGAGAGAAATGTGACTAACCTAGCTCCATCTAACAGAATAAATAGCATACAATAGCTATTATGTGATGCTGTCTTTTCTCTTTTTTCTTTTATCTTTTATCTCTTTTACCTCTATCTTATTTTGAATTATTGTCTTTTTAGCCTTTGTTATGCTTATTATCTTTTCTTATTTTACCTATTAGGCCTTTTGTTGATTTCATTGTTTTTTCTTGCTCATTTGTGTTATTCTATTTTATATTTACTATTACAATCAATATAATTTTGTTATTATTATTAATATCATTTTATTATTATTATTATTATTATTATTATTATTATACCTATCTTCTTCTTGAGCATCCCTTACTATTCATTTGACTTTTTTGTATCAATTTGAACAAAATAATTCAAAAAATGAACCTAAAAAGGACAGCCTGGATATTCCATTTTGCCCATGAAGTTACTTTAGTTGAACAAAAATTTTCTTTCACAAGAAGTACACAATGATTCATGATTTTTATATTTTTCAACAAGCAAGGAAGCGTGACACTAACTGTTGGCCATTAATTAAGCTATGTATTCTAGGCACAGACACCTCACAGAGCTCAAAAGACTCTTTCTTCTGGCTTCTCAGGTGTTGGGAAGAGAGTGGGTTGCACTGTGAAACCTGCTGGCTCTCAAACTTGCAAAAACATATCCTTACTTTTAAAAATTCCCTTAAGAATGATCAAACAGTAATATTTTACCTTTAGAGCTCCCACTAAGTTGGACTGGAAGTATGGAAATTGCAGGCAAGCTCTTCCTCTCCTTATCTTTTCTTGTTTTTAAACTAATGTGAGCTACTGGTGCTTGGCACTGGCAAGAAAGCAAAGATGTTTACTTTTCTAAAATGTTTCACTATACCCTAAAGGAAAAGATAAAAATAATAAGATCCACAGCTTCCAGATATACTCAGTGTGTCTTCCCTGACATGTAGAAACCTATACTATCTTCATAGAACAGATACATGCTGTACATACAGACCACACATAGAAAACAGGATACAGGCTGGATTATGACTGCAGGGGTTTTATTCAGGGTATTTAAATGTGACCTTCATTGTGACCATGTATCCTCCCTTTTAATAAAGGATTTATTTTTCCTTGGTAGATTACTGATTTATAGTCTGTTCAGACAAACCCCTCACTGCTTACTCTGCTGTGTTTGATGCTCTCCGGTTTGCCCGGGTCATGAAATATGAAGCTGTAGGATGTATTTAATAAACCTCTTAAGACTGAACCATGACATCTGGTCATTATATCATCATGTAAATTTCTAACTGTAAATAACAAGGTGATTTTTATTTTTTACTTGTTGTCAATGGTTCAAATGCAAGTGATCGTAACACTTCATTTGACACCTATCTCCATAACGCATGATAAATATCTGTATAATGCGTTATAATCACATTATAGAACTGTATAAGTATAGTTATAAACACTCATAAATGATCATAATGCTTTATAGCAATAATCATAACACATTGTAAAGCTTTTTATCATGACTTACAAGGTCAGGTATGATAATGTGTAATAACTGTTAACAACTCACTGACAATGCCCACATAGATAATGCAATGCAATTGTTGTTAACAGTTATAACACATTATAAAACGGTTATTACACATTATAAAACAGTTATTACACATTATAAAACAGTTATTACACATTATAAAACGGTTATTACACATTATAAAACAGTTATTACACATTATAAAACAGTTATAACACATTATAATACCTGACCTTGTAAGTCATGATAAAATGCTTTATAGTGTGTTGTGATTATTGTTATAAAGCATTATGATCATTTATGCGTGTTTATAACTATGGTTATACAGTGCTATAACGTGATTATAATGCATTGTACATGTATTCATAATGCATTATAGGCGTCAAACAAAGTGTTACCATTTATTTATTTTTTTTTAGGTAGAATAAGTTATAAGCATGGCAGCTGCTCATTTTTTTTCAGAACTGAGGAAAACTTTCACAAACCACAAAACACCTTAAGTGCCTTTTGCACAAACTGTCATCAGGGATCTCCTTGGTTGTACACAACACTAGCATTTGCAAGAAGTTGGCTGTATTAAAAGTGCTGGGAGAGGAAAACAATGCTAATGAAACCATGGGGGCTGCAGTAATAACTGTTCAAATCATCGGGCTGAAGTTTTAACTTGCAGACAGGACAGCTGACCTTCCTCAAACATGGTGAAAAACAGAGGAAGTTAAAAAAAAAACCCGGCAATCCTGGGGGGACAGTTTCCATGTTAAAATGAAAGCAGAGGTTGCAAGACTCACTTACTGTCTGTAAATTTAATGGAAAGGGTTATAAAAATGAGTCGTACAGCTGAGTAGTAATAATATTTACACTGTACGTCAGTCTATGCCCATCACTGGCTCAGTCTCTGAATCTCTTATTTAGCCTTATGCAGAGCCTTGTCTAGACTTTTTGGACTCACGTTGCTCAATTTTGCAGACACACCACTTTCCTCTCTAACAACCATCATTTCAGTATCAAACACATTTTATTGCCATGAAAATCAATAGATTTTAAGAAGAAACACAACAGAGCAGCAACACATACATTTTCTTAGCTTAATGTTCAAGGACTTAAAAAAACATTTGTCCAAGATCACAATTACAGGCAGTAATAAAAGAAAATGCCAAATATATGTGTTCTGTGGGGAGGGAGACAACGAGGTGTTGTGTGCAAGCTAAATCATCTTCACGGCTGCTATGTCTGGCTCACAACTGTGCAAATGTTTTCTCTGTCTCAATAGTATCATAGGCATTATTGCAAATTTGAGAAGCATTTTTAAGGTATTATTTTCCACCAGAAAGAATGGTACAGTGGATCACACTCAGTGTCTAATCCATCAAAATGACAGACAACCTACTGAGCTTTCAATCATAATCTACTGTAAAGGAAAATACTAAGTTAACAGTATAAGTATGAGACCAAACTTGAGTTTGAGGCAGCATATTGTGACTGCTGCAGGTTAGGCTTTTTTTCACAAAAGCAGTAAAATAAGCCCACACAGATTTTCAGGCATTTAATATGCATCTGTTACTATCAGTTAAATATGCTTTGGATTCTTCAACCAAACCAACTTCTAGTCCATGCTGTTTTTAAAAAAAGAAAAGGTTTATTATCTATGTGAGAGAAGTGTCTGAACAACAGGGCATTGTTCTGCCAGATTGCAGTCTTGGAAAAAAAAGAAAAAAACAAGCTGCAAACTTGGCTACATTTACAGTTAGAAGTTATTTTGCAAAAGCTGTCTTTTTTATGCAGAATACAGGAGAGCCAATTCAAGAGACTGATGCATAAAAAATTGTCAGAGAGTACAGGTTAATCTTAACATCACAATCTATATGTCTTCATTTATGTTGGAGTTTTACACAGATTCTTACAGCGGCTCTTCACAGCTGTCTTTAAACCATGGTGTCCCTCTAAAACCAGACCCACTAATCGTTTCATGTTTTAATGAAGACCTGCAGTTTCTTCCCTGTCGGAAGGAAGACTATGAAGCGTCTGTTTGACATCACAAATGACCCCTATCATCACTGTTGTGCTTAACTAATTAGCTGTTATTAATTGGCTGTTGGTATGTGTGATGTTTATATACCCCTGTGTGTTTTGTATCTATGCCATCCAATGGCGTCCTGAGCTTCTGGCACACCAACATCACTGCTGAGAACTCTGGACCTCTGCAGAAAGCGCCAGATGTTAAATATGTATCCCAAGTCATCAAGCCTTAAATAAGAGTGTGTACATGTGCATATGAGGGTGTGTGTGTCGGTGTGTGTTTGTGGGTTTTGGGGTGATACACTCATGTTTCTAAACAGCAGAGGATATAGCCTGTAAAAGTGGGACAGAAGTGGCTGTGAGGCATCACAGCTCAGAAAGTCCAAGACAAATATTAGAATGATCCTTATTTGGTTTTCTGTCTCTTATTTGAACAATATAGTGAATAATATATGTGATACTACAGTAATAGATCAATTAGGGATCTGGCGAGTAAATAAAACATGTGAAAGCTTAAAGAATGAGAAAAATAACAGAGCATTCTATTCTTGCTCTCTCCTCGCTTTTTCTAGTCTATCATGTGATGTTTGTAGTTTTCTGTAGTATTACTGCCACAAACAGAGAAGTAATGCTCAGTATCATAAAAGCAACTGAGGGTATGCACTACTGTCTCATTCCTACAAGGACACATCCTTTAAATTGGACTCAATGGCAAAAAGTCCAGCAATATTGGAAAAATCCAAAATCCTTGTGTAATTATTGATTAGGTTTAATCTGTGACTAATACCTTCAGACTTATTGATTTTTATTTTCAGACCACAAAACAAGCTTGAAGTGCACTTGGCGGAAGAACCTAATCCAGTGGGCAAAGATGCTGTGATCCCTCTTTACCGTAGTGTTAAATGTACCGAAAGCAAAAAGACGAAGAAAGGTCAGATAATGCTCATCACCAGCTGAATGAAGATGCTCTGAGCTGTGATGCATACAGTATAGACGACTGTCACTGCATGGCTTTCTTCCACAATGTTGAGGACATAACATTACAGTTTCAAATGTTTCTATAGGTGTTTTTTAGCTGAGGATCAAAAACTGCCCACAAAGACGATTGTCATAGAGAACTGTGATTTTCAGTCTGTCTAATCTCTGAAAACTACCTGGTCCCGACTAGGCTAGCTTTGCTAGCTAAAGTAGCATGGCAATCTAGCTATGCTAAAAGAGAGCTGAGTAAAAAAACTATAGGTAGAGAACAGTGATAATTATGAAAGAGGATTAGGGCCACAAGAAGAAAAAAATATAATTACAGGAGGGAGATTTTTTTTATTTTCATTTCAGGATTCAAGTCAAGATCGAAAACAGTTGAGATTTTAAAAATCAAATTTACGTAAATAAAGTCAAAATTTCGCCTTGAATCTTAACATTTTGAATTTTTTTTAATCTCGAAAATTTGACATTACTCTTGACATTTCGACATCTTATTTTGAGATTTTGACTTAAATCCTGAAATTTCTATTTTTAATCTCGAAATTTCGACTTAATTGACATTATTTTGATTTTTTTTTAATCTCGAAATTTTGACTCTAATCTTTTATCTCCTTCCTATAATATATATTTTTTTCTCATCATGTGGCCCAAATCTTCTTTCGTAGAAAATCCTACATCTACATGAAGAATTTGAATTTTACCTCCAAAGTAAGAGCCGTCCATGAGCTTCATGCTGGTGTTTCCTTTGGTGAGGACGCTCACCACCCCATGCTGAATGAAGAACATCTTCTTGCCGATGGTGCCCTCTCTGACGATGTAGTCTTTGGGCTGGAAGACTTCAAATCTCAGTTTGGTCAGCATGGCTGTCACAAAGTTGGGATCGGCGTTAGCAAACAGCGGCATGGAAGCCACCAGTTTACGGCAATTGAAGTTGACGATTTCCTGGTAGGGTGAAAAGAAAAAGCACTGGTTCGTAGTGGTGTTATGGATACTGTCAGGTTGTTGACTTCATTTCATTCAGTGGTGCATCAAACAGAAGTGGAAAATGAATGTTTAAGGACACAGTGTGTAGTAATATGTGTGTTTTAAAAGACTTGGCAGAAGTGTGTTTAAATCACCAGAAAATATATATACAAAATGTTTTTGTTAACTTTAAATGAGCATTTTTCAACAAATGGGAGGGGTGAGCAAGAGAGCACTTTTTCAGTCTAAAATCTGACAGCTTGATATCACTAAATGTTTCTATTCCCACACACCTTACCTTTAAGATTTAGCTTTACTTGGGGTTGAACCACCAGTAAAACTCCCAGTTTTCTGGGGTGGTCATAGCTTTTTTTTACTAAAAGGGAAATTATCTGTGTTTACTCTCCAAAATTACAAGTAAAAGATGAGCAAGCACTACTGATTTCATTGTTTGCCAAGTAATAGCTTGACAGAGCTAAGTTAAAAGAAACTAATACAGTATTTAACTTGTGGTTTATTACTTTAAAACACACTAGTTATAACTCAAGGCCATTTTGTTCAATCACTAGTGAATAAGTAAATAAATTAAACAGATAATAATAAATACTTAGGCTGGAAATTACCTTTAAACCACTGAGCTGTGAAAATGCGACCATAACTGAGCACCATAATGAATTTATTCCACTCCACTTACTCTGTGGAGAGTTGAGAAGTGAGTGCATTTGTGGGTGAATGAGCACATTATAGAGGATGCTCGGGTGTTTTCGTACCTCGCGCAGAGGCTCATTAAGCTCCTCAAGGATGCTCTCCTCATCGAACATCTTGCCCTGGTATCTGTGCTCGTAGTAGTCATGGATTTTCTGTCGGAAGTCGGCTGGGAGTTTGTGGAAGGACATGTACTGCTCCACTTGTTTGTACTGGAGGATGGAAAAAGGAGGGATGAGGGTAAAGCAGAAAAGTCTATCAATGAGAACAGGATTCAGCGGTGGCATTCAGACTTTAACAGGCTCTTTATTATGATCAGACAAACCATGAGGGTAGACGTTGAGATGTGCAGTTTTGCAAACATAAAGATCCAGCGACCCGTTTCTACCTTGATGCTACAGGAGGAAAAACTGTGATGAAGCTGTTAAAGCAACATGACAGCTCTGCTAAACCCATGAGGATTCATCATGCTCCGCTGTGTGTGTAGCTATTGTATATTTCAACCACACAGGATGATTTGGCTCTGGTTGTTTTCCGAAATGCTTCAAATCATCAGAAGGTAATTTGTGACTCTTCATGGGAAAAATACCCTTCACATAGGTGCTCTCATGTGTTATATGTCAATGTAAACAATAACAACACTTGCTTTTCTTACTTTTATAGGAAAAAAAAAAAAAAACTGTGGGCGCTTTTGTGACAATTCTAAGAGTGAGAATACAATATCTGTATTTTGTGTAAAGATTGATAAAATAATGTAACTTTGCATTTAGAAAATAGCCCAGATTGGAGGTATGATCTGTGTCTGCTCATCCAAATAGCTCACATCATCATATAGTCCTCATTATCTACACTGAATGCAGCCTGAATGTCCACTTCTCTCCTCTCAATATAATGCTCCAGAACACATTTCATGGCTGGATTCCCTGCGAAAATAGCAGCATCTGGGTATACTGTATCGCCCCTCTTGTGAGGTGGAATTGCATGGGCACTGTGTCAGCGGGGGATTAAATTTGGACATTTTCCTCATACACTGTAAACAATAAGATTTCTCTTATCAGATATATGGAATAAATAACGCAGTTAGTCTCTCATGTTAACACTTTGGTAGAAACAAAGGAATCCCCCCTTACAGTAAAATCAGGGGTGTGGCATAGCGACATCAACACTTGCCTCTGTGAAGAATCAGGCCACGTTAAGTCCCGCTGACACCCCCATGAGAACACAGTGTAAGCCTACAGTATGTATCATGTGGTGCACACAGTTCCCTCCCTCACAAACACTTTTCAGCTTAAAAACAGAACAAAACATTAAATCTAATGGGGTAAAATATACTGCTGAAATAACACTTTCAAAGTTAACAGTACTGCTGATTGAAAAGTAAAATAAAATACATAAATTACCTGATTGCAGTCTGTCAAGCAACTCTGCTGCTTGTTTACAGTCGACCTGTGGTTTTGCATTGTCTGTGCTAATCAGCAGAGTCGTGTTTGTTTTGCCACCCGCCTATGTAGTCAGAGCTGTCATGGCTGTCAGTAACCTCTGCTGAAGAATAACATTGAAAAACAAACAAAAAAAAAAATCTAACAAAGCAGGAATTTTGCGAATGAAAGCTTCTCTATTATCAGTAAGGTGAACTCGAAAATAAGGGTCACGTTTCAAAGTAATCAGCCCCTGAATCATTTTAGCGCACACTGGGTTGACATCTTAAAAAGTGCAACCATGTGAGAAATTAGGAGACTATTTTAAAGCGGAGGAAAAAAAGCAATTACCGCAGAGTACCACAAGATATTTTCCTTATATGAACATCAGAGTCAACATAACAAAGGGAGGATCTATAGCTGCCTCTGTTTTTATGAACTACGTGTATCCAGAGGAATTTTTTAATCATCTTGAGTGTCGACACCTTCCCGCCTTTGACTCATGACCTGCTATCACAAATCATGAGGACACCATGTACGGAAGAGTCGGGGATAGGGGGGGCGCTGACAGTGACCTTGCCTGTCCATGACACATGCTTTTGGTATGAAGGCGCGCTGTCCAGCAAATTATATTTTGTCACACTGTAAATGACATACGGGTTAGAGAATAAAATGGAGGCTTGACCCTGGCGGCTTGGGTGACACAGCAAATCACTGTATCCTTAATGCAGCACACAATAGCTGTCAGGGAAGGACACCATTAATATTGTGTCTCCACTGGAGGAGTTTCTTTCAACATCACATGGAGCACCGGAGAAGATTTAGCTCTGAAAAAGAGAAAGTTTAGGAATTTAGGAATCCCTTTTGCAGAAAATGTGATGAAATGTATCCCCTGGTTATGCTGAATACTTGAAGCTAGGGCTGAGCGATATGGGAAAAATTTTGTCACAATATATTTTTTTCATATCAGTTGATATATATCACGATATAAATAAATGAAATTTTACAGTACAATGAGCTACTGCATCTGTGAGGCCTTTGTGTCTCTATGACGTTTTGTCGTAGGGCGTTACGCTAGAGAAAGCGGACTGAATGGTCGGCTGTTTTGGCTGCAGGGGCACCATGGGCTACTTTCTCCGCTCGGGGTTTGTAACCTTTTGCATTGCACATGCTCTGTCGTGTGGCACTGCTTCAGGCAGTGAAAAAGATATTGAGGGAAATTAATTTTTGATACATATCGTTATCGTTTTATCGATCAGCCCTACTCGAAACAGATAACAAAAGTGATTCATCAATCCACATGAAGGAGTTTTTCATGTCAATGTTTTCAGGGTAAGACAAGTCGGGTTCAAGGTCAGGTCTTTCTCACCCTGCTAGGTATTCTTATCTGCATAACCACCCATTTATTTCTCAATTCAGAGGCATATAATTTATGTTGAGAAGACCTCTTTTAACCCTTATTTTTTCTGTGATTCTTTCCAACTTTTGTTTTCAATCTTCCATGCAGACACTGCACAATTCTGCTCCCAACTCTGTGCTGATCTCTTATTCTAATGAACAACATCATGAAATTTTATTCTGTTACTAGGACATCCTGTTCTTACTGATCTAAACAAAGTCCAATCTCGGTCTGAGTTTGTTGCTTTAGGCCATGGTACATTTAGCATACAACCATCTTCAAACCCATCATCTTTTGTCCAGCGACGATATAGCCTCAGGAATCAGAGGCCAACTCTCAGTGAACTCTGTGGTCAGAGATAAAAGACATCTAGCCGAGACTATATCTTTACCTTGTCTTGGGATTGTTTATAGTCTGGTTAGCATTATAGGGAGTGGGAAAGGAGCTTGAGTTGAAAGGCAAGATGGACTGAGATTAAAAATGAGTAAAATTGTAATTGGACACTCCTTTCTGTGCATGGACTTTGGCGGAGAGCCAAACCTCGCTGAAACACTGGTGTGAGTATAATTCAAACCACTGACAGAAACCAGAACACCACAGACACTAAAATTGGTGTGTCTCTCTTATAAAGTGTGTTCAAATAAAGAATTAGTAAAGCAGCACCAAGTGAAAACCTCATAGGCTGTTTTCTCAGCCATCTGTTTCTTTTGCTTTGTTTCCTAAATTTATAACATATCTTTGAAGAAAACCTTGGCTCTTATTTTTCTCAAAATTATTCCATTAACTTTGGACCAAGTGACACAAAAAAACATCAACAACGAAACATCAAACATCTTCCCTCAGAATTGAACAATCCCTTCCCTTTTGGAAGTATTTCAGCCACGATAAAGATGCAGCCGACTCGCACAATAACCAGCTCATTCAATCAAGCATGGGGATAAACTGGGGGGCTTCCATTAAGTGCTTCCTGCCTCAGGATTCAGAGAGTGGCACTCGCAATTAAATAGACATGACATCTCTCTCCATCCCTCACTTCTTTAAAAGTGGCCGTTCGAAGAGCTCGCTGGAGGTTTATTGACTTTGTGATTTTCTCAGCATTAACTTAGATTAGCGACCATGTCACTCAGAGTCAGCGGGACAGAGCGGGACTCCAAGGCCCACGGATCATATCTATACACCAAAATACATGCGCACGCTTAGAGCAGAGCTTAAAACTTCTTCAATAATTTCTCTTGTGATGGAAATGTCAGAAAATATGAAATCTGTGAAGTTAATGTTGTGTTACCACAAGGTCATGTTTAATTCTGTATGAGGATAAAATAAGGGGATGATGGGAGATGACGGGTGTCAGGCAACCAAACTGCCAGTCATTGCTCTATCACCCACACACACACATGCGGTGTGAACAAAACCAATATACACAAACAAATCCTTTATTTTGAGTAACACAATGTTTCTAAAATGATGGTGACAGTTCAAGACGGAAAGTTTTTAGGAAATGACCTTCAAAGATTTTTAAAGGTGAGTACGACCCTCCAGGACCCTGAGGCATGCAGGTTAGATTGTAGCTGACTCCTATCACCCTGCACACAAACTCTAAGACCCTCTCCTCAGGCAAGAGGCTGAACAGAAATCTTTTCACCCCAAGAACAAGAACGCCTCTTCCATAACCTAATGAAGGACGCCCCAGCCCCTCCCCCCTTCCTGAACCTCGCAGCGACATTAAGTCAATAAATCAGAGATACATATTTCAATCTCATTGACTGAAGAGGCTGGAATACATACATAAATGCATAAATATGCACACACAAAAACACATCTTCAGACACACAAAAGTTCACATACAAGGACTCGATACATCAGCATGTGTGATTTGAAGATGGATCACAGGGAATGAGTGATATACCACTTCAAGATGGTGAAGTGAAAACACATCAACAAATGGAGGTCTCCCAATCACATCCCAAAATCAAGAGTTTAACTCACTCATTTTACAAAAAGGAATAATCACAATAAAATAAAATAAAATATAAAATAAAAAATCAATTGAGTACAATGCAAAAAATGTTTTCTTCAAGGTGGGGTAGGCAGGAATCCGTTAGAGAAGCATCTTTTTTGTGGTGTTTATACAAAAAGCTTTTAATATCAGTCAATAGCTATAAGTTATTGATGACATTAGGTAATATAACGATATCGCTGTGTTTTGTTATGTCTGTGCAGTCAACATTTTAAAATTACACTACACTTACACTCTTTCTGACTGCAAACAAAGCAGCGCCGCTAACTGTTTACCCTGGGTCTTGGTCTATGTCACTTTATCCTAGTTGTAGAAGTCCTGCAAACGTTGTGTTTGCTGGTAGTCTGATGGCATCTCCAGTAGCATCAATTCTGTTTACTTTCACATTGACTGGGCCCCATTTGTAATTATCTTTAGTATTTATTTGCGTTATATCTGAATTCAATTGAAACGATACGAGCGAGCAGGAGTGTCTGTTTGTGGGCGGGGCTTGCTGGAGCAGAGAGGGAGGAGAGAGGAGGAGCTGAGGGGAAAACTGGTCAGGAGGGGTAGTGTTTACATTCAAGATTTCTCCCCAAAAACTGGCACTTCCTCAGATCCTGCCTACCACACCTTTAACTGTACCTGTCCGATCACCACAATTAGAATGTCTGTCAAAAATCTTGGAAACTAGTTGCTTTGCAAAAATATAAGATGAACTGCCCATTTAAAATGATCCCAGGTGAAGTTTGATGGGTATCCACATTTTCCCTGTAAACAGAGGATAAACCTCCCAACTCTAGAACCTCTTTGTTAGCTAAGCTAGTTAAGCTTAAAAACTGCATTTTACTTTGTTTTGTACAGTGGCATTTGATCGAAAGCTCAATAAGATAAAAAGCTGTTTCACAAGTGACTTATTTTCCAGAGCCCAGTGGGCCAGAAGTCAGCACCAAAAGCCCCGGGGGAAACATCTACCTCCTCTTAGACACTTACTGCCTCAGAGAGGGAGGACGTGATGGAGGAGGAGTTACAGGCAGCACGGTTATATAATTGCTAATGCCTTCAGTCCATGTGCAGTGTCTGCTGGCAGATGGTGTATTGCCCCACAGTCAAGGGCAAATGGACAGATGAGGCAGGAGAGGGATAGGGAATAGAGGAGCGTTGTGGAGGAGCACGTAATGAAGGCACCAATCACCTCAACATGACAGACAATGCTAAACTGCTACCACTGCTTCATTTTTGTCAATGATCAAAGTGATAGCACAGTGTGTAGAAAGTCAAACAACATAATCGAAAGTTTCATGTGCCTGCAGTGCCTCTTAAACTCCAACATTTTCAGGTAGCAGGATCACCAGGAAACAAATACACAGTATTTCTCACATGACAGACTAGAACTCATTGAATGGAGCTCACAAGATCACAGCAGGTTCACTACATCCCCTCAGAGCACAGGTGCAGAGTACCCGGGATCTGGTCTACAAGAGGATTCCCACAGAACAATCAAGTGCTTAACAATCCCAGCTAAAACAGTCTGAACGTTGGCACCCAACGTCAACTTTGCAAAGCTTTCATGGTGGATTTTTTTCATTAATTTTGTGTGATGTTTATCCTGCACTTTCTTGAGTAGTTGTTGATATAATCATTTATATTTTTATACTCTTTGTGCAAAGAAAAATAGTGATAATTGCATTGCAGGTGGTAATTTGTAGTTCTCAATGGGTTTTTGTTCCCGCTAGGTATTAAGGGACAAAACTCCAGCACATACAGACAGGGGTGTCCCAATATGATATTGGCATCGGGTATCGGTCCGATATCAGCAAAAAATCGAATATCGGATTATAAAGGCCTTTATCTAAAATCTCAGATATCAGCACTCTGATACAGGCAGTCCATCCAGACTCCACTGCGGCACTTATATCTAGCAGCACCCGGATCCAGCATGTAGAGCCCACGTAATAACAACAACAGTGTGTACTAAGGTACTAACAAAGTAGTAGAGTCCGAAAAAGACGTTGCAGCTGAGTGCAAAACTAGTCATGCACAAGTTTGTGCTAATATCAGATCAATATCGGTATCGGCCAGTATTGAAGGCTACAATATTGACGATAGCCGCCTTTACATCAGCTGTTCAAGATGGGACTGTTATGCATCTTTTATGAGCGGCATCAATATGTAGATACATAATTGTGTGAGTAGGTCATTCAGTCCCTGACCAGGTATAGAAGGTAGTAACAACAGAAAAACGTAGGTGAAAGACAAGGGGAAACAATGTCACTGCAGACACTGAAGCCAGCAGGACAAACCAGCAAAGGGTTCAACAAATGTTTCTGCGAGGAAGTAACACGTTGCAAATCACACTGGTGTCACTAGACACCAATAAATATCACACCTTTGTGGAAATCACTGTTCAAGTTCAAAGGCATAGGTATGGAGATGCTTCATTGTGGCACTCTGCCAAAATCTAAGTATAAAAGAGGCTTTTAAAAGTGAGCCAAGGGTATTGTATGGAAAAAAAGTGTAAAGGCAGGACATATAGTTGGCCAACAGAAATGTCCAGACTTTGCAACTTCAAACTGACCAAAACACAGAGAAATCCACTGAAAGCAAAGAAAAAGATACTGGCTTTCAAGTGTTTCTTATTAAAGCTGAAAGAGTTTCTCATTAATATCTCCCTTTCTTTTTTCAGTCTTTACCTTTTACCCCATATAACCACAAACCAACCAAACACACACCAATCTTTATTCACATGATGCAGAATACAACACCGGCCCGCTTTGTCTAACTCCTGAACTCACTCAGCACTTCGACTCCACAACAATCTTTGGTCTGCAGTGTCTTCACGTGCAGACAGGAATAGATGCTGAGCGCTGGAGTTATTATGACATTTCTGTCCAAACCCTGAGCGTGATCAAACTGTTTACTCTGTCTTATGTCGATACTGGTTCACGCTGTCACTAACATTTACACTATCTTAGACAAAGAATCTGTTTTGTAACAGACGCGGGTTCCAACCATAGCTTTGTCTCCAGTCTGTTATCTAATAGCAGGACTTATTGTGGACTGCTGTGCAGCATGCTCAGTTCAGCGACTTAATGAAGAACAAACAGCTAAGAGAGATTGGAGCAGGACAGCATGATAGATAAGTTGTCTTTGTGTAGCCAAACGGAGTGTTGCCTCTGTTTTTTATTGTTTTATGGTTGCGCAGCATGTAAGAGAGAGCGAGAGAAGGAGACTGGTAGCAGCTGTCGTGTCTCTGACTGAGTACAGTTAAACAAACCTGACACAGGACACAGACTACAGCAGCCCCCTGTGTCTTCAAATGTTCTTGGTCCTAACACTTACTGGAAGAGGAAGGCTTTTATTAAACAGCATAATTTTCAAGTAATGTTAGAGCTTTAATGTTCATCAAACTCAGCTTTGAATCAGGGTCTTGCTCACCTTTAAGAGAAATAAATTGCCAACCATTTACGATACATTACCCGGCTTATTACAGGGCTATGCACTCAAGACATAAGAAAGTTGATAAAATCTTGACTGACAGATGATTTCACAGATTTAAAAAATGATCTGTTTAAAAAGATTTACTAAAAACTGTCCCTCCTATTCAATGGTCATAGCAACAGATCATTATTGGCCTTGTTTGGGTTACAAACTGACATTAAACTCAACATTTCAATTAAAAGTCAAGTTAAAACATTATTTCACATAGAAGTATCAATACATCAATTCTTGTCCGGTGATTGTAAACTGGAACAGTTTTATGAAAACAATCGAGCTTTAACCACAGCTCAAGTCAATGTCATGAGTGTCTGCAGGCAGAGGTGAAATGTGTTGGACTGCTTTGATATGAGGTGTCTGACCTGGTGTGCTTTTGCTGTTGAGAGTTAATTACTATTTGTTGTGGAGTTTGGACCAATAAGAATCAAAATTTTAACACAGCTGGGTAACAGGGCCGTATCACAGTATCCACACTTCTGTTCTTGTGTAAATGTGCATTCATTCATGTTAAGTGGTGCAAGACTGTAATGTGTCTCAATTCTCTTTTGTTGCTCTCTAGAGATGCCACTCTGCATCCTTAAAGCGCATCTGCTGCAAGTGGGCATCAGACTTCAGGAGAGCTGGAGAGCATGCTGGCTAGGGCTGGGCGATCAATCGAAAATTTACCGATACCGAAATTTATGACAATAACCAACGTCATTTTGCTGATATCGGTATATTCAATGTCAAAATAAATAATAACAATAAAGGTTGGTTTTGGATGTGTGTGTAGGTAGGCTATGGTCTCATGTCCCTTTAGGATGCTGTCCTACACCAGAGACGTGACTTCACTCCATCCAGTCCATAACAAAGAGGAAAAGACAGGTGAGGAGATGGAGGACGGTTTGAAAATTGTAAATAAATTATAATAGTAATTAAAATAATGAAGCTAGTAGTCCTGATGTTGGCAGTACTGCTGCTAAATTTGTTTGCTATTGACAGGCCTGTCCGCAGACTTTCTTTGTTTAATGGCCTATTTATTGTCAAAAAGTTGAAACTTTCAGCGGTGAAGCTGAGGTCACACTGCTGTTGTTTGTGCATGTCCACCACTATAAAAAGCTCAGTATTCTCAGAGATATGGATGGTGCAAACAAGATATAATGATAATGTATACATTCCCTGCTGTGTGCACTATGCTCATGAATGTAAACATACACAGTAGCTTCATTACTCTTTCAAAACCTCCACGGCCTCTTGCACAGGAGAGTTGATGCACTACTGTACACACTTATCATCATGGCTGCTTATGAAAGCACAACCTAGAAAATAAATCAGTGCAAAGAGCTCATCTCATCTATAATGATGCACAACCAAGATCCAGTAATTAAAAAAAAAAGGTGCAGTGTGTACTTTTATAATGATTATTGCAAAACAGACTTGATAGAAGTGAAACATAATGGTAAATATGTGAAACTAGTGTATAATCACCTTTATATGGGATATTTTGCTAATGCTAGCTCAGAATGAGTCTTTATATCTACATGAGATGAGGTCCAGAACCACAGTCTTGCACGGCCATGTTTAAACTGGTAACAAATAAAGAATAATGCCAAACTGTATCATACAGTACAGAAGCTTTTGCCCTCAAAGGACACAGTCAACTCATTGCAAGAAGGGGTGAGCAGGGGAGCGTTTCAATCTTGAATCTGACTGCTAGATCTCATTCAGTACGCCTATTTTTACATCTGAAACACTTCATGAAAACAGTCTGACTCAGGGGAAAAGAAAGAGAGATGTTAACGTGGTCAGCCTTTGTTCTAAACATTAGCCAGAGGCTCCAACTAAACAACAAAGCCTGACTGATCACACTGACGCCTGAGTGCAGTTCTGCATGCGTGTGTGCCAGTGATAGATAGCATAAGGCGTGTCCACATGAGCCAAGATCTGAGGAGGCTAACAAGACAAAAAACACCGGTGACACCCTGACCTTATAAAGCAGGAGCGTGCTCCCTCTCTGGCCCCGCAGACACCAGGAGCTTTGATCTGGAGCTGTTACGAAGATTACAAACAGACTGATGCCCTGAGTGCTGCAGCTATGAATATTGAACAAATAGAGCAGATGGTGTTCCTATCAAAGAGTGTCGGAATCAAATGAGCAAACCACCTCTGTTTATATCAAATCTGATAACCGTATCCACATTGTTTTAGAAGACAAGCACTGTTGATTAAATCTCTTCCTGACATCCTGCCGTACGGTTGACAGAGAAGCCACCTGGGTGAAAGTAAGGTAATCCTGTAGCCGACCCCCTTGATTTATCTCAGCAGTGATCCAAAAATAGACCCAGGTAAAATCATCTTTCTTTTGTTATCCAGGAGATCTAGCCAGCTGAATTATTTACACAGATTATCTGACTCTAAAGGGCTGAGCCAACTGAATTATGAAAGCAGACACCGAAAAAGAAGCAAAATTAGCAAAATTAGCAAATATTAACAGCAACTTTCTCGTTCCAGCACACCCACCCACACTTACACACAAAACACACATGCCCCACAGTTTACAAAGGGATTATTTCTTTGGTAAGGAGGACTTCCAATGACAGCTATTGAAGCATAGGCTGTGGATAATCCAGAGTAACCAGGACATTGCGTTGAAAAGAGATATAGCTACACAAGTTATCCAAAAAGTTTGATACATGTCAAGAAATTTATCTGCACTTTATCTAAAAAATATGAAGCTATTTTAGCTTTACATAAAAATTAGAACAAATATAGAAAAAATGACATCAAATCAGATAAAAAGTTGAATTCTTTTCTGTAATTTATAAAGTATTATTAAAAACTGTTAGCAGATATATTTGTCAAATCTTGTAAACACCCAGTCTGTTACTAGCAAAGATTTCAGCTCTGTACAGAACAAAATTTGGGTTCAGTGATAACCACCTTCACTGTTAGGACTGTTCAACCAAACATTTTTCTTTTTGTCAGGTTTATTGAACTGGTTTCATATTATTGGCTTAAGTTCACGCACCAGTTGCATGATAAAAACATCATTAATCATGCCTACCACAGTAATGTTCCTGACTTTAACCTTCTCCTTTCACATACTAGTTCACTCTGACGTCTTGCGGAAATTTTACCTGAGGGCTGGCAAGAAAAACTTCAGGGTAAAGTCAGGGCTCAGCGTAAAAACTTCTGAAAATATTCAGGAGCTAAGATTATTTATGCTATACCAGTCACTCCTGACTTCTGTGTTTGTGTGGGACCTGTGGGGTAACTCTTTACTTGACATCTATCTCTATAACACTTTATAAATATATGTATAATGCGTTATAATCACGTTATAGCACTGTATAACTATAGTTATAAACACTCATAAATGATCATAATGCTTTATAGCAATAATCATAACACATTATAAAACATTTTATCCCGACTTACAAGGTCAGGTATTGTAATGTGTTATGCTTGTTGTTATAAAGTCTTATGATCATTTATGAGTGTTTAAAATGATAGTTTAACAAGTTTATAAACAAATTATAACACATTATAAATATATGTATAATGCATTATCTATGTGGGCATTGTCAGTGAGTTGTTAACAGTTATAACACATTATAATACCTGACCTTGTAAGTCATGATAAAATGCTTTACAATGTGTTATGATTATTGCTATAAAGCATTATGATCATTTATGAGTGTTTATAACTATAGATAATACAGTGCTATAACCTGATTATGATGCATTATACAGATATTTATAATGCATTATAGAGATAGGCATCAAGTAAAGTGTTATCGATTTTTTTAATGTTTAGTCCACTATAAGAATAAAAAATATTATTTCACACTGGCTATTATTCTAATAGAGAAAATTACCAACAGTATAATGCTCAAACTTTGGAAAGATGATGTCTAGAGGGGTAAGATTTTTTTCATTATTTTGGTAGCTTGATTAAGCTGGCTGCCCTACATCCTTTAACTAAGACAGTAAACAGTCACAAAGTTAACTCAGAAACAAAAAGACAGGCCCAATCCTCACCTTTTCTTGATATTGCCGTCTGGATGAGTCCAGGGACTGGATGAGTGCGGTGGCGTGGCCGATGAACATGGCATAGCAGGTGGCTCCGACAATCATGCTGAGCATGGTCAGCCAGATGTCCGACATGCTCTCTGGGGCTTGTCTTCCGTATCCGATGCACAGCATGTGGCTCATGGCCTTAAACAGGGCGAAGGAATAGAGCTCACTCCATGAGTCATTCTGTAGGAAGAAATGGAGGTGGAGATGGCAGTTAGGCAAAAAGTTGGAGTTAAAAGAAGATGAGAAAGTTATTACAAAGCAGGTAAATAAGAAAGGAGGGAAATAGTTAAATCCAAGGTCTTCTGAAAACTTTTTCCTTATATTATGCTTTACCGCAACTGCAATTTTAACACAATGACCTCTTCTGAAGGAGAGCTGTGTGAAGCGCTCTGCAGAGAAAATTTCAAAAAGTTGGGGGTTCTCAGAAGTGGTGAAAAAGAGAGTTAATTATGAATAAGAGGGCAAAAGAGTTAGATATCCCTGGTGAAGTATACAACTTGGTGTCTAGTGATTGTCCCCGGTTTGGCAGAGAGCCTCATCATCATCACTGAGCAGGCTTGCCTCATTTTTTGGCACAGCAGAAGGAGCAGAGGAAAAACTCTTGTGTTTAATGAGGAGCCTGTACATCTGCCTCGCTCCAGTCTGCCTTTGATTGGCGCTCACACATTCAGTCAACCCCAATTCTCCCGTGTTCGACTCATCAGCGAGTCCTCCGCAGGCCCCACTGAACCTCACATCCTTCCCACCAGCAGCTGTGATTCACACACTGTCCAGAGCTTACCGCTGTGTTTGTGTGTCTCCTCAAAAACTCCTCCTGTCCCCTCTCTGGGAGGAGTGGTGTGTCTTCAATCACTGATTGACTGTTTGCTTCTGATTTGTATTTTTCCAAGGTTGTTTGCATTTCATTTGAGATTCAAATTCGGTTTTTGTTTAGAGGGAGGTGACATCCTGGCTTCAAGCTGCTGTTAAATGTTTGAAAGTTTGTGTTTTGAAGTAGAAGAGAAGAATAGTAAGAGATGAGATTTTTAAGGCACAGAGTCTGACATTAAGGCTGAATTTCGTTGCATTTTTTTTTGCTGCGAGCTTGACTTCAGTTTTATTTCCATTTAAAGCTGTCAGCTGGATCTGTTGTTTGACTTGGTTTTAGGAGATAAACTGGACCTTGTCAGCTAGATAAAAGGAAGCGTATGATAGTACCAAAACAGTTTGAAGCCACATATCTCTGAGTTTGTCTTTTCTATTAGCTGTAGCCTTATCAATACAGTTCTTGTCTCCTTGTTTTCATAGCACTTACTATTTTACAGAGAGTCTCCAGTTAAAGGTGGGGTAGGCAGGAATTCATTAAAAAAGCACATTTTTTGTGGTGTACAAAAAAGCTTTAAATATCAGTCAATAGCTATAAGTCATTGATGACATTTGGTAATATAACGATATCGCTGTGTTTTGTTATGTCTTTGTAGTCAACATTTTAAAATGTCAAAACGCTCCGCTCTTTCTGACTGTAAACAAAGCCATTCCCCGCCTCCCCATCTTGATTGGTTGTGAAGCGGACGCTGCTCCCCCGTGTCATTCAGGAGCCCAAACAAAGTTAGCGTGCTACGATATCAGATAGTAGAAACCCACCAAAAAATTGTCTGTATCCTCCTTTAGCCACGACCACCAACACAATCAAGAAAACAAAGTAAATACTGGAGACTCTGGTGGAATAACTGGTGCTTAGAAGCCGGGTCAACAATGATGGAGGATGCTGTGTGTTGCACTGCCGCTAAACTGTTTACCTTGGGAGTATGTCACTTAATCCTAGTTGTAGAAGTCCTGCAAACATTGTGTTTGCTGGTAGTTTGTTGGCATCTACAGTAGCATCAGTGCTTTTTACTTTCACATTGACTGGGCCCCATTTGTAATTATCTGAAGTATTTATCTGCATTATATCTGAATTTAATTGAAACGATAGGAGCGAGCAGAAGTGTCTGTTTGTAGGCTTGGCTTGCTGGAGCAGAGAGGGAGGGGAGAGGAGGAGCTGAGGGGAAAACTGGTTGGGAGGGGTAGTGTTTACATTCATGAGTCCTCCCCAAAACTGGCACTTCCTCAGAGCCTGACTACCACACCTTTAATACACAGTATCACAGCTGCTGTGTGAAGCATTTTTAGTTGGATGCTTGTCAGTCTCTCTCTCTTCATTAACCATGCACTGTCCATACCCAATAACCCGATTGTGCTTAAAATGTAAAAACATATTAGTGGTATTAAAAAGGGACTTTTGTACTGTGTAATCTCTGCACCCATCTCTGCTGCTGTTACTTCTCTGCTTCGTCATCGACCCTCTTGCAGCCATTACAAATGCTAAAAATGATCATCTGGAAATATTGCATATTGTCCTCAAAGGTTTTGTTTGATTTCCTGGGCCAACAAGAGGCATGTGTGTTGATTTCAAACTGTTTCATGACCATCAAAAAACTCCTCATAGTAGCTATAACTTTGGTTCTGACTCTGTTTTTCTGCTGTGTTATCTGACTTCCCTTCACAAGGTGTCATCTCCACTGTAGTCATCATGGCTCCAGATAATGGACTCAGCATTTTTCTGTTCTCAGGCTGGGCTACACTAACAAGCTGCAAGCAGAAGCTTTACGTGCCACAGGGAAATACTGGGGGAGTAATTTATTCAAACTCTCAAAGGCAGAGAAGCATGTTTGGGTTTTTCTCTACATTTGGCTATATGAGTAGAAAATCCCCTAAAAACTCACTGTAACTGGTCAGGATGTGTTTGAGAAAACAGCTAATTAAAACTGACTGTATACACAGACAAAACCGGTTCTCTTACTACTGAAAATTACAGCCTTCAAAGTAACACAATAAACTCTTTCTACAGAGATACCACCCGGTGTGAGTGTGTGTTTGTGTGAGAGATCGTGTGGGGAGATATAAATGAAATTAGCTATTTTGTTCATTATATTTACCATCGATCTTCACCGCTCAGTGTGGATGATGGCTAATTGTATGTAATACAGTTAGTGAGGAACACAGAGGGAGTATGGGACATTTATGATGCATGATAGGGTGAGTATAAAACAGGGAGTGTGTTCTGCCACACCAAGCTAACGTGGTAATTCTGGTTTGCTTTAAACGACTGTCCCTTCATTCAGAGGGCTACTTTTGACTGAGTGATGGATCTAAATGACCTTTGACTGGTCTTTACTGATGTTCAAAATGAAAGCCAAGTTGTTTTTTGCTGAAGAGGATTATACTTTCACTAAAATTAATCAGAAATTTTAAAAGAATTTAATGGAAGTAAAACCATGATGGGGAATGTGTTTCTGCCTAAAGGATCATATGAAGTTGGAGAAGGATTTTGTACCTTTTTTTCTGGGTGTAATAATTCATATAATTCATAACCCTGAGGAAATCACTTAACCGAAAAGAAGTAATAGAAACTGGATTAACAACTGATGGGAATATGTTTAAAAAATATAAAATAATAAAGTGTAATACATAAATGCAAACAGGAAAATGCATCTGGAACTGACAAAAGTTGAAATGAAGGTTTAAAAGTCGTCGGTGCTGTTCAGTATCACAAGTTATTTCGGGATTTCTTTGTTTTTTTAATCATTGGATTATTCCCAAAAAGTGGCGTATGACTTATTCTTAAATCTACATGTAGAAGTCTAAAGTTGCATGTATGAATTGTATTTAAGGCATTTGATGGGATAAAAAGAGGAATTCTACAGTAAAGGTTGTTACACTGTGTTGCTTGTATGTTCAGTCAGGTCAGTGAATATATACCATGATTGTTTCCCCACCATTTTGGTTTAAATCAAGGAGATGTTTTGTCTCCAACATGTTTTCCATTTACAGTAATCACATTCATGATTGGCTCTTAAAATCAAAGCCTCTAACTTTGAAGTCAAAGTGGATGTTAGATTGATTAGATTATATTGTATGCTTATGGCCTACCTTTATTGACTGGATATGAATACGTTGAATATTGTTACAGAATGGTGCTAGAAATAGACAGTAGTGGTAAATTAATGTAAAACACCAAGCACAAAAATCACCTCCAAGAAGTTCATGATCATTTCCTGTTTTACTGCCCTAGATTTGATGACTTATACTTTTGAATACAACATCCTCAGCTGGTGTTGATGATTTCCTCTGGTTAGATAATTATAAAAAAATAATGAGTTGTGCTTTAAAAGAAGAACCAATTGTAGCAAATTTCACCTACAAGGCTAGAATGAAAAGGCAGGATACAAGGTCCAAGGTTAACATGTGAAAGAATAATGCAACTTGGTAATGAATTATTGATCCACTGTAACCATTTCAATAGAAATACAATCAAATCAATCAGTCATTCAGAATTGTCCGTGTGTAAAATGCCATAAAAGACTGTGCTGGTAAGTTTAACATCAATTATTTAGTTACAGATGGTCCATGTTTGTATTCATTATTTAAAACCAAACACAGAGTTACGAGATGATTCAGTGTGTGATGGAAACACTTCACAGGACCAACTCTGAATGCCAACATTAACAGCTCAATATCAGGCTTGGGTTTGAATAGTAATGATGCATAAACTTGAGTTGGATGATGTGTTTAACTAAACCCATTTCTGACCAAACTGTAGTGCAAAAGCCAAACTGTATGGTTTATGACCTTTATTGCAACCAGCCACCGGGGGGGAAGTGAAACATTAAATATTCAAGCATTTTTCCAGTCAAATAAAGCTGCACTGAACAGCACCAAAGTGATGCAAAGTATTTACTCAATCGGGTGTATTTTTTTAGGCTATCCTTACTTTTTCAAATGATTCAGAACTGATTATGTACATAAACGTTTCAAAGACGAGTCTCCTTTTTAACTTTAACTCTCTGCAGATTACTTTAAAAAGGATATGATAACTTACTGTATGCTATTAGGTTTGCTGGCAGTTACCCCAAAAAGTGACCAACTTTAGCTGTGTTTACATGGGCACAAATAATCAGAATAAATGCTGAATCAGAATAAAAAAGCGTTGTGAATATGTTGATCGGAAGACTCTGATCCAATTCGGATTAAACAGAAAGAAATTGTATTCCGATCGAGAGGGGTGGTTTATGCCAAAACGCGTCCATTTAAACACTTATTCCAATCATGACTCTCTAACCTGACTCAATCTTCACTCTTTAGTCTTTGGCTTATTTATTGAGGCCAGTACAGGTGGTTTCATTACTAACACTCTGGCATAAAACACAACCACAGGAGCTGTCATGTCTGCTTTCTCGGATAACATAACAAGGCGTACATACAGCGTAATGATGTCACATCTGCATGCACAAGCGTCAATACTACTCTTCTTCTGCGGTTGTTTTAGCGATGTTTTATTTGATTTTGCACCCATATAAACAGTGGATTCACATTATCCGATTCCTCAGATTTTTAATCAGATCAAGGAATTTTGCCCATGTAAACGTGGCTAGTGAAAAGCTACACCTGTCAACCATGAGTCAATTCATGAGCTGGAGGTAGAGAAGACCTTTTCTCTTAGATCGTGCACAAGTTTTGCACAGACATGATTTGCAGAGAATGAACCCCACTCTTAATGGATACTTTCACTGAGATATGTAAAATACCATTCACAAGGTTTCAACCAGTTTTGGTGCCAATCGCTGTCAGTCCATCTGTGATGCTCTGGGTCATGAGCTAAGACTGCACTATATGAGTATTTTAAAATATGGAGTCAGTGCCTGTTCTGCTGATATGAAGGCAAAAATTGTCGTATCAGTGCACATCAGAAATCATATCAGTGTTGAGCCCATAAGCTTTATATCAGCGGACTCATATGCCAATCGAGTTTATTAATAACCATGAGAAAATTATGTAAATAGTAAAGAGATAACTACCAAGAGATTGATGGTGTGTTTTAGAGATCTGTCACACTTTTAAGCATATTTGGTATAAAAGATGTTGGTTCAGAGAGGGCAGTTGTCACTCACTCACACACCTACACCCTCACAGACACTTACTAACACAGACTGCTCATTACACTGATGCACACTGACAGGCCAGCCTGCCACTTGGATCACCCCAGTAATTGAGTATGTTGAGTATATCTCCACTAACTGTCAAAGCAGGAGGGTTTTCCTGAAAAGCAACCCTTACACGCATGACACAGTTTACATTCAAATATAATCACAAATGCACACAAATTGGGTCATTCCGGCAATTACAGCAACTTTTCTTTGGTTAAATGTCTCTTATTAGTATAAATATTGAATACATAAACAAGACTAAGCAAGGGGATGATGAGAAGAGAAGTGAGGAGAAGAAGAGAAGAGGCTTTATTACAATTCTATTTATTCAACAGCCAATCAAAACTAGCTGCTGACCACATACAGTGAGTTATGTTGATTTTGGTTTATTCTGTGATCACCCTGCAGCAGGATCCTGATTATCAAGCCTATTATTAACATCACTCTCTGCTGCTGCAGTCATCTGTTTTACAAGTCACAGCGATTGTTTTGAAGAGAAGACCTTGTTTTGAAGCTTGCTGAATATATTACAGAGTAAAGTTAAAGTGTTAAAAGGACACCGTCTTTTGATGGTTTCCCTTTTTTATAGACAGAAATAGTATACTCTTACGCAAGTCAGGTATCACGGAGCATATGAGAGTACCCCTGTGAATAAATCACGTGTTGTTTCTATCTGGTTGCAGATCCATATTCCTAAGTGCATGGATGACGTAAAGAGAAAGCGGGGTGGAGTCGAGAAAGTATCCAGCACAAGCAGACAGCTGGAGGTGAAGCACGAGAAAGAAGATCATTTAACGCTGTGTCTCTTTTTTAGGACACAGCTCTGAAGTGGATCTCTGACCTTGATTACCCTGAGATGGAGAGCAGCACAGCTCACCAGGCTGCCACACCCTCATGAGTGTTCCCTGGCACTGTGGCATCTCACTCAAAAAGTGAAGCACAGACGTAAACAACAGGGATAGAGCCTAAGCATCAAAGAGAAAAGTGGATATTAGACAGGCGGGGAGAAGGGGAAGATGAAAGGACTGGATGCATAGACATTAGATAGGGAAGAAGATGTTCTGTACATTCAGAGCAGATGGTAAAAGTTGTGCAACAAAGACAGGATATTTTCTGTAAAACTAGAAGAAACAAATATCTGTACAAAATCTTAAGAGCCAGGATTGTACGCTACAAAGAATCCATCACTACATATTTATCTGGATAGACTGGATACAAATCCTTTAACATCTGAAATGTAGGTGCTTCAGTGGTCAAACTAAGTCAGAAAAAATTGAGTGTACAGTATGGCTCAGCCTCCACTGGGAGTGGAAAACAACACATTATCCAAGGTGCTGCTCATCTGTTCAGCTAAAAAATTAAGTAATCTTTAAGCTATCGAACAGTAAGTGGAATGAGTCAAATTGGTTTGCATGTAAAGTAATCTTTGAAAACACTATTGATAGGGAAATGTAATGTAAAGGCCAAAAATAAGGTCATGCTTTTTTAAACCATTCTAGATTCAGGACTGACATGCTGTAAACACAGGTATTGTGCAAAACATAAAGCTCTATGCTCTCTTAAACATTTGTTCATACACACATTTTTGCAATATGAAAATAATGGGGTTTTTTTCAGCCATTAAAAATATTTCTCACATAGTGCATGCCTGGAAAGCCTCGCCAGTAAGCAGAAATATTGTCGATGTAGAGAGAGCAAAGGAGGTAGAATGCATGAACTATGAAGCAATTCTATCTGGCTTTTAATTGATCTGTATAAATAACAAGGTGCTTACGATGTAGTTTTGCTTCATCTGGCATCTTTAAAGACCCACTCCCATGAAAATCATGTTTTTCTTGTTGTCTACATGTTCATATGGCATTTTTCTGATGCTACAAGGCATATCATGAGTAAAATAAGTGCAAAATTGCATATATGAGTATTTCTGTTTTCAAAGCACTGTGAACCTCTCGCAGATTCAAATGTCAGGATCAGATACAGTGAGATTTCCTACGGAGCAAATCCAAGCTCCGCACCCAGTGCCCCACTAATAGAGAGGACGATCGCAGAACAAGCATGTGCGTTAGCTGATTGCAACGCTCTTAAGAAAGCTAATTATGACATTAACTTTCATCATGTCCCTCAAGACAATAATGTTCGAGAGCTGTATTGCTCCTATGTAACCTACTACTTCTACTACACCGGCAATTTTAGGCTGCAAGCTAACTCGAGGAGGAGTGTGCAGAGCAGCGCTGTCTCCGCCCACGACTCAGAGGTGAATTCCTAATGACCTACTGGACCTCTGCAGAAGAAAAGCCCTTGACAATGACACAGATAACATGATTTTGGCTAAAAACTTCATAATCACAATTTAAAGACCACTGAGAACACTAGAAAAAAAAAGATTGGAGTAGGACTTTAAATTTCAGATCTATTCTCATGTCTCAAGAAGTTAGTTTGATCGCAAAATAAAGTAAAACCATCATCGAGTATAACTGGAGAGTTTTCAAACTGACATTATGTACACAAAATCGAATAGTATTATAAAACTTGTCCCAAATGGAGGGCTCTGCAATAACATGCGCTTTTACTTTTGGTACTAAAAGAGTTTTTGATGTAGAATATTTTGCTTTCACTCAAAAAGATTAATGACTCGAGCTTGTGACAGAGACATTGATATTGCTCCTTTTACCTAAGTATAAGATACCTCTTCAACCACTGGCCCCGACAGTGATAGAGGGGGTGTGTCTTTGTGTGTGTGCGTGTCCTGAGAGAGGTGGAGATGGAAAAAGAAAGATGGTCTGAGATGAAATGAGAAACTGGAGCTGCAACAACAGCGAAACAATCATGATGTCTTGCAGGGTCAGTGGGTGTGTGATGTATCTGTTCCTGGCGACACTCAAACACAGACACACCTATACACACAAATATGCACCCATGTCTCCAAGAGTTTCTGAAGGCCTCAATGTCATATATTTCCACGCTAAAAAATGACACAAAGGACTTTTTCGGAATTTAAAACCTTTTTTAGCAACAGCAGCGTCAAACGGCTCAGGAAACAGTCTGTTCCTGACAGAAGGAAGGAATTATCCAGTCTGCTGAACTTCCACACACACACACATCATTATGGGATGCTTCTTTCAGAGATCGGTTTGATTCACATGCAAGTTAAAATGATCTGCACCTTCTGATGCTACCTCTGAAGCAGCAGTCAACCAGACATCAACCGGCACCTTCTTAAAAGCCACTTTGAAGAGCGGGTGACGCTGATGTGAAGCAAAGACTCGTCATCTGCACAATCACTCCTTGATAACAAACGAAATGTTCAAGCCAGTTCAGAAATATTGTTGTGTTCAGTTTCTATTGTTTCATTAATAGTCTGTGTTGGTCGTCTTTCCTGCAGGGTTGTTCTCAGGCTTTCGACTAAAGTGCAATCAGCTGGAATTTCTCTATCTTGACTAACCATATCTTCCTTAAAGATCCTTCAAGGATTTTTTTGGCATTTATCAAACTGACTGAAATTCATATTGATGCCTTTTTATGATAAACAAAAGTAAACAAGACCATCAGTGATAAGACTGATGTTTCCAAATTGTGACTTTCAAAGCCTGAAACTATTGTGAGTTGGTAGGTGTCTAGTCTACCAAAGAAAAGTCCCAGTTTTCACATTTTCCAGACTAAATATTCACAAAAACATCAACATTTTACCGTGAAAAGTCAGCTGAGTACAATTTTTTTGTCACACAGCACAACTTAAGCATGTCAAAGACAAGATAAGCAAAGACTACTTCATCCACAGGGGTTGCTACCATAGACTGTATATAGAATGGACACCATCTTCCTCCTCACTGGGTGAAGCCACCTCAAGAACAGCACCCTCTGGTGACAGGCTACAGTATAGGTCATAAATATAGGTAAGTATAGGTCCCGCCTCCTCTAGCCATCCTTATGGGGCTGTGGATAAACTTTAGGAATTTATTACACAGAATATAAATTTTTTCTCCCCCCTGGTTGCGATGTTGATATGTAGTTAGTCCTCTTTTTTTCTGTACAGCTCCATTTTCAGTAGTTATTAGGGGGTTCATGTTTTCTATTAATGACACTTGATACAGCCTATGGGCGTCAGAAGATTGCATAGCTCACCCAGGGGATACACTGTTTGAGCCGAGCGTCATCACAGCGACTGTCAGCTATTCTCCCGCCGAATGTGTACAACGCTACTGCGCAATGTTGGTTTCAGGAAATGGAGAAAAAACGCTGAATTACCGAGAGCTTTTCGGCTTCAAATCTGTATACTGGCGGAAGGAGGAAGCAGGTTGTCTATAGTATGTACAGTCTATGGAAGCTACCAAAAAGGACACAAACCAAAAGTTCCTCACAGGAGCTTTAACTTCCAACACTTACCATGCAGCTGTAATATGTCTGTGTATAAAATCATCAACTTTAAAAATAAGCCTGTCATAAAGCCCAAATAAATCATTCAAACTAAAGTCACCCCTCCCCCAAAGCAAATAGCTAATCATAACTTTAGGGGAGAAGCTGGCCGATATTGGCTGATAAAGAAGAAATGTTGAGTTAATACAGAAATAAATGAATAATGGATGAACTTTAGATCAGTGTTCACTCACATGCTTCAACCCACCCCTGCATAAGGCAGTGCCCAATCTGGGCACTCCTTGTCAAAAACATTTGGACACACCTCTGCTCTTCAGGCACTATGAGAGTTTGTGTATGTTCTCTATGTCACTTCCCTAGTTTCCTGCTCGATCTCCTGTCTCACCCTCTCTGAATAAAGGCATTCAAAACCAAAATTAAAACTTACAAATTAATGTTGCGCAAGCAGGAAGAGGGAAAATGTCTCTCACTGATCATATTTGCAGATTTTTTTATTGAAGATATCTTGCAGAGTGCCTCTCATTGAAAATTATACTTCTCATAATCTTCGTGGTGCAGATTACAGACACAGTTTCCAATTCTTAACGTCTATATAACAGGAGTAAAATTATTCATATCTTCATTATGCTTCTAGTTTTAAGTATTTATTGGTCACCTGGGGGCTGTGGTTTTTTATACTGTGAGATTTTATTAATGAATGCAGCATAATTATCTGTGTGGATTTTTTTTGTCTTGTTCTCAAGGAACTTTGAGAGGGGACGTAAGAAGAATAATCAGGGTTCAAGAGGTTGAAGGAGCAAGTTAGTTTGTTAAAGTTTCATTTAAGAATTAAACACACTTTTAGTAATGAGCAGTCATTAACTGTACAGTAAGATGATTGTTTTTCATAAAGCTCAAGTGGTGCACCACTTGTTCTGAGGAGAGTTTTTCTTTCATGACGGCAATCATTTGGTAATAATTCTTTTACTTCAATAGCCTGCCTGTCAGCAGATGGTCAGAAACTACGTGCCAGGTAAAAGGAAAGGGGGGACATCTGAGAAGAGATATAAAAAAACAAAACAAGGGGGGAAAAAGAGAAGAGACTGGCTGGAGAGCAGAGGAAACAAACTGCTGCATTAACTGATGAAAAAATGGCTCCTTTTTTGTCTCTCATCCCTGTTTTCTGTACACTTGCATGTCTCCTGGGTTTAACTAGAGAGGGTTTAAATGAGGCCGGTCTATGGTGCATGCGTGCGAGCGTGTGTGCGTGCGTGTGGGTGAGCGTAGGGGTGTGTGTGTGTGCAGACACTTAATTTTAATTAAAACCTATTTCCCAACCTGCACATAACACTTCTTTTTCTCAATGGGGGATAGTTTTATACTCCGCTTTTGCTGGGATTTTCTGCTACACTTTTTTAAGACTCCCCACTAACACAAACACACACACACACACACAGTGCATTTTGCTTACCACCATCTTGTTGAGGGAGACCCAGCAGTCAGAGGGGAAGTCCTGCAGCATGGGAACAAGGAACTGGAGACAGCCATCCCAGTGACACAGCAGCAGCATCATACCAATCAGGTTGAATATTCGCATCACAGCGCTCGCCAGGTCATAGGTCATGTGGAAGATCTGTCAGGAGGAAAAGAGATGGGCAGACAGAGACAGAAAGGAGGAAAAAAAGACACAGATGAATGAAGGGAATTTTATTTCTGCAGTCTGAGATTGTTTAACCAAGGATGAGTTAGTCTGGGAGTTTTGCTGTATTGCAATCATAAAGGGCACTTTTGTTGGTCTGGTTAGGTATGCATATTATTACAGTACATCTCAATATCATTATTTAGTTTAACTACCAGGAGATATAGCTAAAGTAGTTGTTATGTTTGCAAAAGGATCTCATTATGAGCTCAATCAAACCATTCAAAGCAGCATTTCCTGAATCAAAGTGTTGGCTAACCCTGCGACACCTTATACAGTATGTTCGTACTGCAGTTTAGCTCACGTCTTACTCTCAAATCTATATGCTAATTTTATTTCTCTATTAAAACCAGCAGAAAAGATAACAAACATAACATTGAGATATTGTTGTATAATGAATATGACAGCTCTGTTAGCATACTGTTCTCTATTTATACAGCTAACAACATTAGCATTCATTTAGAGTTGTGTTTCTGGCCACCTGGCTAATTATGTCCAATAATCACATTTTTTTTTTCTTTTTGCTCTATTTTTGTTGCTAGCGTGCTTTGTTAGTGTGCGCTTTGATGCAGAGCAGGCAGTAAATAGAGGGCTTTAGAGGTTTCTATTTTCAAAACCACCTCTTTTCTGTGTTTGGAAAACAGCAGTGCTACAAAACAGTGAGACTGAACCAGAAATCACGGACCCTAAAACTGCAACAAGAAGCTAATCAATACTTAGAAAAGCACATGAAGCTAATTGGGTAATGGGTTTGTTTAGCACAAATGTGAATCTCCTTTTAAATTACATGTAGTTCTTCTGATGTAAAATCTGCCCTATGGAGAGTTAGACCAATTTATTGGGCCAGTTAATGACGATTTGAGATAATAAGGAAATAATGTCTGCGGACACTGCAGGCAGTCTCTTCAGTATGGCTGACGTTTAGCAGTGCCGACACCTCCCTGAAAGGAAACTCATTTTCCCCATCCTAAATGACAGCATGTCTAAATTTAGAATAGTTACTCTGTAGGGTTTGATATACAATCTGTAATGAAGTATGGGACAATACAGTTGCATCATATAAAAATAATGAGTGTTATCTTTGGATATTGGTGGTATATATCACCCATTGGCCAGCCTGCTCTCAAATTATTGGCAACAACTCTGGCTTTTTGAAAAACCCCTGGCCCTAAGGAAAGTATGGAGGAAAAGTTTGTTGAAATACTTGCTGGGTGTGCTAATGATTCATCAGTACATAATGAAGTCAAGTATAATCAATAACACCAACATTAAATGAGGGTTAAAGCTGTCAGTTGTCGAGCAACATGGGTAAATCTGGGTTCAGCTAGGTGTGTTGTTAGTTATTTCTTCTCTTGGCATTTCAGGCCTACTGCTCTGTAACATAACCAAGTACAATACTGGGAAAAGCACACAGTCTGTGGCTAACACCCATTCATAAAAAAAAAAAGAAAAAAATCCTCATTGGCCACAGAAAGCTTTGGTCAGCTAACCAGACTGGCCCCTCTCTGCTGTTTGTCAAATATACTCCCCTCAGGTAAGACAGCTCATTTGTGTGGAGACGCTGTTGTGGTCACAGCTTCATAAACCAAACACACTGTGGCTGTGTTGGCAGCGTGCCGTGGCCTTGTTACCACTCAGTGTGTTTGTGTGTGAGTGTAGCTTTTACATGCATGTGTGTGCACTGGTTTGTAATCCTTGCTTAGCTGGACTAACTGGAAGCTCCACTAAACTGTAAGCAAAAGCCCATCTCTCACAAGGGACAAAGAGTCGTCATACAAGGGATTGGAAGTAGGCCAAATGCAGCACACACTGTATATCTGAATATTATATGTGGATATTCATGAATACTGGGAGGCACTTTTATGGTCCAATTTGATGGTTTCTTTTATTCAAAAAATGCGTCTTTCTCACTTGAGACAAGAGAACCGTCCTGCATTTGAACTAGGCCAGATACTGTGTGTATGTGTGTCTGGAGACGTGAACAGGCATCTGCTGTTGTGAATTTACAGTTTGGGAGCAGCCAATTCGGGACTTTCAGTGACTCATCCTTTCACCTCAGAGACCTCACTGCCCTAAACTCAGCGCTCTCTTGAATTTCAAAAGCTGCCTCCTAGAGAAACCCTGGGGTGCCAATGTCCCTTGTTGATAAGAGTGCCAAAACAAAGCCAACCTGTTTAACATATTCCTTCATCCAAGCTGACCAACACACATGTATTATATCCCCGTTTCTCTATCCTCTTAAACTAGGCCTTGTTTTGATCCATTTGCCCTATTCAAATAAATCTTTGTCCCTTTTTTTGTATAATTAACCCTTTAAATAGTCTATAACATTTTAACATCCTCTCTTTATCCGTCATGTATCAAATATAAATGTGTCGTATTAGATTCAGGTCTTTCTAAGCTGATTCACACAGACTTTGACTCCTCTGCATTCTCTGACTGAACATACAGTGAATAGAGATGTCGACTAGTAAGACTTGAACACTCTGCATTACACTCTTGCACTCTTCATCTACCCTTCTAGCCCCAAGGTTTAATCAGTGGGTCCATTCTCTTATTTCTTTACCTTATCCCTCTGGGACATTTTTATAAAAACCATGACATCGCTTACCACCTTAAGACTCCTTTAAGCCCTCTGTCCACTGACTTCAATTCCAGCACTGGCAGCCCACATGATCCTGATATCAGAGCACTTTTCGCTGACACTTATTGCTTGCTATAGGTTAAAGTCAGCCCACGGCACTTCTGCTGTCCTTTTTTTTTTCGTTTTGAGTGTGTCTTACATTTCTTATTATTTGCATTTTCTTTAAGCTTTAAAACAAACTTTTTTAAAGTCTGAAACCACTAGTGTCAGAGCAAGTGATAAATGCTGCTGATGCAACCTTTTTTTACACAATCCACAAATTACCAAAAAGTTAGACTTTTTACTGCAAAAAGAGTTCAGGGTGAGATTTTTGGTCAAAAATAATAATCACACATGCATAGAACAAAATCTGCATAGATCACTTTGTCTACAGGGGGCACCAAAATCCACACAAGGTGGGAGTTTCACACAGAAACTCTGAGAAAATAAATAAATAACACAGAAAAGACTTGTGTCCTGGCATTAACAGCAGTTTCAGACCAAACTACTGTACCACTGAGTGAAAAAACAAAAAACATATATTCTTCTCCATCATTGTTGACAAAGTTGATATGAGACGTTTAAACCCAGCTTGATTTTGATTGGCCGGTAAGGCAGAAGTGACATTGACAACCTTAGTCATGTTCTTACAATTGAACTTTTTTCAGCTGAGAGAGCTGTGAATACAACAACAAAAAGCAGCTGACACTCTGGGTGATTTTGCACTTAGCTAAGTCCCGAAAAGGCTGAACTGCTTTGACTTAATAATCAGAGTAAAAAGGCAATGCCAGTGTAAAAACCCCACAGCAGACACAGGCCCTTAAGAGGATCCCTTACCAATTTACCTCCCCCCCAACAAAGAAATGATGGCAGCTCCTTGGTACATGTGCTGGAGTGTCTTAAGACATTACAGTCCAGTTTAATGGCAGTTTAATGAAAGTAAAACCAAAGTCACGCTGCATGGACACTGTGGTGCCTGTGAGGTCCCTTTTATGGACCTGGCATCACATTGGCAAGTGGTTTTAAATGGGATAAAGTAAAAACTTGTTAAATCCAGTGACCATCTGAGGCTTTTTATTTGGGATTAAGATTGTTTTCACACCAGATTACTCCGCATTAAACCTGCCTTTATGTCAGCCAGCAAGGATAACTCTAATGCACTTCAATTTGTTGTTAAGGCCTCCCTTGCAAACCTACAGTCAGTCCAAAATGCTGCGGCTCATCTCTCACACATTAACACATTACCCTCATTCTGGCTTTAGGATTCAATTTCAGATTTTATTGTTCATTTTCAAATCTTTAAATATAATCTCCATAAATCGCTGACCTCTTCTGTCTCTTTACCTCCATGTCTGTGCCAACTATTAAGGTTATAGATCAGCTACTTCAACATTCCTAATACAAGGCTAACAACCAGAGGGAATTGTTTGTTTTTTAATGTACAACAAGTGGAATGGTTTTGATTTTACATTTAAATGAGCTTTGACTATAATTTTATTCAGTCCAAACCCCAAAATAGCCAATCTCGATACTGCTTAAGCATTTCTTATACCGGCTAATGGTCTGGGCTAATTTGGTGTGGGTGAAATATAAACACGCTGTGAGGCCCTGCCCTGTGATTAGGAAGCATCCCCATCATGATTAATGAGGCTCCAGGACTAATGTTCCCCCCTGACACCAGAACAGCACCTGGCTATGTGTCACTGTCACACCACTATCTGGGTCAAGCCACATTACCAAAACCACAACTCACAGCCTTGATGGAGTACTTTCTATTCTACTGCAGATGGTTAAATACACCGTGATCCAGACAGTTTCAATAAAGTTATTTGGGGAAAGCTGTTGAACCTGGTGAGTTTAATCCCCACTGCTCATGCATATACTCCCTTCATTCACCGTCACTGTGTAGCTCCCGTAAAAGGCATCCTTTGAGGGAGTGAAGAGCCCTGATATGAGCTTCCTCTACCAGGAAATTACTCTGACAACTCTTATCTCTGCTCCTGTTTTGGTCGCATAACAAACACACACATCAATTTATTCAAAGATAATGTCAACTCACACACTGCTCATTCAATTACAATTAAGAGCACGGTTGTAAAGCAGTATCCTCTATTTGCTTGGCTCATAGCTGTGATAAACAGCGAAATCATCACCACACTAAGATGATCTTTAGGGAAACCCCTTGGGGAACGAGCTGAGCTAAGCTAAGCTAAGCTGAGCCGAGCTGAGCTGATCCAGGCAGAAGTGAAACACACAGCTAGCCGGGTTTGGATCATGCTGAGCGGAGCAGAGCTCAGGACTAAGCTGATCAGCGTAGGACTGAGTCAGAGCAAAGGAGCGTTCGGTTGTGAATATTTGACTCAGTAATCTGGGATCTCATCAGGCCTGAATTACCACTCTGTAATCAGACGTGTGGTGGTTATTTTCAGAGCAAGGAATCACACAACGTTCATTCATGGATGCTGGGTTAGTCCAAATAAGGAATCACAGTTCGTACTCACAAGTGCATGCACACAGGAAGGCAAGGGGTTAATTGTGTTTGTGTGCCACAGAAGTACATTATGGATAGTGCAGCTATCTATAGACAAACCTTATTTCCTGATGTGTAATGTTATCAGAAAGCAGTGTACTTGCATTAGCTAGTCTTTGAGCGTCCATTTCCAATTGTTTGATATTTTGATTGGATGAAAAGCCTTAATCTAAAGAACTTTAGGGAATTTCCTGTAAATGAAATGTTAAAAAAGTAGATCAATATCCTGGTGGTTCTTGTAGTTCCTTGGAAAATCCCTTTCTACTTCCCCTCTGATAAGCCCAAATAAATATTTCATTGAATCCCTTACTGCACTAACACACTGGGTTATGGTGAGGTATTATCAAGCAATCAGGCTCCTCGTTACACAACATGGTGAAACCTCCTTTTTTTGTGTGTCAGTGAGTAATTATACAGGGGAGGATTGTTTTGAACGTACAAACAGAATTACATGCATACTGATATAAACTGCTGCTCTGAATCCAATACTGCTTTATTAATTAAAGCGCAGACTGTCTAGTTTCTCTTTTTACCTCTGCCAAGGAGGTTATGTGTTTGGTCTGTTTATCTGCAGAGTGGGGGAAATATCAAGGCCGGGTTTCCAGGATACTTGGCAGACAGGTTTGGCACGGGTCAAGGAAGTACCCAGTAAATTTTGTGACAGATCCTCGTCATGTGTAAGCAATTCATACCAGATCACAAACATGTAAAGTTTCTTAAGAACATACCTCTTCCCCTGACAAGTGTTTTTGATTAGTCCCTGCCATGTTGTCCATGTCTATGTGATAGGTGAGTGTTTTCACAGATGCATGTCATATGATGTTTTTACACGTCAGTTTTAAGAAGAAACAAATTTATATTCTATATTGTGGTAAAGCTTGAAGATATTCATCACCACAGCATAGAAAATTAGACTTGGCAGAAATCTTTGTGGGTAGTAGCTGAGAAGTAAACACAAACTTTTGCACACCCATTAACTGTCCGGCAGTCCTTTTTTTCAGAGCTTAAAAATGTATCAGGATGAAAATAAGTATGCTACTCAATCATTGAACCAACTCTTTTTGAGAGGAACCTTAAATTACTTTTTGAAGTCGACTTGAATATTGAAGAAATTTGAGGAATTTTGTCTGGCAAGGAAACAAAAATGATCTCATATGGCCTGTTCTGGATTTTTGAAGCTCGACTAGATTTCTGGTTTAAAGAAAATATAAATATCACTCAGTTAGAGTTGTCCTCTTTCATGGGCTTTCACAATAACTAAAATAAATACATTTAGACTTTTATCGTTCATCTTTAAAAACCAGAAGCAATTCCTGACTGTTCAAATTCAACACAATACATTTCTAGTAAACTAGCTGATATATATTGTCCAGATTAATGCTTTGCTCGGCTTCTTCTGTGTTTTTGGCTCATTTCCTGTACCACTGCAGCATGACTCTGTCACCATTAACAGCATGTATTCCGCTTACTTAATAAACAAAGCAGATTAATCACTGTCCGGATTATTTTCCAGCTTACCTCCTCCCACTGGTGGATATATCGGATGAGTCTGGACAGCCTCAGCAGCCGCAGCAGACTGAGGATCTTTGTAAAACGTACGATGCGGAGAGCTCGGGCTGTCTTGTACACCTCTGAATCGATGCCCTTCTCCACAATGAGGAAGATATAATCCACGGGTATGGAGGAGACAAAGTCCACCACAAACCAGGTCTTCAGGTACTTCTTCTTTATCTTCTCGGGGTCTAAAATGATCTCGGTGTTGTCCTCAAACACGATGCCTGTCCTGAAGTTCAGCACCAGGTCCATGAGGAAGAAGGTGTCAGATACAACGTTGAAGATGATCCAGGGCGTGGTGGTCTCGTCTTTGAAGAAAGTGATGCCTACTGGGATGATGATCAAGTTGCCCACCATGAACATGAGCATGGTGAAGTCCCAGTAAAACCTGATGGAGAGAAATCAGCAAAGAGAGGAAGGTTAGAGACTAAGAGGGGTCTATTTGAGCTTCCCTCCTCATACTAAGACCTTCTATTTTTTTCATTGCATACAATGGATCCTGTCTTGGTGAGGTAACTTATACCTCTTGTACAAGCCGCAGCAAAGTCAAGGGCAAGCAGACACACAGGGATGTTGCATGACATATAAGCTGGGTGCATATTTATCCCAAAATCGAAGGACACAGACACCCGTGACACTGAACCTCATCCAGGAGATGTCTTCGCACTTATTACTCAGCTGTTTTATAATCTATCAACCAACAGGCAAAAATATCTAACACACTGTGTTTCCAGTTCACCCTATTAGTAATGATTTGCTGTTATTTCTCTGAGCCATCTACAGAAGAAAATCTACAGTTGCAATACTACCATTTTCTAAAATTCACCAAAAAAGTAACTGGCAGATAATTTTTTTACAAAATGATTCCTAAGTGGCAGCCCTGTGTGCTTTTGTCTGGATCAATTTGAGAGTTCAAGCTCTTCCGCTGTCAAATCAGTTAAGTGGGAGGAAAGGATCAAAAAGTGTTGCTGAGTCATAACCTGACTCGGAAAATTTGCTACTGCAAACTTTTAAATGTTCGTTGAAATTATTCCCTCTCTAAAACACACACCATTCTTCAATTACAGAGCATTTTAAAAGCAAAAAGGCACAAGGGTTCAAAAAGTTCAATTGTCTTTTATGGAGAAATAACAAAAAGGAGCTCTCCTTGGTACTGAAACAGATGTTAGGACACTTTTAAACCCTATACACTGTAATTTGTCCAACTGGTAACATGCTTAAAAGTCAATAAGTAAAGTGATGGTCAGACGAGTTGCTTGTAAAAAAAAACAACAATAATTTGCATTTTTTCGTAATGTATGCAAGTGAAAGTCAGACTTTAACACAGATGTCTTACAAAGTCGCCAATATCAAATCACTGATCCTGAAAATAAAAAAGTAGTCACTTAAAATGAAAGATTCTACGTTTGAATGAGTCTTATACGCCTCCATGTGTACAAGTTTAATAGATTTGGTTTCCGAAGACCATTTTCAGTCTTTCGGCGCCCCTGAAAGTTTCCAGTCTTTCCCCCAGATGACTGCGCAGAATAAATGTCGGTTATACTTGGGTTTGCTGGTTTTATATGCGGAGAATTGCGGTATACAGCTATTCCAAGAACTGCTCATAAACTTAACTCAGTTTGACCCATACCTGAAGTCGCTGTATGGGTGGATAATCCAGTTACCCGCTGACTTGACGCGCTCTTGTTCCTTCTCCACAGCCTTTTGGCTGCCAAACATGCGCAGGGAGAACTTGTTCACCCCGGGCTGAAGCATGGAGCTGAACTGCCGCTGCATGTACGTCTGATTCCCCCTGGAGTCTCCATCATCCGGCACGATCTGGGAGCCATCCTCAGCTTTGGAGAATGTCACAGAGTTCCTCGACTGCTGACTTGGAGTCTGTCCTTTACTTGCTGGGGCGTTGGAGAAGGAGACTCTGGAGTCCTTTTTCTCCATCGCGCTCTTGACCTCGGCCCCGGGCCCCTGATTTAGGGACCCCGCTGAGGTGATGGAGCCATCCATGATTGCAGCCTGCCCCTTACAATCCTCCCCCACTACTCCTCCATCTGCTTGCCTCTCCTGCTTGGAGATGAGAGAGGAGAGGCTCCCTGAACTGGTCGGGTCCCTTCTACAATCTCCGTTTTTGTTGCATATCATTCCGATGGCTACTTCTCTCCTCGCGTCTGCCTCTGAGACTGTCTCTCCAGACTGTGCGCCGCCAGCAGAAACAGCAGCCCTCTGGCACAGCAGAGCACAGGCTCTGCTGCCACTGACACTGACAGGTGTGGAGTCCTCGTCTGCCAGGAGCCACAGCTCATTGTTGTTGGAGTTTTTGCGCGCGGCGGACGCGGCCCCGCCTCCTGGCGTTAATTTCTCCATCGTGGTTCCTCCGCCGCTCCCACCATCCTCGGGTAGTTGGGGTGCTGGTCGAAGACGCTGGAATTTGGGCTCCTCCTCGCTGTCCTCTGCCTCGTCCATCACATGCAGGCAAAGAGAGAAACGAACAGGCAGACACGCAGATGGACACTCCCAGTACCTCGGGGCTGGAGAGACAGGGCGGCGGCGGGGGAGGCAGGAGTGTGGAGTTCAAAGCAGCAGAAGCCCTCTGCTTTCCATCCACACCACTTTAAGGAGAACAGCGCACCGGTGCCGTTGCTATGGTTGCAACCTGCTTCCTGTTGTTGTTGTTGTTGTGTTGTTTGTTTTGGTGTAGCTATGTGTGAACATGAGAGAAAAGGGGAGCAGACGGCATTACGCTGAAGCAACTACCTCTAACACAGTAGATATTGAAGAAATGAAAGGAAATTAACCCCTGATAAAACAGGACGTGTCCAAAAGGCGAAGTAGAAATCAGTATAGGAAAACTTGGGTGTGTTAATGACAAAATAAAAACAATATGAAAAACATAAAGTTACACCAAAAGGAGATTCAAAAAATGACATTTTGGCTGGTCTTCAGGGTTGTGTAACCTCTTAATTTTGCCTGCCTGTTGCTGTATGCAGATTGACAGGTAAACCAGGGAGGTTACAGCCTCATTACTGGTTATGCAGCTCCACCTTATGGTAGCTAATATTATTGCACTTGTTTAAGAAAAAGGCAAATAAAAGTTGAACTTCGGAAGGTGCCTCAAACAGAGTTACAATAGAGGTAGGCGAAGATAAGTTAGCAAAAGTAAGAATAATATGAAAGTAATAGAGTTAAATTTTTGGGTTTGGGTCTGCCACCAAGCAGGACAGGATCAGATTTCAATTAGTGGTGGGCATGGCAGTTCTTTTACATGTACTGAATCACTAGAATCAGTTCACTAAAAAGATTCGTTCACCAAATCACCGAATAGTTTAGCGGGAGAAGTCTGCGACTACGATCTTCTGAACTGATACACAGCTGAACAGTTCAGGATTCAGTTCAATACATAGCTTCAGGTTTGTAAAAATGAACTTGTTTATGAGTCATGATGTGTACTGTTCTATGGTATGCTATTTATCAGGTCTGCTCAGTAAATTGGGCTCAGTGAGTGATTCGTTCACTGAACGTTTAGAAGAATTCAAACTGAACATGCACCGTTCCCTCGCAAACCGCTGCGATGATAGGATGCTGCAGGTTTAATGCACGACTTGTTACATGCTGTGTCCTATTGTATGCAAGTTGTTGTGGTGGCAATTAAGCAGTAAGAAGAACAAAAAAAGTCGTTTTGTCTGACAAAAATAATTCCAGAGTGTAGTTCAAAGCGTGATTCGTTCAGCACAGGTGCCGATGCATGCAGTCCCTCGTTCGCTGGCTGCTCGACTGGCAGTGCTGTTTCTCACTTCAGTTGAACTGAAGTGAGAAACGTCTGATTTTAAAACTTTCTAACCTACTGTGCATGTTATCAAAATAAAAAACTGACCTCCAGAGAAAAGTTTTTGATTCCATTTAAACAAAACTTTATTTAAAAACAGAGGCAAGTTGACAAGTTTTACCAAACACAATCACGGTATTTCACTGTCAGAGAGTTATTGACTCAGACAAAATATGTGAAAAGTTAGTTATATGTGTAATACAAATGCAAAAAAACATGGAGCAGAGAGAGGAATAAAGCATGACAGAAAAATGAACAAAATAAAGACAAAGCAATATGAGCAAAATAGAATATGTGCATCCAAAAAGATGAAATTTAAGACAAGCTTTGTGTACAGAGTGAGTTTGGTGGAGGTAGAGATGAAAAACCAGCTGGGGAAAAATATTGAAGGGAAAAAACCCCAGTGGACAAAAAGCTCTCTACATGCTGTCACAGTTTCAGCCTCCATTTAACAAAGTTTAAGCCATAAATGAAGCTCAGATTAAACATTTAGTTTTATAAATATAATGAGAAATCAAATTCAGTACAACACAAAAACCACCTGGTTACAATTGTAAGAAGACTCTACTAGCTGTTGATCTTACAGGTTTGCACCAAAGAAACTCAAATGTTAGCAAGTTTAACAACACATCATCTGGTCAAACAGATGAATAATTTATAATAGATTCATCAGTACAGAACTATCCTCTATGACCCTTGTGTCACAGACAGGTCATCCATCTTCATCACTGGGTCCTCAGTCGAGACTCGAGTATCCTCCTGTAAATGAAGAAAACTGTCATGAGTGAATATTCTGCCTCGTTTTCATTTAGTTTTCTATCAGTCAGAAAAGGTCTCAGTGATAATCCTATAATGTCAATAATACTGATAATGTCAGCGATATAAAGGTGGAGGAGATCTATAAAGTGACAGTGACATAGCAAAGCTTGCACTCTTCATGGGTTGTGGGGGTTTATCTGTGCCCATCGAGTAAAAACATCCAACTATCATCATCTTAACGGACTCATCTGTTCGAAGGATTTAAGAAAGCTGCTCATGTGTGCTCCTCAAAGTAGCGCCTGAAAGAGAAAAGCGCACTCACCATGTCCTGAGTAAGGGTTTTCTGGAAGAGGTTGAAGGTCTACGGGCTCACAGTGAGACAGGAAGTCCGCCTGCAGGGTGGTGACTACAGAAGGCAGACAGGGATTCCAGTTAGTGGACTGTTAACATCAATTTATCACCATAAAACTTTGACTGAAACAAGCAAGACCAAGCAAGACCGGCACAGTCTTTAACCTACAAGTGAATCATTCTCTGTTTAATGTACCGGTTCCTTGGGGATGGCGCCCACGGCATCTGGTAGAGTCCGATGGTGTCAAGGGGCAGGTTTCTGTGCTGGTGCAGACTTCAGTTAAGGGGTCCAGAATGAAGAAGATCCGTCCCTCAAAGTGGGCAAACCACTGGTGTTTGGGAGAGATTAAAATTGGCAGAGATTAGAAAATCTGGATGCATCAGATAAAACCAGGTTCCTTTTGTAGGTGGTGATATCTGTACGCCATGCTCACCTGTAACCCAGTGTGCAGAGGCTCGGAGTCCAGCAGGTGATGGGGTCTGCCAGGGTCTTCATGGATGTAGACTCTGTAACAACACAAAATAGATTTTGGAGAAGCAGAAAGATGAGTCACTACATCGAAAACAGACTTAAAAGATTCAGACAGATTTAAAATCAAGTTTCTCTCGGGCATATACAAACCCCCAGAAAAGCTGGAGTTTTGGACCTCCAGTGAAGACAAATACAAGAACTCTCAGATAAAAATATGATATCAGAATCATTAAAAAAGAACTTCAGATACCTTCAGTTTGACGGTGACTCTTAAAAACTTCCCAGTCTGGATGGAGGAGCAGCACATCGAAGTGGGGCAGCCTCCCTGGTGGAACCCTGTGGTGGTCAGCACATCCAACGCCATGGCTCGACACCTCCATCATGTTTAGGGGAAAAGCAGAGACATACATGTGCAGCCAAAGGGAGGTATAAAAACCTCGTACAGAATAACAGGACACAAAAAACCACAAGTACAGATTTCAGATTTTCACAGAGACTGGAGGGTCAAAAAGAAACAAAACAACAAAAAAAAGAAAACCCCACAAAAAAAAAAAAAAAAAAAGGAAAGAAAACAAACATCTTAGATTTTTACAGAGACTGGAGGGTCAAAAAGACAGAAACAAACAAAAAAAAAACCCTAAAAAAAACAAACAAAATTACATTTTATGATAACACTTCATTGTCCCCCTCATGTTAGTTGAAGCTGCAGAGGAGATGGTGAGGCCTGAAGTTGTAGTTGATGTTGAGGTTGTCCTTGTTGAGTTGGTTTCCTTTTTGAGAACTGAGTGAACTTCGCTGATTTGTTGTTTCCTTAAGAGTTTTTGTTTTGCTTTTTGGATTTTGTTGTTTTAGTGGTGGGCTCAGCAAGTATTTGAAAAACTTGCAACTGACATTTTTTTGACATTTTCATGCTAACCAAGTTTCATGAAAACAGAAATAACCTTTTTAAAGTCATAAAACCCTTTTAACCTTGAGTGATGCTGAACTATTCTCCGGTTGGTTGTGAATTTTCTTTTTTTGGTTTGATTTTGATTTAGTTTTTTCAGCATTTCTTGATTTTAGACTGTTGTTAAGCTTTTGAGTTAAAACCACCTTTTGCACCTTGTTGGTGGTTTTCCCTTTTGTCATTGAAAGCAGCATCTAAACCTTGTATTACCATTGCGTCCCTGTGGGCACCATTTAAACCTTGTTGATTTGCCCTTTTGTCATTGAAAGCACCATTTAAACCTTGTTGTTGGGTCCTTGAAAGCACCATTTAAACCTTGTTTGTGTTACCATCATGTCCCTGAAAACACCTCATGAACCTTGTTGTCCGTTTCCATATTGTCTTTGAACGCATCGTTGTGAACCTTGTTGGTTTGTGGTTGTTTAGCTGAAAACACCTTTTAAACCTTGTTTTTGGTTTGTTGTGTTTTTGATCATTGAACCTTGTGTTGTTGCATCTTTGCATCAGAGTATTGTGACTGTTTCAGCTGTTGTGTTTCAATAGAGACATTCACCTACTGGTTTTTGAAGAGAGGTTACAGTCACAACATTGGAAACACTGACCCAGCCTTACATGTTATCAACATAAAAACAGGCAAAGATCGAGCTCAAGTGGGCCTTAACTTTGGGAGAACAGCTGAGGCACACCCACGTCACATTGCACCTTTGTGAAAACGATTTAATAACCAGAGAAAAGTTGTTTCTGGAGTTGAAGCATTCAGACTTTTGGGTGACAATAGGACAGTGTGTTAAGTGGTGTTCCCTGTCTCATCTTACCTGCAGCACAAGGATACCTGACTTCGTCTCTTTAGAGGTGATCTAGATCCTTCCTGAAGATGTTGGTGGTTGCCAGGTTCAACACTGCAGATGCTCACTTCTGTGATGGTTGGGGAAAAGGAGAGAGACACACATACAAATGCAGAAAATACTCGACTTAAAAACAGTGAAGGTGAGGTGCAGCATTAGAAAATCTGTTTGAAACTGAATATGGATGAAGTTATCAGAATGCAGGACCTGGTTTCTTACATGCTTTCTTGTGGTTACTTTGGTGAAAACATAACGTCAAAAAGTTCATCTTACCTTCAACAAGATGACCACCCTTGGATTTCCCAGACGGAACAGGAAGGCGGCACTTTGAGTTTCTGCAGCAACAGTTCCTCCAGGAAAAGAGTGGTCACCTCGCCAGACCTGCTTATGTTCGGAGGAAAGCAGACATACATATGCACCCAAAGAAACATGGCCAAACATACAGAAAATAAATGAGTTTAAAAAAAAAAAAAAAAAGTACAACACATGCAGATCATGACAAGCACAGTTCAAGGATTCCATTTCAGAGATTCAAAGGTTCACAAAAATACAAAGAATAAATAAAAATAAGAAAAACTAAAGTTAACAAAAACAGTTGGAGGATCTACACAGTTTGTTTATTGTCCTCGTTCTGTTTAGTGTTGCAAACGTTGCTGTCTTGTTGTTGTTTCCGTTGGATCCTTTGGAAGCACTTTGACGGTTGTTGCGATGTTGGTAGTTTTGAAACTTGGTTTTGGTTGATAGTGATTTTGCTGAAGTTGCTTTGACAGACCTTTTGAGAGCAGACTTTTAACATACCGTCTTTGCTTGTTTAAGAACCAGTTTTTTTAAGCACCTTTTTAGACCTTGTATTTTGGGTTTAAGATCAAGTCCTTGGAGCAACTTTTAAAACTTTTTTGGGGTTTGAGGTAAAGTATTTTAAAGCACCTTTTGAAGCTTTTTTGGTTTGAGACTAAGGCTTTGAAAACACCTTAATTTTTTTTTTTAAATTAAATCTTTGAAAGCACCTTTCAAACCTTTTTGTTTGTTTGCGATCAATCCTTGAAAAGCAACTTTCGAGCCCTTTTTGGTATGAGTACAAGTCTTTGAAAGCACCTTTTTTTGAAGCCTTTTTTTGAGAACAAGTCTTTTAAAGCACCTGTCAGAAACTTGTTTCTGGGTTTGAGATAAAGTCTTTTAAAGCACATTTGGGAACCTTGAATTTGGTTTGAGATCAAGTTTTTGAAAGCACCTTTTGTTTGAAATCATACCTTGAAAAGCACTTTCTGAACCATGTTTCTGGGTTTGAGAACAAGTCTTTGAAAGCACCTTTTAAACCCTTTTGTTTGAGAACAAGTCTTTGAAAGCACGTTTTGAACCTTTTTGTTTGAGAACAACTCTTTGAAAGCACCTTTGGAACCATGTTTCTGGGTTTGAGATCACGTCTTCTAAAGCATCTTATTAGAACCTTATTTTTGGTTTGAGATCAAGTTTTTTAAAGCACCTTTGGACCTTGATTTTTGGTTTGAGAAAGATTTTGAAAGCACCTTTTTTTGAAGCCTTTTTTTGAGATCAAGATTTTGAAAGCACCTTTTCAAGCCTTTTTTGGTTTGAGATAAAGATTTTTTAAGCACGTTTCAAGCCTTTTTTGGTTTGAGATCAAGTTTTTGAAAAGCACCTTTTTAGAATTTTTTTTTGTTTTGAAATCATACTTTGGAAAGCACCTTCTGAACCATGTTTCTGAGTTTAAGAACAAGCATTTTGAAAGCACCTTTTGAACCTTTTTTGTTTGAGAACAACTCTTTGAAAGCACCTTTGGAACCATGTTTCTGGGTTTGAGATCACGTCTTCTAAAGCATCTTATTAGAACCTTATTTTTGGTTTGAGATCAAGTTTTTTAAAGCACCTTTGACCTTGATTTTTGGTTTGAGAAAGATTTTGAAAGCACCTTTCAAGCCGTTTTTGGTTTGAGATCAAGATTTTGAAAGCACCTTTTCAAGCCTTTTTTGGTTTGAGATAAAGATTCTTTAAGCACGTTTCAAGCCTTTTTTGGTTTGAGATCAAGTTTTTGAAAGCACCTTTTTAGAATTTTTTTTTTGTTTTGAAATCATACTTTGGAAAGCACCTTCTGAACCATGTTTCTGAGTTTAAGAACAAGCATTTTGAAAAGCACCTTTTGAACACTTTTTTTTTGAGAACAAGTCTTTGAAAGCACCTTCTGAACCATGTTTCTGGGTTGAGAACAACTCTTTGAAAGCACCTTTTGAACCATGTTTCTGGGTTGAGAACAAGTCTTTGAAAGCATCTTTTGAACCCCTTTTTTTTTTTAGAACAAGTCTTTGAAAGCACCTTCTGAACCATGTTTCTGGGTTGAGAACAAGTCTTTGAAAGCACCTTTGGAACCTTGTTTTTTGGTTTGAAATCAAGTCTTTTGAAAGCACCTTAAGAACCTATTTCTGGGTTTGGATCAAGTCATGAAAGCACCTTTTGAACCATGTTTCTGGATTTGAGATCAAGTTTTGGAAAACACCCCTCAAACCTCTGAGTTTGAAATCAAGATGATGACATCTAAAAGCTAGGTGTTCACCTACCCTCAGAAAGATAACCAACCATAGAGCAGAAGCCATGTCAATATTGTCACGCTGTTCTTGAAGTTCTTGTTGTCCTTCTTGTAGTTCCTCTGGACCTGCTGGTATAATTCTTGAGGTTTTTGCAGTTTTAACATTAGCATGATCCTGATACTATGAAAGAATAAGAGTTTAACTGGACGTATCAATAAAGCACAGTCGAATACTGTGTACTTGACAAGTTTAGCTGGGTTCATTTTCAGCATAGTTATCCTTACAGTTTTGACATCTGTTGCTGCCACTGCATCAAAGTTAACATTACTGCTTTTTCGTTTTCATGTCACTCCAGAGTAAAACAAACATTTTATCATTAGGGTTTTTTTTGGAGTGTGATCATCATATTGAAGTCAAATGTAAAGGGGAAAAAAAACAGACCCAGTCCTGTTCAGAGGTTTGGGCGTTAACACACAGGGTCCACATCAGGTCTTCTTCTACTCCTTTAGTTCTTCTGAATGGTCTTCTTGTTCTCCGTGATAGTGCTGCTGAGAAAAAGCTTTGATTGTTTGGTTTAGGCCATTTTTGATTGAGTAGAGGCAATTTATTTTTAGGCTTGAAGGTGCTCTTGATAGATTAGGTGCTTTTGTCAAATTAAAAAGGTGCTTTTGACATACCTTTTGAGACCAGACCTTTTAACATACCGTCTTTGCTTGTTCAAGAACCAGTTTTCGAAAGAAACCTTTTAAACCTTATTTGTTTTTAAGATCAAGTCTTTGGAAGCAACTTTTACAAATCTTTGTAGAGCTTGAAATCAAGTCTTTGAAAGCACATTGAGAACCTATTTCTGGGTTTGGATCAAGTCATGAAAAGCAACCTTTGAACCTTGTTTCTGGATTTGAGATCAAGTTTTGGAAAACACCCCTCAAACCTTTTTTTTTTTTTTTTTGTTTTAAATAAAGATGATCACATCCACAAACAAGGAGATGTTCACCTACCCTCAGAAAGATGACCAACCTTACAGCAAAAGCCATGTCAACGTTGTCATGCTGTTCTTGAAGTTCTCGTTGTCCTTCTTGTAGTTTCTCTGGATCTTGTCTTAACTTTTGAGGTTTTTGCAGTTTTAACATTAACATGATCCTAATACTATTCAAGAATTGAAGTTTAGCTTGACAAATCAATAAAGCACAATCGAATACTGTGCACTTGACAAGTTTAGCTGGGTTCATTTTCAGCATAGTTATCCTTACAGTTTTGACATCTGTTGCTGCCACTGCATCAAAGTTAACATTACTGCTTTTTCGTTTTCATGTCACTCCAGAGTAAAACAAACATTTTATCATTAGGGTTTTTTTTGGAGTGTGATCATCATATTTAAGTCAAATGTAAAAAGAAGAAAAAAACAGACCCTGTTCAGAGGTTTTCTTCTACCTGGGTACTGGTCCAGGTGTAGCGCAGACATCTTCACCCTGCTTCTTCCAAGTCTTTCCACGCTGCTCCCTTTGGCCACATCATTCTTCTTATATCTTCAGGTTGTACTTGCTGCGTTAGCTCACAGCACTATGCACATCTTACAATCAATAGAAATGCTAAACTGGTCTAAAAGGTATAAAAATAAAGCACAGCAAAAATACTGTGCACTTGAGTTTAGCAGGGTTCGTTTTCAGTCTAATTATCCTTACAACAGCCTTGAATCCCTATCTTTGTAACAGCCACTGCGGCTCCTGTTTCCATCATTAACATTACTGGGTTTTCATTTTTGTGTTCATTCATTTTCAGAGTGTCAAAATAAAGCACAGCAAAATACTGTGCACTTGAGTTTAGCAGGGTTTGTTTCAGTCTAATTATCCTTACAACAGCCTTGAATCCTTATCTTTGTAACAGCCACTGTAATTAACATTACTGGGTTTTCATTTTCATAATCACTCATTTTAAGAGTGAAAACAACAGTTTTAATACAAATTAGGGGGAAAAAAACAAGCAGTATGAAAAAAATCAACCTGGTCTGTGTATCGGGCATCCATTCCTCGTTGAAGATCTTCACACCTTTTGAGATCTTATATCTTCAGGTTGTACTTGCTGCGTTAGCTCACAGCACTTTACACAACTTACAATCAATAGAAATGCTAAACTGGTCTAAAAGGTCAAAATAAAGCACAGCAAAATACTGTGCACTTGCGTTTAGCAGGGTTCGTTTTCAGTCTAATTATCCTTACAACTGCCTTGAATCCCTATCTTTGTAACAGCCACTGCGGCTCCTGTTTCCATCATTAACATTACTGGGTTTTCATTTTTGTGTTCATTCATTTTCAGAATGTCAAAATAAAGCACAGCAAAATACTGTGCACTTGAGTTTAGCAGGGTTTGTTTCAGTCTAATTATCCTTACAACAGCCTTGAATCCTTATCTTTGTAACAGCCACTGTAATTAACATTACTGGGTTTTCATTTTCATAATCACTAATTTTAAGAGTGAAAACAACAGTTTTAATACAAATTAGGGGGAAAAAAAACAAGCAGTATGAAAAAAATCAACCTGGTTGATGTCCTTCAAATGGGTCTGTGCACTGGGCAGCCATCCCTAGTTGAAGATCTTCACACCTTTCGGAGGTCTTCTTATATCTTCATTTTCTTCTTTGACCAAAAGCATGTCGGGGAAATCTGAGGTAGTTTGGGGCGACGAGGAGGAGTATCCACTTGGGCAGAGAAACGCTGCTTTCCAAAAACGCATTGCTGAAATCAGACCTAATCCTTGTGACGCATCCCGACTAATTTAAAGCTTCCCTCAGGAAGTTAAATTTTAATTCGAGTGAACTCTCATTTTTGTTTTGGTAAATTTGTTGATTTACACATTTTTGAGGACCGATTTGCTATTTTGTTTAATTAAATCTGATAGTAGAGTTGTTTTGGGGGTCTATGTTGCTGCACTGGTTGATCGTTAATGGTGGGGATTCTTGTTTTTGTGGTTTTGGAAGAGAACAGTTTCTCTCCACAATTGCATCACCAAAACAGAGCAAAACTAGACAAAAATCTGCTTCTCTGGAAGAGAACAACTTCCCTCCACGATTGCATCAGCAAAGCAGACCAAAAGTAGACCAAAACCTGCAACCCCAGAAGAGAACACGTTCTCTCCACAATTGCATCACCAAAACTAGACCAAAACCTGCTACTCGGGCAGAGAACAACTTCACTGCTTGATTGTTGATGGTGGGGTTCTTGTTTTTGTTGGTGCGGTTGTTGTCAAACCAAAAGCAAACTGACCTCCAGTGTCCCTCGTTGATGGTCTGTCCATGGAGTGAAGTAGTCAATGTCTTACCTTACAGGGTCCAGGCGTTGGACGGTCATGAGTTCTGCCTCAATTTGACTTGATCTGGCGTCATTTCAGCTCCTGGTTAACACACAGAGAAATACACAACCATCAAACCTTAAGTCCTGAATATAAGACTCAAAATTTAAAACCTTGACCTCTTTGACCTCCTTCAATAATCAGCTTTCACACAAGTTTATGAGTTCAGCCCTATTTTAAATACTTTACAATAACTACAATTTATAAATGGTAAATAGATAATTAAAGTTCAATCATCATTCAAAAACAGCCTATAGACCAATTATAAATGCCAAATAGATAGTTTATTAATGTAAGTTAATTGTTACTTTAATGATTGATAATTTTCATTAATTATTAATGGACTATTTATTAAAAGGTTTATATAGGGTTTAAATATTGGTTTTAAAACATCTAGATTAAAATGTGTGTCAGTAAATGGTTAATATTTGGTTCTTAAACCATCTATAAACATTACTTGATGGTTTATTGTAAAGTTGTAACTGATGTTTGAAATACTTTGTAAATTGGTTTATAATTATAAACCATAATAATTGATTAATAATTGGTTTATAAACCACCTATAAACATTACTTAAATGGTTATAGTAACGTTATGGTTAGGGTTAAGGTTTTTATAAAATTGTAAAATGTACTATTTATGGCCTATATGCTATTTATAAATTATTTAAATATTAATAAACTATCTTCTTAACATTCATAAATGGTCAATTTACCATTTACAAGTTATGGTTATTGTAAAGTGTTACCAGTCATTTTAAACAGCTCATCTCTTTGGCTCTTTGGCTTCTCTGGACTGTTGCTGTTGTCGTTGTTGCTGTTGTTCCTGCTGCCTCCTGTCTCTCTCTCACCCTCGTTCCCTACTCTCTCTCCCTCCCCCTCCCTCTCCGTACTAATTCTCTCTCGCCTTTCCCCTATCTTGCTGTCTCTCTCCCTCCCCCTGTCCTCTCCCCCTCTTCTCTCTACATTCCTCCCCAACCCAGCAGCGGCATGGTGGCTGTCTAGCATGAGTCTGGTCCTGCCCAAGGTTTCTGCCTGTTAAAAGGAAGTTTTTCCTTGCCACTGCTACTCATGTTAGTTGAGATGGGCCAAAACCCATCTTAGGTTGGTTCTTGATCATCAAACAATGAGCGCGGTCCTGACCTGCTCTTGTTCCTTGAAAAGCGTCTTGAGATGACGACTGTTGTGAATTGGCGCTATATAAATAAAATTTGATTGATTGATTGATTGATGTTTGCATGATGGTTGGCAGCCATGCTCCAAATCAGACCATTCAAAGACCATTTTCAAGCCACATCTTTATTTTCTTTCTGGGCTTATAAAGTTGCATCCCTGCCTCAGTCTCACCTTTGGCCTCAGTGGAGTGGAGTCATCTGAGAGGACATAAAGTGAGCTGGGGTCTGAGGAACATGCTGGAAAAAAACAAACAAACACAGAAGCACAGTTAGTACACACCAACAACAGCACTTTCCACTGCAGACTCAGGGTACACTAAGACAGATCTGAATAAGCAGTTTCGCTTTTTCATACTGGGCTTTGAGACCTTATCGTCTTTTAATACAGTCAGAAAAATAAGAATAAGGCCAAATGCAGTCTTCTGAACATTATATTCATGGGACCATCATGTAAACCTTAAAACAAACTTATTCATTAAAGTAAAACACACATGTTTTTATAGGTGTCATGGATTCATGTTTAGGGTAGGTGTCAGATGATTTTAAGGCCCAGTGGCCTGAATAACGCCATCTGCTGGACATTTAGTGTACACACACACACCCTCTGCAAGCTACAACTTGATGCCAGATTAGAAATTTACTGAAAAAGCTTGTGTTTAACTTTATTAGTGCTCAAACATGTCAGGCCTGTATGATAATCCCATAAAATTAAAAGCATTTTAACTATCGAAGAGTGCCAAGGACCATTTTGTTCAAACATTAGCTCAGTAGAAGTTGTATATGCCTGTAGATTCATCAATATACAAATCAATCATTTAGCTTTTAAAGCTTTGCATTCTTTTGGTTCAATTCAAGATGAAATAAATAAATTAAAATTAAAAAAATATTTTTTTTAAAAAGTCGAATTTTTAAATTTAAATTTCGGCTAAGCGAGTATCGAAGCTTGAGTTGATGACGTATGTGATAACGTTTGAAGCCTCGCGAGCCGGTGTTATGCCGTAGAATGCATCCCCTCCACTCATTAGCTTCTTAAAGTGAGAGAAAATGATCTTATATTTAAAACAAAACACGAGTATTAGATCATGACAACATGTCAAATGGAGCAGCAAACTTTCCCTCTGTTTTTATGCGTCTAAAATATGCACATAGAGAGGTGTACTTGGGTATATAAACTGTACAGTACGCTGTTAAGGTAGAGAACAGTATATTTTCGGGACAGCAAATATTCCCAATCAGAGGGCTGTTGTTTTCGGCTTATCTGGACAACCTGAACAAAATCATTAAAGGCATACACTTTTTAATTCATCCAATGGTAGGGAAAACTTGGATTATTTCGCCTTCTTATGTACTTTCAACCGCGTTGCCGTCAGGGATTGCATTTTACGGCAGGGGTGCAATCTACGGCAGAACACCGGTCGTACCACGTGACTGATTCAGGAACCGGCTCGAGGTTTTGGCGGGTGATTTAAAATCTAACGGGCAGCGAAACGCGACGGGGTACCGCTAGAAGTCCGAAGACTTGTCGAAAAGATGTTTTTTAATGAAAATATTAACGTGTTCGATGCTGTCCCCGTAACAAACGCACAGTCACAAACCGAGTTACACACAAGCACATTCACATCACAACTGTCTCCATTACTATTTATGTCCTGTTCCCCTTTTCACCCTGCTTCTGTGTCGTAAAGACAGACAATATCAATAACTTAATAATTTCTGTATCGATATCTCAAACACATGGCTTCACATTCATTCATTCATTTATTCCATTCAGAGATTCGCACACCAAAGGGGGTGTCTCTGATAATCACTCTGCCTGTTTTAGATTTATTGTCCACGGTGGCACAGTTGAGCAAATGCAGTTTCAGACCAGAGTAAAGCAAATGCGTGGAAATAATGATTCAAGAGGCTTCATGTCACGATCACCCACTGAGTCCTTACCTGTGCTCTGGACGAAGGTGTTGCTTCCTCTCAGTTTGCTGGCAAATGGACCGATAACTTCAGGTGACCCTCTTTTGAACCCTGTGACCACTCCTACGGGGCGTTATTAATTACATAATTTCAAACAAACCGAAATTTTCTCACCATCTAAATGCAGTCTAATCCTCTGAACTCTTCATCCATCCGCAATCACTTATTTTACACTTTTATATTCACTTAATTTCAACAATAGAATGTTTTTTATCATATTTGTTCATTTCTGAACCACGTGACCGTCATTTCGTATTTACTCTGTGGAAATCCACCGCCTCCCCACTGAGCAAAAGACGTGTATTAGACGTCTAGTCTAAATTTAAACTTCATTTCAACGTCAGGATTCAGTCTATTTTTAGACGTGATTTAAACTTCGCCCTCAACTTCATTTTTCGATAACTATTTATGCAATAAACAACTGTAATGTGCATAACTGACCTCTAAATACTGGATTACATTACTTATGATACCGTGGAGAGATATGCAGCATAGTATAGATGTAGACGTCATTTACACGTATAAATTTATACTTCATTTCAACGTCGGGATTCAGTTTATTCACCCACCGTGACAATAATCCAGCCACCTTATTGGTGGAGCATGCTCATGTGACCCACCGTGCACCCACTTCGGTTAGATTCTAATTCCGCCAAGAGCGAAGTAGTCCGTGATAAAAGTTATTGGCATAGCCGCAATACTACGAGATTAGCGACAAAGAGTATTTGGTAGCTCTGCAAGAGCCCAGTTTAACACCTGAATGGAGATCGTACCATAATAGGACCATAACATGAAAACGGCTTCAAATTGTGGACCGCACAACATCCGGCTGAAGCATTGCGCTTTGTCCACACTCGACCTCACGACCGTCGGAGTACAGCAGACGTCCCAGGAGTCGCGGAGTTCGAGAGTTATACTTTCAGCTGAAAGGAGGTAGGTGCTGAAGGAGATATTATAGAAAATGTTTGTTTTTTCAAGCTTTGGTCCTCCCACCGTCGTGCATCATGATGCGTGACGGTGAAATGCATTTACAGCAAATGTTGAACTCGAGTTAGCATGTAGCCTGGTTGCTACTACGAGGGCTAGCTTGTGGCTAGTTTAGCCAGCATCAAATAGTCCATGCTAACGTGTGTTGTCGTGAGAGTAAATAAGGGCCTGCTCTCTCTATGGGGCCAAGTTTAAAAGCTGCTAGTTAGGCTATCCATTTAATTAGAAAATGAAGCCTATTTTGATGCCAGTACTGTTGTTTTTGTTTATCCAGTGGTATTTTTTCATGTAATTAAATTTGTGTTTAACTGTAATTGTCATAGATTGTGTTTTCACTATGTGTGGTAGAAATGGGACGCATTAGTTGAATTATTCCAATATTATTTTGTTAATGCATTAGCAATGCTATAGGAAATGCTAATAGTAACAATCTAAAAGTACTGGTATCGACATATTATTTACCAAGAGCAAAAGGTATTCATTATGCATTATGTCCTGCTTCACAAGTTGCCAGTTGTACTAAAAAAACAAAACAATTTTATAATGGTTGATCTACAAGCTCACACTGTTATTAACATTATTGTTTTTCTACTTTCTTTTTTCCATGTGTTTTCTTTCCAGCCAAATTGAATATGGCCTCTAATTGTTTGAAAGAGTGGCGGAGAAAAAGAGCTAGGGAGGGTGATTTCATGGATGAATTTTTGCATTGGATTCAAGGTAAGGATTTATCAGGTTTAGCAGTGGTTTTTAAGTAGGGTGGGGGCTATTTTAAAATAGTGCAACAGCATATGATTTTGTGTTTAACAGCCAAAGTTAAGCACCACACTCATCATCCATTTATTGTCTCGTTCTCGGATTTTGCAGCGAGGAAGAGGGTTTATTCCTACCCAATGCCTGAGAAAGGTAAGAGTGCCATTACTACAGTACAAAATGTTGTTAAGTAACGTATTCTAACTGTTGAATTGAATGTTACTAAATTATATCTTTTCACCAAGAGTTCCAGCGGGTGGTCATGGAAACACTTTTGGAAATCCGCGATGAATTGAAATCACTCAACCAGCAGGGGGACATTGAAGATGAGGGTGAGCAGATACGTCAGTTGCCGTTAAGGACGTTGGAGGAGGCTCAGCGCATGTCGTTGGAAATCAGTGGGCACCCCAGCATAAAACGTTTACTGGTAAGTCAAATAGAGATGCTAAAAATGATAGAAATCTATACATTGGTCACTCTTGATAATTTGATTATATCATACAGATAAAACAACTGTCACACCTTGGGGGGAAGGACATTAAGACCTGCACACGCAGGATCCTGGACAGGTATGAATATGACAGCAAGACAATGTTTTTAATATAATCATGTATTGTTGGTGTTTATCAAGTCTTTCTAGTGAATTGCAAGAGTAAGCAGTATTAAGGTGCATTCACACAGGCACTTGTGCAACAGCAGCGAGGGTTTCTCTTACATTTTAAGGACTTGTTCCGCAAATAAAGAGCAGCGCTGGACACGGTATCCGACGAGATCGAGGGGAAGCCTAGAGCGGGTGTGACGTATTGCGCAATGTGAATTGACGGTGGTAAAGTGACACGTTTTAGGACACAAGACAGGACAAGTTGCGTTGCCTGTCCGGTGTGAACGCACCTTAAGAGATTTATTTGTCTTTGATTTCCATTTCAGAATTTTACACAATGACGTGCAGAGGAACTACAACCTCCTGGGTGGAGGACGCCAGGGGAAAAAAGGCTTTAAGAAAACTGCTTTCTTCACAGTTGTTCTTGGTAAATGAATTATATCTCTGCAAGTTATTACTTATTCTTGGTCATGTTACTGACTCATTTAAAGCCTGAAGCTGTAAAAAAGTGAAGAATCCTTCCGGACAATACTAGATAATTTCTACACTTACTGTGATTCAAGTTTCTTTAGTTTTTTTTATCTTTTTGCAGAGTCTGTTCGCACTAACTTCCCGACGGCAACAGAGGAACTGGTCGCAGCATCGATTGGGGACCATTTGAAACAGGCACCAGCTCGATGTGGTGGGAGGGGCACCACCAGAACACCACCCTGCTAATTTTTAAAAAATATATATATCTTAAAATTGTTAATATTTATAGTTCATTTCAGTATTAGTATTAGTTAAATTTTTCTTTATGTTCATGTTCTTTTTCTTTATACTTTGTAGCTATGTTTTTATATAGCTATATAGATTTTTTTCTTTTTTAAATGTTCGTTTTACTAGATGTGAAATTAAAAAATTGTTTTTCCCACTCCATGACTGTAATGGTTATATTCTGAGTAAAAAATGTACTGCGATTTCAATTACAGTGGACTGATGGTTGCCAAATGTAGATCAGTGTTAAATTATGAATGAGCATGACTGTAGAAGCTATTCTAAAAGGTCCAGAAAGAGAAGCAACATTGCCGAAATAGAACATCCTGGGGGTACGTGTATCAAGGTTAGCAGCAGGTAACTTTTGGTGTAGAGAATCTGGCTCCACAGATGGTGTTTCCTGTGAATACTTTCATCAATTTACATATATCAGATGCTTATGGTAATGTGCATTGTTGATATTTAGTTAATTTATTAAAATATTATTAGACACGATTGTGCCTTCAGACGTCCGTTGGACCTGTAGTCTAAAAATGGTTTAACAGTGGTATAGAAATGAAAGTTTAATAGACTCGTTCGGTCGGCGCCGTAGGCTGACCGGGGGACCTGCGTGCTCCAGCGGCTGCTGCTGCTGAGACCATCCGCGCGCGGGGAGGCTCACCCGGTCCCTGCTGGGTCGGCGGATTTAGACCAGATGTCTAATAAACGTTTAATCAACGTCTATGTCTATACCTGGGTTTATATTTGGTAGAAGCATAAACGTCTAACATAAAGATGTTTCAATGAAAACGTCTATTGGACGTCATTTCAGCGTTATAGACGGAACAATGTAGAACAAACACGTTTAAACAACGTATAAATGTCGACGTTCAAAAAACATAAATTTGGACGTTGAAAAAACTTTCATTTCTATACCTCTTTTATACCAAATTTAGACTAGACGTCTAGTCTAAATTTAAACGTATATTAGGCGTATAATCAACCTCAAAATGCTCGCTGGGTTACTTAAAAGATTCAGTTCTTTTTAACGAATTGTTTGTGAACGAAACAACATTAATTTTCAATGGACAACCAGGACTACAAAGGAAACCAAAGGGGCCAACCTGCCCTCCATCCAGGACTCATACCAGTCCAGGGTCAGGAAATGGGCAGATAACATCACTGCAGACCTCTCACGTCCAGGATGCAGACTGTTGAAACTCCTCCCCAGCTGACACAGACGGATTCTTCCCAGGGCCGTTGGTCTGATGAACTCACAGAGCCAAAGAAAGACCACTGTAACTGTAAAAGGACTTTTTATAACAGTTTAAACTGTTTATCAATTAACAGTCCTCTTATCTGACATGTACCTCGGCACATTGTTACTTAATATTTATCTTTAAGATAATACTGTAGAACCATAATATATATTTATCTCAAGTGCACAACTCACCTGGAATATAATGGCACATATTTTTTTCTCAAGTTTCACTCCACTGCACTCTTCATCACTACACTATTGCAATTTTATTTGTAATTTTTGTAACATTTCATGTTTGATGTAGGGCAAAGTTTACCAGAGTTAAACTCTTTGTATATATGTACATATACTTCGAGAAAGAAGCTGATTCTAACTCAGATTTTCAGTGTTGGCAGACATAGAGCCACGGAAAACTAAAATTGTATCAAGAGTATGTAAACATCGAGAAACATGGTGTAATGCTAATGAAAAGTGTTGAATCCCTAAGGGGACATGTATTCATGTTATTTATTTATTCAGTGTTAACAAGTTGATTTCAGACGTGTTCTTGGGATCTCAATTCAACCTCGAAGATGACAGCTGGTCCCCCTGGAGATGAAAATCGAAACTAAACAAACACAAATCACCTCAACATGGCATGTCAGGGTCAGGCCTAACAAAGTGACAAGTTTGTTGTTTTGCTAGCTCACCAGACAGTCCCAAAAAAACAAGCTATAGCTCGGAGACAAAATGAATCTGCCGTGAGAGGAACACTACCTTTATTATTTAAAGGGAACCAGAAAATTAAGTTGAGATGTTAAAAATGAAAATTGATTAAAACATTATTACAGGAGAGCCAGCTTAATTAACCAGAAACACGGGTCAAGATCTAAAGGGAGAAACTGAAATTGGCTCATTATGCTGGATAACAGATTAAATTAAATATATGGATGCAAGTCCATCTAAACTCCCATTGACTAATAAGAAATATTGCTTGAGGCCCCTAATATTAAAAATTTCTGTTCCACCTAATAATAAAAACAATTTGGCCTGATGTTAAAAGATGGCGAAGCACATACTGATAGACAGAAGTTGGGGATTTAATGTGGGTTTTTTTGGTATGTAAAATCAGTTCAGTCAAATGTATACCACTTATATTACTTATTACAAACTTAAAAAAACAAGCTTAAACACTGCTTATGAAGTTAAGAGTTTCAAAAATAAGCAGTTACGGGTATTTTCACAGCAACAAGCACAAGACACAATCAGTTATGTTCAAAGTTAAATAAAAAAACAGAAACTCACACAGGTTGGAGTAACTGCGGTCTTGACCTGAAACATTTTTTGAAAATTCAATGCAAAAAAAATTAAAAAAAAAATGCAGTTTTAGGCATTTAGTATAAAACATGTTTATGGGTTTATTAAATGTCTAAGAACTGGTGTCAGCAGCATTGAAGCTGCAGAAAATAAACTCAAACCAAACTTGAGCAGTTTAATCAGTATGTTATGTTGAATAAGCTGACAATGTGAACTATTTTTAACCTTATTTCTATGTCGAAGTATCCAAGAGTGTGTTGAAATGGCTGATCAGCCAAGAGTAGAGGTGTAAACTCACAGAGGTTGGGTAAAGATTTGGCACACTTACTCTTTTTACTTGTACAAACCTTGTTTTTGGGATCTCTGCAGCTACGTGACCCTCATGGCAAACAGGGCCTCTTGACCTGCTTTTCTGAAACAACCTTGGACTTGCAACACAGTCACACATGTGAACATCCATGTAAAATCAAATACCTTTATTCAGTTTGTGCAAGTTGTACAACAGATGGTACTCCAAGTATTTGGAAAGTACAACAGATTACACAATCCTGTCTAGGTCTTTTTATTAGTAGATACATCCAATCACATCAATACTCTTATATGGAACATATGGCTTCTGAATCACCTACACAGTGAGGGGGACAGAGATGGCGGTCTTACAATCTCACACAGATGTTTTAGCTCTGGTAACATTGAGCTAGGAAGAAAAAACATCTTATCAAATCATTTATTTCCTGTATTGATTGAAAAATCAGTGCACAGTAATAAAGCTAAATTATACAGAAGTAATAGATGTTGAGTATCTTGAACTTGGTCCTTATCAGCGTATGTATTGAAATTTGTGGATGCAACATCTGATCACAAAAATTTTAAACAAAAAAAAAAAAAAAAAGGGTGCAATTGAGAGGAGTCCAAGCAGGCTGCAAGTATTTTTGGAGTTTCTAACAAGCTGAACTCACTTTTTCTTAAACAAGTTAGAGACTAAATTTCACTGGTTCAAATCAATCCTCAGATGATTAATTAGGTAAAAAAAAATCACACTCCAAAAACACTCTGTTTAAACTTGAAATGCTCTACTGAGCCAAAATATGGCTGAAAGATGTGAAAAAAAACACATCCTGGTTCTTCTGGTTCGGAGTGTACTTTTAAATACTTTGGCAAAGTTTGATTAAATAATTTGGTGAAATAGAAATATTGTGTGCCCAATACTGATCACAGTAGGACAGAGAAAGTCATAACAAAGTAATTGGTTGGCGTATTTGAGCACAATAGAAAACACAGCGGTCAGATATTTAAATACTATTATTTAAAATTGACCCAATAGCGTTTATAATTTTTCCAACCAATCACAGCAGCAGATTATTTCTGTGGTTGTTCTGCCTCCTGGTCAAAGCATCACTTGAAACTAAGCAACAAAGCCCAGACCTGGCATGCAAGCATATACACCTGGCTTATTGATTTATCATAATTATCAATTTTGATTGACAGGTATTGGCGTAAACTTATGTAAAGTCACGTGTTTTAGAGAGGAGAAAATTACAGCAACATTATTATCAATTGAGTGATCAGAGAAATTCAGATTAAGTTTTTGTTTTGGCAGATGATTAAAAAAAAAAAAAATTTATTACAGCACCACCTTTGGGTCAATAACTGTTTTCATGTGCCTAAAAAGTGGGTAAAAATTGCTATTTCAGCGAGTTTAAACCCTACAGTGTTTGCTGCACAAAGAGAAGTAGAAGAAGAGAACTGACTTCAGGATCTAGCGGTGAAAAGCACTGCTTGGACCCCTAAATATTTAAAAAAGTTAAAGAAATAAAAGGATGATTTAAAGGGACAACAGCCTTCCTACTTCAAAACCTATAATTTCTTACGGCAACAAAAGCTAGCAGACATTACATCTCTGTCATTTCTGCATTTAATTTTAAGTATCACATTTAAATTTTGCAACAGGAAACAAAATGCAAAAAAAGAGGAAGAAATGGTGCTTGTTAAGGCAAAGTATAAAACTCTGCTGAGGGAGGTCTGTGTGTTGGTGAGGGACAGATCTAGCGTGTGAGGTCTAGTACGCTCACGTTGTTACTCGAAGATTGGCAGTGATTCTTTAAAGATCAAAAACGTTTCAGATAGTCTTAAAAAGAACTTCCTGCTCTGAGAGGAGAATTAAAAGCAAAGACAATTGTGGAAAAAAACTCAGTATAGGAAGCATCAGCATTAACAGAAAATAACTACAAACTAAGCATTCCTCACATGAACGGTTTCATGATTTTACATCGAACACACACTTTGCTATAACGGCATTTTTAACTCATGCATTATTCGCCCCGTGGCCTCAAGCAGAAATTTGTTTCACACTATGTTCTCTGGCTGAACAATATGGAGAATAATAGAGAAGAAAACTAAACAAGAGGAAATCAGTCAACCTCTTAAAACATCAACACTCAAGCACAGTATGATGTGCAACACAACAGCTGAGTCCTGGACTGCAGAGTGGGGGTCCACCTGGGGAAGATAAAGGGGGAATGTGTGAAGAATCTCAAAACTTGTGCTCATTTTGTTTCTTAACTCATTCAGTGCCAGGTTTATTTATGCAATTTTCACCCAGTGCCACCATTGACCGCAATAGAAATTTCTGTATCTTTCAGGACCCACAGGATACCTTGTGCTTGGACTAGAATAAAAGTGCAGTATATCAAAAGAAAGAGGTGATTCTCTTCTTTCACCAGAAAAAAAGGTTAGTCTCTAACCCACTCCTGTGTTTAGGTTATTGCCTGCTCAATGCAGCGTGGTCATATCATCTTTGCCGATCTGGAAAAGAAACTTGGGAAAAACCCATTTTTACTAAGGAGAGACTTTCAAGCAGAACTTTGATCGCCTATTTTACTTCACTTTAAACTACTTTACCGGTGGCATCAAGATCCTCCCTCCTCGGACCCCACTCCTCATCACTCTTGAGATCTGATTGTGATAGGTCACTAGTGACGGCTGGGAGCCGTATTGGCTCTCGAGAACCTGACGCCAGGACATAAACCACATGGACTGCTCGCATCCTCCTCGCCGGGACTGTCGCTAAATTCCGGCTCAGTCTCGCTCACCAGTACCAGCACTGGCGGATCAACGACACGCTGGAAAATTGCTTCTTTGATTGTCTGCTGACGATGTGATGTGATCCACAGACGGTACCACCGCGCCCACCAGGAGCTAATGACTCTGGCATTTTCCTACTCTCCTCATAGAGGCTCCTCCACCAGTAGGCCAATTGGCACACTTGATGGCACACTTCTCACTGGCGAGTACTTGTTTTTTGTTATTGTAACATGGTTATGACGTATTTGTTGGCTTTTCTGTGTTCAGAACGACCCCAAACTTAGTCACGTGTTGGGGAGGAGCGCCCTCTGGTGGAAAACAAAAAAACCCCTGAAAAATCTATCAATATCCGTCAATGGCACACAGGGCAAAAAAAAAAAAAATCTGTCATTGGCACTGAATGAGTTAAAGGCACATGTCTCCAAGACAGGAAGCAAACAGGAAACCTTTTGGACATTTCATAAGGGAATAAAAATCCCTCTAAGGAAGATTTACGCACCTGTTTCAGTGTCTAGTTAGAATTCCTTTGCCTCACATTCTTGTCTTTGTGATTTGCATTGGAATTGCTCTTCCTGAAAGACACATTAGAGCGTGCCGGTTATGTAATGAAAATAAGTGATAAACATTAACAGATGTTCAAGGTACACCGATGACTGTACTTACAGAGGAGCAGATCCTGAGTCGTCATCTGGACATCAGCAAGTGAAGGGGAGCAAACAAAAGAAAAAAAAGAGGGTCAGCTGATAGCAGGTTACATGTGTGTGATTGATGTGAGCAAAACATGCCCCAGATAATGGTAGCAAAAGTTAGAACATGACATCTTCAGCAACATGATATCAATGAGGTTATGATCAAATCAACTGAACATGAACTGAAGCATGCTCATCTGCTGGATCGGGGTTATGACAGTTATGACTTACTTCCTTGAAAATCACGTACAGTGAAATTCAAAACATTGTTTTTTCTTCTCTTTAAGGAAAAAACACATCAATAAATGTCACTGAAAACTGTACATCTCTTTCAAAAGCCTGTTGGTGTATTAAGGATATGCACTCCAGTGACCTTTTGGTAAACAATGGTCAGAATGACCCTTAAGCATCACAGAGGCTCATGCAGTACAAGCAAAGAACATCAAAGGAACGCTGCAGTGGCTGTATTAAGATAAGAAACAGTCAAGGTCTTCAAACTGCATAGCGAACACACAACCTGGCATGTATAGAGGCAGTGTTCACAGCAGGGCAAGAGCACATGTTGACAAGGTAACGCAGGAGTAGGCTACCTTTGTGGCCAAACGGTGAATGAGACAGATGTAAATGATGTACTGGTCCGTCCTTTTCGTTTACCATGCATAAAAAGTACAAGATGCAAAGAGCATGCAGACAGAATGCTGAACCTCGCTTTTCAACCTGTTCAATCCCATGTCAAACCATAACACTTGTCTCATTTGACTCTTTCATTGGCTCAACACACGAGTTTACAAACAGACACATACACAACTTTGTATGTAAGGAATTATCTTAATCTTGCTCTGGTTGCAGGGCCAGTGAAAGAGTGACCAGATCTTTGAGCACATTCCTCTTAGAAGTGGTGACTATGAAAGCAGTTACATTCAGACTCCCATAGCTTTTTTTTTTTTTCTTTTTCTCTTCACGCGGTCATCTCAGCTCAACCACTTCAGTCTGACATGCAGTTTTTGTCCACTTACCAAAATGCAAAATCAGCAGCGAACAAAGAAGTAAAAATGTAAATAATAAAAATAATAATAGAGTTCTATCACAGAATGTTTACACAGAAGTGGAAGCTTACACCTCTCTTTAGAAAGTAAAATCATACAGAAACAAAAGACAATAGGGGTTTCAAATGAATGCATGCAACTGGGGTCTATATAATCAGCTACAAGGGCACTGCTTTGTCGTCATATGCTTTTATAGCAGGAATCTTCAATTACAAACCCAAGAGGTCCAGTGAGAGGTCCAGAACGCCATAGTGTCTAATCTGCTTTTTAATCCACGTATTTTAAATCAGTGGTTCTCACGTCCAGTCCTCGAGGCCCACTGTCCTGCACACCTGATTCAAATGATCAGCTCGTTATCAAGCCATTACAGAGCTTGATAACGAGCTGATCATTTGAATCAGGTGTGTTGGAGCAGGGAAACATCCAAAACATGCAGGACAGTGGACCTCGAAGACTGGACTTGAGAACCACTGTTTTAAAGCATAAAGCAGCAACTGACTTTTTCATCAGCTTGAATTTCTGTTCAGTAGAAGTACAACACCTATCAAGGACACAAGGGTGCAAATAGCAATTCATTGATGATACAGTGTATGTTTTTGTCCCCTCATTGTAATTAGTAAGGAATGTATGTACATTTCATAACCTATAAAACGCATTTTAAAAGAGACTAAATTGCATTTTCTAATCGAAAATTTTCTCCTGTGACTTGCTTGTTCTGTGAAAATCTTAACCCTGGACCCCCCGGGACTATATCAGGGAGCATCTGAGACATAGTTAAGGTTTATGTTGCTCCAGCTCACTTATTCTGTGTTCTGAAAGGTTTATGCTTTGACTTGTAGTGACTCTCAACACTGCTGCTTTTTAACATTCACCACAATACCATGATATAAAGATCCAAACTGGTTTGTGCTGCCCCTGGGAATAACACGAGCCAGACTATTCTCGATTTACAGCTCCGTTTTTACTGTGAACTTCTCGTTTTAGAGCAAGTAATATATTTTATGCGTCTCTGAATTCCTTCTGCTGAGTCAGTCCTCATAGCTAGCTCCTTCACTGTGATGATGCAGGTAAAAGAGCTGACTGTCTGATCAGTGTTATGTGTGACTTGGAAAACTGCAAAAGTTCAGATAAGCTCATCAAGATTTAACATCAAGCCCAGATGAGATAGTATTTTAGTAAGGACCCAGACTGTGGTCCACCATTTGGTGAGGCCTGCTTCAAAGTCTCTAATTTGCAACTAGGGAGCACCAAATCTCCTTAACTCTAAACAATTTCTTTTATAGATGTTGAACGATTATAAGAAGACTTGTTCAAGATCTTTTTACTGCAAACTATGATGAAGCAGAGAATTCTGTGAAGTGCCTTTAAAATGTAAAAATACCAATATTCTTGAAGTAACGTTGGTGGCTAAGTTGTTTCCCCAACCAAACCTGGTATAAAAACTGTAAAAGTGACAAATGAACTAAGAGGTACCTGGCTGTATAGGACTAAAAAAACAGACCATAACTGTAGCTGCAGTCTACTTCAGGTATTTCCAGAAGACTCAACTTTCAGTGCACTTACAATACTTTAATATACAAGATTTTCACCACTGTTGAAACTATAACACATTCCTCTAATTTTGAAATAGTAAAACAATAGTTCATGTGGTATGCAATATGGCATACATACCGTCATTGATCTCATCGGGCTTTCTCCTCTTCTCGTAGATGAAGATGATGGTCACCAAGATGATGACCTCAGCCACGATACCGAGGAAGGGCCAGAGAGCAGCCAGGCGGCTGCGGACACGCAGGTGGATCTTGTCGCTGCTTGTGCCGAGCTCATTGGTTCCAGAGCAAGTGTAGTCTCCAATGTCCTCCTCCATGCTCAGCTCATTGATGGTCAGAGTGGTCTTATTAGGGGTGCTCTTGATCTCAAATTTGGTTGTAGTGCCATTGATGAATGGCTGAGGGGGTAAAAGACAGAGATGTAGATTCAAACCATAATGAGTTTTGTATAACAGTAAGACTTACAAGGCTGAAAAATAGATACCTTTTGGGTGCCATCTTCCTCCTTGAACCAGGTCCAGTCAGTGGGCAGCGGGTATCCATGGCTAACACAGACCATAACCCCTTTGTCTTTCTCATTGCCATGCTCAGAGTGCTTGTAGGCGCCAACATGAGGAAGAGCTGCAGCGAAACAGAAACACACTTAAATTTAAGGAAATAAAAGTTCGGTGAATTAAGAAAGTAAGACGCTTAGTTTGGCCGTCCTTTAAAATCAAAACTCAACTTGAATTGATTATTACACTGCTACCCTTATTTGATGCCGCTACATAAGACAAGAGATGATGCTTGTATGTGACTCAACTTACTTTTGACTTCAATTGTCCCCTTCACCTCTGGCTCGGTCTCGAAAACACACTCATACTTTCCACCAGAGCTGTGGGTTATCTTCTCCAAACTGTGGAAAGAGAAGAGTTTATTCACAGAAATGTGTATTTTTCTCAGCAAACATCACAGCATACTGGAGGTGATGGATTCTAACCAGTTCTGCAAAAGCACCATTACTAACAAGGTTTCAATGTCCAATTTGCTAGGTAGAAAATGTGCAACCTGTTTATACTCAAGCTTGAAAATAAAGCTGTTTTTCATGCAACAAATATCTCAAACTGTCCAGTCACAATTGCACTTTTGTTTGTTGCTGCTTTCCTGCACAGTCCTGCTTGTTCTCTCTAATGGGGAATTAAGGTCATGGCAAGTGAGCACACTGCTACGGGCGCTTATCCCTGCTGCCAAGACTACCAGTAAAGCTGCACGACTGCACGGTCCATCTCTCTGCTAATCAAGAGCGGTGAAAGGCGGAATGGCGCCCCTAGCTCTGCTGCTACGAGAGGCAGCCAGCAAGGAAGGGGGGCATGGTGAGAGGGGGAGGGACAACAGGCGAGCAAGAGGCGAAGAAAAGAGAGAGGACATTAGAAAATAAAGGTGGCTATTGACTGCAGTAACACGACCGGAATGGGATAGCATGAGGGTTGCATGATTTTGGATTAGACTAATACTGCAATATTTTCCTGTTCTAGGATAAAGTATGTATGTAACATAAATATATACAAAGATTTACAGCATACATATATATTTAACTGATAAAGACAGAAATTGCTAAATGTTAAATCTGCATCCCGAGCTTGTTATGGTAACTTACAATTTAAAACAAACGCACCATTTTCTCCAGAATGTGCTCTACAGGTGTCCTAACCAAAAACAAAACACTCCGAGGTCTGTGTGTGCCCACAAATAAAAAAGCTGTCCAAAAATCTGCGAAGGTGTCTGTGACACCAGCAGCTCCGTGTCCATTTTCACATTTAACAGACACGTGACACACAGACACAGACTCTGCATGAACAAAGAGACTCTGCATCTGTGCAGGAGTCGTGTTACTCTGTGTTCAACTGTGGGCTATATTAAAATGATAACAGACAGATCTGTATTCTCGATCATGGAAAATGAGGAAATTGTGATAAAATGGTGCGTTTTTGGTCATATGACTAGCATTGCATCTCCTGCAAGGTGACTACTGTATGCGCACACCACAGTTATGATAGTAAAATGATACATCGTTCAGCTCTGGACATAAACAGTAAACAGCAGTGTTGTTTTCGTTGACGATGACGTTGACAAAAATATTTCGTCAACGTCAATCATCAACGAAAACAACACTGCAGAATATATGTTTAGCCTTTGACTGACGAAATGCTCATGAATTTTGCAACTCTGTTTGTCGTCCACCACTAACGTTTTCGTCTAGTCTCGTCAACGTAAACGCACATTCGTCTCGTCACATTTTAGTAATCTAAGGCTTATGTTTAGCTCGTCAACGTCACGTCTTCGTCGTGGAAAAAAAGGGGCGTCAACGAAAACAACACTGGTTGTTTTCGTTGACGATGACGTGGACGAAATATTTTTGTTATCGTCAATGCAAACAAAACTAGTAAAAAAATATTTGGTCAACATCACCGCCATCGAAAACAACACTGGTAAACAGAAATTAACTTGTAGGGCTCTCTTTTAGGGTAAGAAATAGACTATTTTTTTTCTTCTTTGGTTCATATTCCAACGTTTGTCAAAATCTTGACAATCCTCTCGGAAAAAGCCATTAGCCTGAAAGGATGAGTGCCTCTAATGAGCTGTAGTAATTGTATGCATATCTGTCCATGTGGATTGTTCTAGCTACTTACCGGAGGACGGTTGATGGAGAAGCATCAGTGGACTTTGAATCCTCAATGATTTTGCCATTGTACACCCAGTGGGAGCCCTTGATGGGAAGGTTGGATTCTGTCAGGTTGCAGCTGAGGACTGCAGAGGTCTGGTTGCTGACCTCAGGAGGGTCAGTGATGATTTTTGGGCCTTAAGATGAAAAGAGAAGGAAAAATTAAAGATTTGTCATCCATGTCTAAGGCTTGGATTTCAGCCAACTGGCTTCTTCCTACATATTTGCAGGGTTTAGAAATCAATGCTGTACTAAGGCTAGACACAAAAAACAAATGTTTTTTGAATAATAAATATAAATCAAATGAGTTAAAACAAAATTGTCTGTGAGTGATGCTAATCAGGTTGCAGAAACTGGATCCTGCCTGACCTGAAGTTAATTCTTATAAATGTTACTGCCATTACTGGATGTTGTGTTGAATAATTTTTAAGCTTTGGCTGAATTGACACTTCTCTTAGCACTCGGCTGTTGTCCTCGCATGGATAATTTGATGGAACAAAATGTCCCGAGGCTTACCATGCACACACTACGCTCATCCTCATTAATGAACACATAAAGCAAATACATTCAAGACAGGCCGGGTGGAAGTGTTAAACTATGATGTCTCTTATGAAATGTTATTCCTTCAACCATCTGGATAACACTGAAACAGACTGAGAGTTAATAAATTTTTTCTTTCTTGGGATAATAATTGAGTGCTGAGCCAAATTCATTCAAATTTTCCTTCTGATTGACATGGAAAACAACTGTTTTCATCGATTTAACCAAGAGAACGATGTGATATGTGCACAGGTTTTACACTTGTATACAGGGTCTCAAAGAAAGGTGAAAAGAGCTCCCCAGCAGGAGAATTCTGTCTCACTAAAAGGTAAGATGTAGGAGAGGAAAGGATTTGTACAGGAAATTTAGTAGATTCTGTAGTCTACGACAGTGGTTCTCTAGTCCATTCCTTGAGGCCCACTGTCCTGCATGTTTTGGATGTTTCCCTGCTCCAACACACCTGATTCAAATGATCAGCTCGTTATCAAACTCTGGAATGGCTTAATAACGAGCTGATCATTTGAATCAGGTGTGTTGGAGCAGGGAAACGTCCAAAACATGCAAGACAGTGGGCTTCGAGGACTGGACTTGAGAACCACTGGTCTACGACAAGGTCACTGGGACAGATCTTTAAAGAAAAACATGCAGAAGAAGCAACAAGTGGGGTATAAAACGGTTGTCAGTTTAACTGCCAAACACATGAAACAATGTCATGACACATTTTTGCTTCAACCAGTTGAAGAAGCTGACCAATTCTCTGTAGAGAGGAAAATAATACTGGACCACAAGGCAGAAAGATACCCTATGGCTAAGCATGTATGGTTTGATATGAAGTTGCTATCTTCTCTGCCAGAAGTTTAGTAGGCTATAAGCCATAGACATAATCTATGAGGGGCATTGCCAGTGTTAGTATCAATTAAGGAAAACGCTACCAAGGAAGCAACACTAATCAATGAATCTGACACCCCTTTTTTGTTTTTCTTTCTTTAAAGAGTAAGTAAATGTTCACATTTTCTTTCGAATGAAAAAGCCATTGGCAAAAGTCTGACCTTATGACCAGTATTATATACAAGAACACCAATCATGATGTTATCTTAGCCTTGAAAACAGGGGGAAAAAAAGGCATCAGATTGAAAACACTTTCTGTGACAGGAAATATGGGAATAGGGAGTGGCCCAGTCACACTACATGACCAGGTCTGTACTCTACTACAGGACGACTGTGGAGCTGTTGAGGAGAGGAAGAGTGGATTTACTTGGGGGAAGCAGGACGGGAGGGTATTTGACCAGGAAGCATGGGAGTTGAGTGTAATGGGAGCTGAATGTCCAGGCCTTCACTAATGAGGAGGTACCAGCCAAGCTACTTCTCCTCATGCTTCCTGTGCCACTCACTTTCAATCACAATAATGTTTGCCTGCGAACGGATCCACTTGATTTTTGGCGTCTTCTTCAGGTCATTGCGGTCAGGGTCGTTGGAGGCGCGGCACTCATACGTGCCTGAGTCCTCGAGGGTGAGGCTAGTGAGGTGAATGGTGCTGGTGCCGTGCGCTATGTACGTGGCATTGATTTGCACACGATCATCCCGCGCCCCATCGAAGAGCTGGGTGAACGTCTCGTTGGGCTCTTCACCCACTACAAACCACCACTGCACTTCTGGGATGGGGTTTCCTATGACCTCGCAATGCAGCTCTGCGCTGTCATCGATCAGCTTCATCTTGGAGAGGGGCGACTTAATGAACCCCGCTGAGCACCGATTACAGGCAGCCCAGCGAACAGATTAAAGTGTTTTTTGCATGTGGTGGGTTCAAAGCAAGACAGGTGATTTGATGGGTTGATGATAAAAGACAGTTGAGATGGAAAGGCAAGCAAAAAGAAAGAAGAAAGAAAAAGAAACAAGATTAATAAGAGAATAAATGAAATAAGGAAATAAGAAAGAAAGCACTGACAAAGCGTGGATCAGAGCAGCTTTTTACCCCAGGAGTATCAGGGTATGTTTTGATTATTCCTGACGCTCTGACCCATCAAGAAAAATATCAAGACATGCAACATAAACTGTCATTAGAGATGACAAACATACACCAAGCAGCCACACTGAAGATAAACTCAGGGCGCGTTCACACCACCCTCGTTTAGTCCAGTTGAACCGAACCCTGAAGCGTTTATGCCCTTGGTGCGGTTTGTTTGGGTCGGTGCGAACACTGACCTCAAACTCTGGTGTGAACATCATCCACACCACCAACGCACCACACACATCATTAATGCCTGTCGCCGTGTTGTCTTTATCCGTCTGTTGCTGCTGCACGTCGACTCCAGAATGTATTAATTAACGCCGCAGTTCGCGCTGGCTGGCTAACGAGCCGTTCATACGCGCGATCGTCTAGCGTCTTTTGATACGTGCTCCAGATGAGTAGCAAGAGCAAAATCAGCCTACGATGCTCCATGACAGGCGAAGACAGCAGAGCAGGGTTTGTATTCCCGCATAAACTAATGACCAATAACAGAATGATATTCGCAGTCATGTGACCTCCGGTTCCATCTTCTAGAGCAATTTGAGTTTGTCCTTTGTGAACGCAAACTGGACCAGTTAAACAATCAAATCAGGAAACGGACCTTAAGGTGTGAACACGACCTCAGTATTCAATTTTCTATGATCATGAGGCTAAAATCAGCCAATCACAGAGGCCAGATTACATTTCTGAGATCAGTACTTTAAGGTCTATACTATCAACACATTGGGATTATTTTCGTGCAATAATTTGTGCTGCAGTCGAACCATACAGCTGTGTTGGACTAACTGGTGTCTCTAACAGAGTAGACTTTTGGTTTGGTTTGCTTTGCTTTGATCCTCTTTAATAGGCTGATCTGTTACAATTGGATTTCTATGTCAGTTCAGTTTACCGCATTAATCGCCTTAATATTGAAATGCAGAGAAGCAGTTATGCAAGAGCAACTGTTGGGCTGATGGCAAAAAGCCTTAATAAGACATCACCAATGACAGTTGAGCAAAAATAAAAAAAAAACAATGCACATATATGTATTAAACACAAAAGAAACACATAAAAAAAAAAGTGGAAAGAACAGAAACAACACATTTAAAGCATTCAAGAGGATTCCTTTGAAATCAAAAACAGCACACAATGACCGAACAAGAAAATGAAGAAAAAAGCAGATGAGCTTGAAATGAAAAAAAAAAAAAAGGAAATTCAAATCAGATATCTGGACATGGATCAAGCCATTAGGCTGGTGCTTTTTCTCTGCTGTTCCTACCATCACCCAACAGTCGTTAGGGTGTGAAATTAAGCTAACACGGAGCTCTTCTTCTCAGAATATTCTGCCAATGATTCATGCAGGCGATGACCTCAATGTAGGCGAGTCAACATGGTGGATCTCAAATAAGGGGGAAATGAAAGCATGAGCACGATCATTGCATTGAAGTGGAAATAACTGTTGTAAATGCCTACTGAAACTCAATACTAAAATGTGATTAATATGGAATAATCCTACAACGCTTTTCACAGGCAATCAGAATAGACTATCCAACCAAGCTTGGCTTTGTATTACTGGCTGTATCGAAACCACAACAACGCCCTCTCCTCTGAAAAACCAGTCTGTCTCATATGTTTTAAAATAAAGACAGAAAAGAAATCATGTTTTCACAGATTTACACGAACTGTTTCTTCCAAGAAGCACAGTTCTGCACACTCAAAGTGGACAGGATAGGTATGTTTAGCCACTCAGTGGAGGTCCAGGGGGTTACAAACTTAGGTGGGTCCAGGGAAGAATAACATTCTCACACTACTGGAAAAAACAAGACGAGCCTGTTTCCCACCTCTCACTTACACAAAGTAGAACAAAACCAGGGCTGGGCTCAGGGAACCCAGCTACGCTAAATTCATCCTCTATTGTCAACATTTAGCCGAATCACTGAATCTGTGTTTTTATCGTGTACACTTTATTAAAAAAATCTATGTTCCCTTCAGGAAGAAACACTTACTGAGGTTTTACTAACACCAAAGACATGAAGCAGATCAAACGAAAAGAGAACACACACAGACTTTTGAACTTGTCAACACGAACCCCAGTCTCTCTACATGAAACCTATATCATGTAACACAGCTTCCCTACCGTTACAAAAGGTCACCTTCCCTGAACATGCTTTATGAAAGTTCAGAATTAAATATAGTACGAGCAGCAGTCCCAACAACCACTGAATTTAAGCGCATGAAGCTTGACAGTGATATTTACTGCCTATAGTCATCTGCTCTATGAGTGTCAGCTGGACTAATCTTTTCAGTCTTTTCCAAATGATATTCATAGGGGGTCACAAAAAAGCGAAAGGTTCTGAACAATGCCCAAAGAGGTCTGAAACTCTATCACTTTAACCGTACAGGGAAAATGTCATCAGGTGTGATAGAGCTAGAATGAAATGTGTTGGGGAATAAAAAGTTGTGCAAATATGAAACTGTAGGGAAACATGCTTTATCTTCATAGAGACCTGGTTTCTATTCAACAGGTGGATTGAAAATTAACAACTTGAGAATTTACTCAGCAGTATGAAAGGGTGTAGGAATAAAGTTTAACCCTAAGGCGACTTTCAAAACTACACAAAGTGAATTATTTTAAACAGCCAAGACTTGTGCATTTGATTATTCTGTCCAATGGAAAGTGGATGTCAGGGTTTCAGCATAAAGGCGACCTTTAAAGAGCATTAGAATATAAGGTGTTTTCATTTCAGCATTTCCCCGTGGGTCAAAGTCTGTGTCTGGAGAATAAAACCCACCTCATAGGATAGTAAATACCTTTAATGCTTGGCTCTATAGGGGTCTACAGGATGTGACCAGATCCTTCAAGTCTTACAGCCTGTAAATGTGGAGCGCACTAATCCATGCTCACTATAATGTGGTCATTCAGCTGTGGCATACCAACACAGATTTGTTGGCTGTATAATGTAGATGTTAATCCCCATGACCAAAGATTAGACGCAAAAGATGTGCCACTGTTGGTGGCACTTGCTCAGAGTTACAGTTCTTATCTTCATAATTCAGACAAGAGCAGGTTAAACCCCTGGGCTGCCGAATGGTATTCAATCACTAAATGAGTCTATCCTTACCACCATTAACCAAATTACTGGGACTCAACATGAAGTACTCAACAGGAAAAACTGTTTTTTTTTCTTCCTGTGCCTCTTTCACATAGAGCTGTCTTACCTACCTCTGTGCCTCATAACCCACTTTACTTTCCATGCTGAAGTTAAGCTACGGAAGAAGCAAAAACCCTTGGGAAATCTAATTTTAATTCTGATCTACTCCAGAGCTGACATTACCAAAGCAGCAAGTATCGAGTAGCATTAAGGCTCATTGCACATCTTTAATAAGATGAATTTAAAGCTCATTTGCATATCAATTATAAACTGTTGTTTTCAAAACATATTTCATGCACTGAAATATGTTTGGGTGCAGGTGTAATTGCCATACTCTTAAAAGGTTTCATATGGTGCTATACATGGGGTGCATTTACTTGTCCTTGGATAATTTAGCACATCTCTGCTAGCTTCCCAAATTGTAAGTAAATCAAGATCATTAAAACAACCTTTTTATTACTCCGTTCGAAAACACTGACTACAGTTACAACTAAATAAGGGGCTTCAACTCACCTGCCACAACATTATGAAGATCTGAGCAATCTAACACAATCCAATACAGCATCTTCTCCACATTTCCCACTTTTACAAAGCTTCTATCATTTCTATTTCCACTGAAATCATCAGACATCTGTTATTTAAATCTTTGAAATGAGTGCTGGTAGTGTCTCCAAGTGCAGTATATTACGAGGTATTCCTAATATTTTTCTTCTCTCATTCTTGTTAATGAAGCAGACAAAATATATTAACCAGCACACACTGAACTGCCTTCACAGTAACTTTATTGTGCATGTTTTTCTTGTTGCTTCCCTAGAGTACAATGAATTCCTTTTGATTGTGCTGGGCGAAACTCAGGAAGCTACAGGTTAGATGCATAGTTCAAAACAATGCACACATAAAGTCCTTCCAGGATGTGGCTGTAAATCTCTTCACTTCTATATTTATTTCTCTTGTGCAAAGTATGTAAGATGGATGTGCATGTACAGTCCTGTTTAGCTTCCAACATATACATATACACTCCACTATGCTACTATCCACTGTTTCTTTCGTGATAAATAAAAAGTACACAATCACCTGTCTAATCATGTCAATAAAGGTTTCAGAAGCTCCTTGAAAGTAGAATTTGTGGTGGAGACAATGTGTTGGATTACAATCAACTTCCCAGGTATTCATAATGTTGTTACTATATGTAGGCAAGGGCGATTTGGCAAGAAAAAATTATCACGATATATTTTGTCGTATCATCCGATCTCGATTATTATCACAATTTTTTTTAAACTGCCAGTTTTAAAGCATCTGTACTAAAAACTAAAGAAACTAGAGTTTAGTTCAAATTTTATTAACATACAAAGTAAATAAAGAATAAGATACACTTGGAAAAATATAAAACCATTTTAACTTAACAGTACAACAAATGTAGGTAAATACTAAATGATACAGTGAACTAGTTTACAGTACTGCGTGTTTTTGCAGGTATTATCCCCCTCAGAGATAATGAAGACGTCTTAAAATATAAACATTCGATGATTTAAACGTAGATGAGATGATTGATCGCTGCCTTGGTCTGGTGACTGCACCGCTAGTTGCGGCCAAACTACTAATGCTAGTTGTGCCGTCAACAGAGACAGGCTGTACGGACTCCGCTCGCATTTTCATGCTTTCCGCATAACCATTCGGGAAGTTCTTCTTCAGATGATTAAACAGATCAAATGTGACATACCTTGCACATCGGCTTAATTACTCAACGTCACTTTGGAGATACCCGAACCACTGCCACACAACCGACGTTGAATAACTTCCTACCAATAACATCTTCGGAGGATGACTCAAAGTCATGGCTGACATCTATTTTGCTGCCCTCAGCTCTGCGTTTAGCTCTATGTTCGGTCATTCTGTTGACTTCTCCTGTAACTTAGAAAAATGAGCAGGAGAAGCTTGACTCTGATTGGCTGTTGTGACGCATTTTTCCGCTATGTTTGATCGAGTATATATGCTCACAGCTCGTCACCATGATCGAACTGAAATTTATTACGATCATATAATCCCCCAGTCCTAATATAAGTACAACTTAAGAAGCTCCTTGAAAGTAGAATTTGTGGTGGAGCCATTGTGTTGGATTACAATAGACTTCCCAGGTATTCATAATGTTGTCACTGTGAGTGTATGCATGAATGAGCTGGATAATTGTCATTGTATTTTTAGATTTACAAGTTCATAGGGGCATACAATTCCAGATAAGATGTCAATTTGAGGTAGCTCAGTGTGTAAAGAGACAAAATAATAAGCTGCTACTGAGTAGATGTTGAGTTAATTCACTTATGAGTCAGGTGATGTGGGATGATCAGTTTTTGAGCCAACTTTGAAACCTTGATGAGAAATGAAACACCACTGCTGTTCTGAAACACCCAACCAGTCACCACAGAATCCCCCACCGCTCCGATCTAATCCAACTAACTCTATATTGAGTAACGTCAGTCAATAACGACCCGGATAGACAAAGCATTAGGAAACAAAGGAAGGGCTGACAGGCCATTTCAAGAAAGCTGACAAGAGTCATCCATTACTGTGATTTTGTGGCAAAAAAATGACAAATACCTTTTAAAGGCAGACAGCTCAAAATAATGTAACGTGACCACAGTTAAGCGTCACGTGGACTGGGCCAAACGTGTCTGGCCCATTGGATCAATACTTGTGGGTTTAATCAGGACAGGCCTGGGACTGTGGTTAAGTACTTTGTCGATTCCTCGGTGACTAGAAGAGACTATGACGAAAGATTACGGAAAGAAGGACGGAGAATTAATTTCCCCTCCGGGTACTTGAGGAAAACGCGTCTCTAGTCCTTGTCGTCATGTGTATGTATAATTATAACTTGGTACTCAAGTTGACAACCGCCCTCTAAAAAAGGAAACATGAAGAGTTTATTGATAAAACAACAGCGAAGTTAATAAACCACCATACGTCTCACATTAACGTAGCTCCCACGTGACCTGAAACATTTGTTGACGTTTCGGGGTCAATATGCGATTCTGTGAATACATTTAGTGTCAGTGCAATGTAGTCACGAAATGGACGATTAATCGATTGAAGGGGTTCTGTAAATGCAAATTAGCTAGACGAGTCGTTAGCAAAAACATCAACGTTACGCTTCAGTTAGCGTCTGTGAGTTAGCTATTTCCACCGACACCCAATAAATATGTCCAACCACGATAGCGGGAATAGATAACACGATATCAAAACACTAATCTGTCCTTACGTAAACACAACAGAATTGTAAATTTTCATTATTTTATGGCCGTAGTCTGGCTAAAGTCTACATCTCCAACCAACATGGCTGACAGAATTCTTACCTGTGGACGCGCTGGCTTGCCAACAGCTCAACAGAAGGGCACCGACAGCCCACAGTAAATTCATGACTGATAAAATAGGATTAGATTAATACTCGAAATAACACGCTAACGACGTCGAGGAAAGTCTTCTTTCTCCCTTCTTTCCCGGCGCACTCCAGTCGAGATGTCGGAGCTGAATGTTCCCCGATGAAGCCGATGGAGTTGGTCGTCCTCTAGTTGCACCTCACGCACACGCCCTGAGCAGCACGTACACATGACGTATTGCTTAGAGGCGTGGTTGCGTCACATGGGGGGAGGGGGGGCAGTACCGAAACATTAGAGCCATGGATTTATTACCCAAAAAACTAAGATAAGACAAGAAGAAAAACAGATTGAAAAACCATATAAAAATGTATCGAAAAAAATAAAAAAGGGAAGGAAAATTACCTGTAATTTTAGGTCAACAATCCAGAAAGAAATGTAGAAATGTTTTCAGTTAGGATGGGGCATTTGACTAAGCAAACTAGACATACAGGCTAGCAGAGCCGGCCCAAGGGATAAGCGAACTAGGGCCCTGCGGCCAGAAGGGCCCCCCCCCTTAAAGTAATAATATATTATACATATGTTATTGTAAAAATAAAATAAAGTAAAAACATTTTAATGCTGCTGCTGATGTAGGCCTATGATTCTTTCTGACGATGGCACTTACACAGTAAACACAATGCTTTTTTAGGCGCTTTTTTTTATGTTGTAGGGTTCTTGTATTGTTTGGGTTCATTATGACAAATGAAATTGGCCTTCAATCTGGAGGTTTTGTTTTTAATTTCTTTTTATTCTCATGCGCTGATGCTTTACGACTTCTCAAAGCACTTCGTAAACCTCTGTTTTCAAAAGTAGAATGTTGGAATGTTGTGAAAATCGACCCCAGGCAGCTCTTGTAGCTGAATGTGTTACATTTTGAACTTAAAAACCATACATGGCACTCTGAACACCATTCATTAGTCATTCTTCGGTATTATTTGTATGGTTGCATTGGTATTATTTATGTCATTACCTAGGCCACCACCTTAAATGTGTAAAGACATTAACTTTATTCTGTAGTAGATCTGTGACTGATCAACAATCAATATTATTGGCAGAAATAGAAGGCCCCAAAATCAAATTCTGCTTAGGGCCCTATTGAGGCTAGGGCCGGCTCTGAAGCACTTTTGTTTACCGCCATATTTCGAAGTTTGAAAAATTTAGCATACTTCAAATAATTACCTTGGTGCAAAATATTGGACAACATAAGGACTTGTTAAAGGAACAATTTAAAAAACAAGACACTTTCTTGACATGCTGTTTCATTATCCAAAAGCAGCTTGAATGTCTGTCTGTGGCCAGATTTAGATGCTGTATCAGCTTAATTTTTAATAATGTTTTCTATAAACTTACAGAGTGGAGTGAATGTATGAGAAAATATGTTAGATTCTTGATAAGATCTCATCTAATTTAAATGTTAATGAATAAAAAACAACATTTTATTGGGTTAGCTTGAAACATTGACTCCCAATAACTACAGAATAGCAAGCTTTGTTTCAAATAATGCGGTTTCAAGTGCAAAGATACTTTGCCAGCCATTTAGATTTCAATAAACAGCAAAAATGTATCATGAATTACACATTGTAAAGTCAAGCTTACAGCCATAACTATACAAAGCTGTGTTCCTAGTAGACTGATGTTTGTTTCCACAACAATCCCTTCAGATTTAAGACCTTTGATCCCAAACCCCAGAGGAGCAGAGAGGTACAATGTTGAGGAAAAACACCCATATTGCTCAACAATTAAAGGAAGTCGAATTTATTGGCTTATGGGTAACACTTCACAGGCAAGCACCCTTTTGAAAGATTTAATATAGACTCTGTTTACTATCCTCACAACAGGCCTTACTTTGAACGTACAAAACAGGCACGAAACTGTATTATGCATTGAAATCTTTCAGCAGTGCTCACTAATGATGCTATTGTTCCCTGGTTGATGCTGGGTTGTTCAGAGGGCCTGTGAGATGTCATTAAAGGGACAAATAACCTGGGCTGGGAAACACACTCAAGCAACACTTACATCGCATGTTTTCCAAGAAATGTTTACTGTGCCGCTAATTTCATCATTTGGTATTGAAACAAATCACTCTCCAATTTTGTGGTACTAAGACAACCAGAGACAACCTTAAAAAAAGATTCTTACTTTTTCACTTCACTCCCATCTAGTGTCTTTCCACAGCACTGCACCAAGAGACAGCTTCGAAGCTTTGAAATACTGTATATTTGCACACAGTTACCATCAGTTCCCTAAACAAGCCCAGCTTTGATTAATTATTACTGTAGAAAAACAACATGTATAAAATAAACACAGAATTCTTCACATAAAATTCGAGTGATAGCACCCAAACATCTTTATTTTCATACCAGTTCATTTATTTGGACACAACGATATTTCAAATCAATAGTTTTTCCACTGGCAACTTTAAAAAATACTTAACAAACCTTAAGGTTAAAATGCACAAATGCTCTGAAATGTTTTGAAGTGTTTCATGTGAAAAGCTGATTCACATAATGATTTTGTGGATATAGTAAAAAAAAAAAAACTAATGCTGTAATCAGCTATGCTTATCCACGTTATTATGCGAACAGCACCAGATGACCACTACTTGCCATATAATTTCAAGTGCAAAATACTGAACCTGTGTGATCTCAGGCAACTTTTAACTGCAAGTGGATCCTGAAAATAAAATAACTTTGAAATCATTTTGGGTTGAGAGCAAAAGGAATAAAATGTAATATTTTTCCAAACCAGATGTAACTTAAAGGTGGGGTAGGCAGGATTCTGTTAAAAAAGCATTTTTTTTGAGGTGTATATACAAAAAAGCTTTTAATATCAGTCAATAACTATTAGTTATTGATGACATTTGGGAATATCGCAATATCGCTGTGTTTTGTTATGTCTGTGTAGTCAACATTTTAAATTTTGAAGCGGCCCGCTCTTTCTGAGTGTTTACATTCAAGATTTTTCCCAAAAACTGGCACTTCCTCAGATCCTGCCTACCACACCTTTAAGTGCACACTTTTGAACAGTACACTATCGTGCACTTTGGATCATTTCCACTGTTAGATATGAATGCTAATTATAAAAACAAATAACTGTTCATTTCTTTTGCATCACTGGCAAAAGTGGATCATCCTAAACCATACGAGTCTGGAGATTAAAAAAAAAGAAAAAAAAAAGAACAGCAACTGTCCGTTGTCCCGCGTCTTCTACCTTTGGATTCTTTTGTGTTCTCTTCCTGTATGAGGTGATTCAGGCAGATCGAGCCTCTTTAAAGTCTTCAGGCTTCTCCACACCCTCCCTGATAAATGCTGCAAACCGAGCCTCCGCCCTTCCTTTGTCCAGTTTCCTGATGAAGGTGGGAGCTACAGGACGGGCAGAAATACATTGTCCTCGCACATCACTCGCCTCTGAATCCGGCTCAAGTGCTCCTGGTGAGATGCACTCAGGTCTCAGCCTGGCAGCAGGGAGAGACTGGAGGTCACCGCTCCTAAGTACAGCAGCACAGGAGCTATAAACAGCTTGCAGGGTGATAAGGACAAAAGGTTCTCTATGAGTTATCAGTGGAGTTCTCATTGCTGGTCGAACTCGATGACTGAGGGGTGGATGAAGAGGATGATGACGAGGAGGAGGAAGAGGAGGAGGTAAAGTTCATCCCTGATAGTTCTGGAGGGTTTGTTGCTGTGTTCTGTCCGCTCAAGCTTTTCCTGCACACTGGACAAGTATCATGCTGAAGAAAAAGAGGAAAAAGAATGAAGTTTATGCCTTATAATGCTATAGTTTCAGAGAACAAAAACGACAGCAAAGCTAACAAGGCTTAAAGATAGCTAAGGTGAATACCTGTTCCAGCCATGGGACTATGCAGTCATTGTGGAACATATGATTGCATGGGAGCTGCCTCACATTCTCTCCAACACTGTAGTCTTCTTTGCACACAGGGCATTCCAGTCCTGAAGCTGAAAGAGCAGAATATTAACAACAAAAGTACTGCTGTTGGATATGAGAGCCGTCATTCAAGCTGTCAAATATACAAGGATTATTTACCAACTTGTAACATTTCATTATGAATCATCAATGTTAATTTGCTAAATAAAACATCTAACAGGACAGAGCCACAGACTATTTTTAGTACACTTCAAGTGCTATTCTCAGAGAAAGGGTCTTTAGCTAATCACACCCTTAACTCTTAGCACGACACACTTCTTCCACCTTGTTGGCAACAGGGTCCACCACATGAACTGGACCAAGCATGGGTTGTTAGACCCTCCAACAAGTCTTTTGGCTTAACCTTTGGGGAGCAGTCATATTGACCAAATATGTAGATAATCTACAGCTTTAATTATGATGAAAAATTAAAATTATGGCATGGAGAACAAATCTTAATAAACTCAGGATCAAATCAATCCTTCTCCAGTCTAGAAAAAGATATTTATGTGACTGTAAAGGGTTGTATAAATTTATCATTGTCAGAGCTTTAAACATGAAGACATTTACAAAGGGAGCTGCAACCACAGAATCAAGGGTCTATCTATTTTTGTCCTAATATGGAGTGGTTTGAAGAGTATTTTGCATGGTTATTTATGAAGCCTGTTGCTATTTGTGTGTCATGAAACCATGGTTTCAAAACGTTCCTGTATCTGCCAGACTTCAAACTGAGTTCACTATATAACTGCATGACAGAGGGGAGGGTCCAGTCTGGGAAGGCCCACAGGGTTGAATGTTATCCCAATGATTTCACTTCCCTTAAACTACTGCTAACTGCATGTTGCACAACCAATCCTGGAGAAAAACCAAGGGGTGTGATAAAAGTGTTAGATAACAGGATAGTTTCAAAGCCAGTCTCACTATATGACACATATTTCTTTACTTTTGACATAACTTATGAAACTCTCATTTATTTAAAATGTTTTATTTGTATCTATTTTTTTGTATTTGTTTTAGGCAGTCTATGTACTTCATAGTGTTTTGATTTAATTACCTTTATTTTGGGGGTTTTTGAACATCTAAGTTTAGAATAATTTATCAAAGCATTCAAACCCTACAATGTTAGTTAAAGCTTTAGACTTTCTCACCAACTCCACCCCCTCTAATTTTATTGATGGCTTACCTGAGACTTGTGAAAAATTCTTAAAATTCCTCACAAACAAAATTGATGACATTAGGCAACAGATTGTCCCTCTTATCATGTTTTAGACTCCAAAAGACATATTCCTAACTATTTTACCAATTTTACTCCAATCTCTATGCTGATTTTACGTGAGATTTGACAACATATGAAGTACATGCAGCCTTGACCCTCTCCCTACTAGATTTCCCAAAGAAATAATATTGACGTTTGAGCCCAGTATTTTATCAAACATTAACAGCTCACTTTTGCTGAAGGTTTGCTGCTACCATACCTATTAGCTACTTTTCAACCATAACTTTATGACTTTATTTATTTAAAAACTAGTATTTTAATGCTTTTGTTTGAGCCATCTGTTTGCAAGTATCAATTTAATCCCCTATTGCACTGTCTCTGATCACATTAATTATTATGTGATTTATTAATTATATTAATAAATGTTGGTTTATTTGTTCCTCCCAGCCCCTCGTCTTCTAATCTGTTTTTTTTTTTTTTTGTCTGATGTGACATCATCTACTTTATTAGTGTTTCCCTTTCTTTCTTTTTCCCCTCTTCTGGGAATCTTAAAACCTGCTCCATGACTTATGATTTATTTCTCCTATGCTGTCATAATTGTTGTTTACTCTGCTTTGTCCATCAAAATACTTTGTAAACATCTGTTTTTAAAAGCACTATATGAATAAAGTTATAATTAGAATAATAACAATAATGATAATAATATCTATTCTCATTTTCTCTATACATTGTATTGTATTTATATTTGCATTGTGAATATTGTCTTACATTTTTTTCATGTCTTTTATTTTCAAGTTAATAACTAACATCTTTGAGCTGACTTTCTGTCTCACAGCATCTGTAATGCCCAAATTATTTCCCTCCTGGGTATTAATAAATTATTTATGATACCGAGAATCATGTTATCCCCTGCTTGCCTCATCTTTGCCCTGGCATTTTCAAAAAGACTAATTCCTTAATTTTTTTATCTACATGGTTTATTTGATAGAAACAATGCCAATTACACAGAAGAACTTCTCCCTGTTACAGACAAGCTGTAAAAACTGATGTTTGCATACAGAGATTATAGCTGTTACTAATTTCCAACTTCTGTCCCTTGTTTTGCGTCAGTTCATCCTAGCATGCTTCAATGAACGCTTTCTCAAATAAGTAGAAAGAAAAAGAAAATAGAAATTGCCCAGATTTGCAAAATAAAATGTGACAAAGATAATATAGACATCAGATGAAATGGGGAAAAAAACTTACCAACATGCTCGTCTGTAATTTGCACTGTAGGAAGACTTTTTATTTTATCCCTATCAGCAGGCGGGGGTCCTGTGTTCTCAAACTGGTTTAATAACTGCAGACAGGAGAAGGTTTGCTCAGGAACGGAATTTTTTTTATCACAGCAAACACGGAGGCTTACTTTAGAGCAAAGGCCACTTGCTGAGCTAATTCTCTTTGAAAAAGTACAGTAAGTGGTTTAAAACACTCAAAAGTTTCTTACAATACCTGAGTAATAATTGCATCTAGTCCATTAGCACCCCAAGCATAATCCATAGGATTTGAGTGAAGAACGCCCCTACAGACAGAAGTAAACATCAGCACAGGTGGAGAGCACTAAGTCAAGAATTTCCTATCTGCCGAAACATACATCTCTGTTACTCACCAGGGTCCAACACCAATATTTGGCATTGCAGTAGGTGCAATTATTCCATTTACTAGTTGCTGAATGATCCTGCAGAAGAAAAAATAGAGCTATAATATACATAGACTGAAAAAGATGTTAAAGTAGCCATTTAAGTGCGCCATTGTGAAGGAAACATGTGACAAGGTCACAAACTACACTCCTTACCCTTCTAAAGTGGGAACTCCCTCATGCCGTCCTCCTTGTCGTCTCGAACCGTGACGACTTCTTGGTTGCCTGGCACCATAACGTTGCCGTGATGCTGTTTCCCTTTCTCGCCTGTTTTCCGCTTCCCGGTTGTCCTCTGTTCCTAGTCCGGCCCCAAAGTCAAAGCGGTCGTCAAAGACACCCAGAGAAAACTGACCGTAGCCCGAAGGGAATGTAAACATGTGTTGGTCCACATTCTGTAAGAACAAACAGAGAAGCAGCGAACAGAAAAAGCCTGAGAGCTGTAATCTTGATGGAAACAACCAGTGACTGTTTATAGTCAACACAACACACCTAAAGCAGTGTGAGTGGTTGACAGTCAGGTCAATTTTTTTAACTTAACGGAGATGGTAGCTAACAAAACCATTTCCCTGTTAAGTGAGTACTACCCCCAATACAGCCTCTGATATTTAGAGATGATGTAGAGATGACTGAAATATTTAACAAAATGAAATGAAAATAAATGTTAGAAACCTCAAACGGTTGCTGGTTCGGGGGCCCGCTGGATATGGTGGACATGGAACCATTGTCAGCACTAGAGAGGAGACAACAAGTTCAGAGAGTTACGTTTCCAGTTGGTAAGATTTGAAGATATCTGACATGTATCATAGTCTTTTTATTCCTTAAAGTTATATGATGCATTTTAGTGTCATATTTATTCCCTGCATTCCAGCAACATTTGCTTTGTAATACCTCGTGTGAAGCTGAGAAGTAGTGATTTTTCAATATATTATCTGACTCAATATCTTGTGATAATCAGGATTCTGACAAAATTCAAAGGAAAACACACAGAGGTGCCACTTATAAGGGGTGTGATTGGCATCTTACAGAAAAAGCAGGAGTGTCCTCCCCACACAAACAAACTCATACACAGGCATACACACTCACAGGCACAATAACACATCTAGCACACAATCAAAGACAGTGTAAAATATTGACCCTATTAAAAACCACTTTAAACAAGCATATGACACCTGCTGTCATTAGATGTTCATGGGCTCTGCAAACAAGGAGTCCATGAACAGTATTTTTGATGCACTGATATGCAAAATATGTAATGCTCATGACTTAAAATGAAGGAAACCAATCAAGTTTGCTATAATTCAGTCTGTGGTTAATGTTTGTGACACATCATGTCATGCAGCATAGTCTGGACTAAGAGGTTTAACTTTTTTTTCTCTCTCGGAATAAATTTAGATCTTGATAAACTGAAGAGATGCAGGAAAGTTTTAGAGACAGACACAGACCATGCATCTAACCACGGCTACACCCACTCGCACTTGCAGGTGAGAGGAAGAGAAATGTGTTTCTTCTTATCACTTTGTTTCTAGACATGCTCCCATGCTAAGAAAATGGCAGCTACGCCTTGATTGTAAATAAAAAAAAAACACACTGATTTTAATGAATATGGAGAAAGCTTGAGAGTTCTGGACTTCGGTGACATCAGTGGTGGATACAGCCAAAACAGAGAAAATGATCCAGATTGGATAAAACTATTGAACTAGCTGTTATGGCTAAAGTCATATCATTTGTAAAGTGTATCATAGTCTGTAAATGCTCACTGCTGCCCACTTTACAGTTAGAGTTATAACTGAAGCTGCCTTTAGTAAACAAACTGTATCTACTATATACTTGAAAATACAAACCTTCTCTCCTCCAGCAGTTCCTCGATAAACCCTGACTCACATCTTGGACATGTGTACTCCTTGAAAAATAAACAAAACAACATGTAACTGCACATTTCATCATTATAAGACGAACTACAGGTTTTACCACAAGCCCTGCTGTGATCGAGTAGTGATTGTATTCAAAGTTGCTCTGGCTGCACAAAAAAAGGGACTGTGGTAACTGTGATATCCTGAGACCTGACAAAAATGTTTTCATGGCCATACAACAACACGCTGCTTTGAGGACTCAAATGTGATCTCTCCTGGGACATCACCAGCCTCACTCCGATGGATCAATGGCGGCGACTGAGACGGCGGGTGCGAGCAGCCTTCCCCACCCCTGGTAAGCACTGTTAGAAGAGTCACTCTCAAGCTGTGTCATGATCCCGTAGTGAAAATGTCTTTAAGCCCCTTGAGCAGACACCGAGGACATCTAAGAGGATCAACTGTGTCTTCTCTCGCTGTCCATTCAGGACATCTACAGAGATCTACAGTATATTTATAGAGAAGTTCTGGAAAAGCTTGAAGTCAGTGGACACCACAGAATGAAGCCTGGTGTCACTCCTTTACCTGGCTGTCATAAACACCTTATAGAAACCAGATTTCAGCATCATCCTTAGCTACTATTATACACCAACCAGACGTATCATTGTGAATACCTGAGCTCTCTAATGCAAACCTATACAACAGCTCTGCAGCTCAGCAGAAGCTTCTACAGTTTGAGTATTTGTTGCAGATGTAGTGAGTGTTGGTAGAATACTGGGGTGTGTTACATGACAGATGTTCCTTATATTTAGTTCACTCATTAACAAACACTGGGAGCTTATTAGGAACTTTTATGCAACTGTAGTACACAATCAACACCAATCTAAATTAATCTAATCTATCATAGTAGCAAATATTGCCTGTCAGACTATGTCAACAAAAAATAAAAACCCACAGCTGTTGTATAGGGATGCTTTAGATAGCCCAAGTATTGTCATGGCTGGTTAGAGTTATGACATTCACATGGAAAAGATAAGACAATAGATCCTGGTAGCATTAGGGCTGGGTGATAAAATGATAATAATTTATATCAAGAATTAATTTTCCTCAATATCAATATGAAACATGGTCTATAGGATTTTTGATAGCTGACATTCTGCCATGTTTTGGTAGACTATACGAATAACCAATGAATAGGGGAATTGCTCCGGGTCTGCACTGCGCTGATCTGAGCATTCAGTCAGCTTTCTCTAGCGCAACGCCTTAGGACAAAAAGTCGAAGAGACACAAAGACCTCACTGATGCAGTAGCTTATTGTATTGCAAAAGACATGCTAACAATAAGCACTGTTAAATTTCATTAAAGAGTAACAGATTAAGATTGACAAGGGAATTTTTTATATCGTAATATATATTAGAGATGTAAGGATTACCCATAAAATGATAAACCGCTATAAAATCTCTGATGGTTAGTACTACGTTTCAAATTTTAATTACCGCTAAAACCGTGTTTAATTGCCGCATTCTGGAAAAGTGCACAGACTGCTCAGTGCTGAGAAGAGCAGCCACAGGCAGCAGTCCTTTGGAAACAGGTACGCCGCACGCATGCGCAGTATACAACTTGTAAACATGGCGGAGTGCAGTTTTGCGGGCAGTGGTGCCGACCGTGTTGCAGAGATTTTTCCACTGTCAAAGAAAACAAAGTCCAAAGTCTGCGCTTATTACGGCTTCTACAAAGGGTCGTGAGGGTTGCCAGGAAGCTTTTGTGCATCCCAGCAACCAGCGTGCCATCCTAGAGGTGATTCAGTGCCAGCGGACACATCGCTTCCCCTCGCAGATCACGACTCAAATTAGTTATTATGTTAATGTTAATGCCACTGGCACATTACTTTGTACTTTGTTATTACTAGTTCTAGTGCTGATTACCTCTGGCTCTTTTTAGGCCCCATCTTTAATTTTTTAAGCTCATCGTTCCTCTGTTATTAAAGGATAAGGAAAAGTTCATTCTGCGTGTTACTTTGATTGTTTTTTTTTTTCACAATAAAACTTTGTTAAATGATTTCAGGGTGTGTATAAGTACTTTTTAAACATTTTGAACATATTTCAACGATACCGAGGTAATATTGATAACCATGATCATTTTGGTCACAATAATCGTGATGTTTAATTTTCATTGTTACATCCCTAATATATATCTATATTGACTGATATGAAAAAAATATATTGTGATAAACTTTTTCCCATATTGCCCAGCCCTAGCCCACCATAGTTTTAAGTAAGGAACAATTCCTGAAATGCAAGACAATAATTGAAGAAACAATGAAGTTTAGGTCAAACTTCTCTGAATCCTCATCAATTTACCTGCATCACAAACACAGCTTCAAGATACATCAACCAGCTACACCTGCATTTGCAGATTTATTTGGTGTTGATCTTCATACTTTCGATTCTATCTCGATCTTATAATCCTATTTATCATAAACGACCTGCCAGAAGAGATAAGGCATGCAGAGACAGTCGCTTCTTTGAAGTCAAATTTAAAAACTCACTTTTACAGACTTGCTTTAATGTGATGCCATCTTTTATCTTTTTTCTTATACCTCTATCTTATTTCGACTTACTGTCCTTTTAGCCTTTGTTTTACTTATAATCTTTTCTTATTTTACCTTTTAGACCTTTCATTGATTTTGTTTTTTCCTGCTCATTTTTGTCATTCCATTTTATCATTATTATTTTATGATTTTATTATCATTATTAATATCATCTTTTTATATTTACTATCCTGTTTCCTGCTTTCCACCCCCGTTTTTATTATATTTGTTTTTCTTACCTATTTTATGTTTTTATTTTGGTCCCCATAGTCTCATTTTATGTTGTAGGGTTCTTGTATTGTCTGGGTTTCTTATGACAAATGAAACTGGCCTTCAATTCGGAGGCCTTGTTTTTAACTGAGCTTTTGTTTTTTATTTGTTTTTATTTTCATGTGCTTCAGTTTGTCAAAGCACTTAGTAAACTTCTGTTTTTAAAAGTGCTATCAAATAAATTTATTATTATTATTAGTAGTAGTAGCAGTAGTATCATATAGCCTGAGTCATTAAGGAAAAATAACATCTCAAAGTTCAATTGTATTCTGTCAAAATAAAGTTGATCTATAAAAACAAAAACAACACAGGAGCAGATGCACAGCTGTTTAAGGTGTAAATGCAGACACAGGCCATTACTAGTAACCTATAGAAACCCGTAGCTGATCTTTACATTGTGTGGGAACATTTAGAGACCTGTGAGGGATCATTCTAGCCCGCGACAGGCAGCTCACCTGTTTGTCTCAGTGAAAGACTCACAGGAAAAGGACGTCAAAGGTATTGTTGGCACTGTACCATTTGTAAAGGTTATTCACAATGTGGTGTGTGGACGAATCACGAGGTGTGCAAGTTTGGCGAGAATGTCATCGTAAAGATAAACAAGTAAAGATGTTATTTAGGTGTGATACTCATGTAATAAGAAGCATTCACAGTCGGTGCGTGAGGCTAACAGAATCCTTTGTAAACCTGCGATGGTCAATGTATGATCCCGTTAAAATGTGCGAAAAGCTGAGATCTGAAAGTTACGGTATTCTTCGTGCAATGACTACGCAGTATGTCTGTGCATGCTTACACATGCACCTCTATGATAACAAGATAACTCACACTGGTTAACGTAGGTTAGATAAACGGGGACCTACAAGGGGGGAGCTAATACTGTTAGCATGCTAACTAGTTGGCCTCACAGTTACAACCGTTTCTACGAAAGTAAAAACAACACCGCTTCTTTTTTCATTTGGAAAACCGCCTCTACCTTTGTCCTCTGTCTACAATACTTACAGGCAGCCGGGGACTTATCTCCGCTGAGCATCTGTGACAGAAGAACCGGCTGGGCCATGGAGGAGCTTCAGCCATCTTTAGCCACTAAACAGGTAGAGAGGGGAGGGCAAGAGGGGGGATTTACGGAACCCCGGAGAGGTCAAACCTAGAAAATACGACGACCGTAACATAAAGCGACGCTGCACCTTTTAACTATTGTGTTACACCTGATGTGAAGCTTCGCTATATAGCCAATTAAACAATTTGAGGAAACGAATAGATAGAAAATGAGGAATTAAATAAGATTTTTTTCCCACAGACACCTTAATTAGTGATTTATCTGTATTTGACGACACAATAGTTCCATGTCTTACAGAATTTTACCACTTGGTGGTGCTTTTGTGCATCAAGTTGTTGAGACTGACTTTATCAAGCTGTCCAGACTGACATGGCAACCACAAACACAGTGCAATGATACAATACGGTCTTGGTAAATCTACGAGATTATCAGAAAATTTATGTTTTTGAACGAGGGTCAAAGCTGTCCATAATTCATGCCAATGCAAAAAAAAAAAAAAGCCTCTAGTGCTCTACTAACATAAGTAGGTCTTTATAGTGTAACACCACATGTGCCTTAACTAAACTTTTCCCCTATCTCTGCTGGTTTAAAGCTGTTAATCATTCTGTTCACATGAAAATCAGAGACATGTTTTTGCAATTTAACTTTAAACCTTATTTATTTTGACATGTTACTTTTCCATTGGATTACTGTCAACTACCTCTTGGGCCCAACAATCTTCAAGTGTATAAAAGTTGTGAGGCATCTGTTTTTGAGCAACGCCTCTCGTCATAGGTGGATTTGTAGCTTGTCCTTGATCAGTTGACAGAAGTTGTTGGACCCATTTTATCAAGTGTCAAATCTGAGACATAAAACAGTAAATAAGAAACCTCACATATGGGAAAGACATCATCTGGTCTGATGTGAACACGGCCAAGTTATTGTTGGCAGCTATCAGGCGACCCTGAGATAGCAGTGAAGGTCTAGGAGACCATTTGGTTACGTAAGATTTGGAGAGAAAAATGATTGATTTTGTTTTGTTTTCGGGTCTATTTAGTTGAAGATAAAAATGTCTTAATTTATCTTTTGGCTTTATTGGAAAAGTCTTCTTAATGTGATTACCATAACTGTAGATTGACAGCAATAAACATGTAACACTATTCCAGTTTTTTCTTCTGCTTGGCACCACCTGTTGAGTTGCAGTTCCCACTTGACTTACCATTAGCCAATCACATCTCTCAAGCTGTCTGGCCTGATTTTTATTTACAAATCCAATGCTCTGCAAGAAAGTAGCTCTTCATGATATTTGGCTTGTATTTGGTTTGGTTCATATGAGCAGACAATTTTCACTGGGTTACATTTTGCAGACAGGCTATGTATACATACTATATCCCCTTAAAACATACAAACTACACAATGCTTTTTTCCAAAATTACACATATATATACATTATTACATGCTCTAGAGACCAAGCAGTTTTTAAAAAAGACACAAAAGATCAGCAAATCTATAGCCTTTTTTTTCCCAACAGTGTCACGCAAAACACAGATATGATTAGTTATATGAAGACTGGAAGTTTCCCCACTGCAAAGTTCACAATGTAACCAAGTTGGGTCCCAATGTCGTCTCTAGGCGGGCGTTTTGTCTGATCCTGCCATGTGGGAGCAGGAGAGACACGGCTGTCCCATGGACTGAGATTAGAGAGGGTCTGATAGCATTGAGGTTTGCTATGTCTGCCTGGCTGAGGTAAGCTATTGTTGTCTCTCTGCGCCCAGTGCGTCACCACCATCCCAGTCGAATGCTCAATGTAGCAATGCAGTCTGGGGAGTGAGTGACTTTAGGTCAGAGACAGGTCATGTGAGAGGCAGAAAACAACTCTAGCTGACAGAGGGGCCTTGTAGTTTTTGGGTCATTGCGGATCTGGATGTAGAACATGCATGGTCAATAAACAACATATAGTTTTAATGAAACACTGCTTTAATAAAAACACAGTATACATGCTACAAAACGTTGAGGGCATGGATTTGTTTCTCCTTTCGAATGTAACTATAACCAAAGAGCTTTATAAATATTTGCACATATACTACTGTGACAAAAATTGACTGGTAAACATAAAAAAAAATATTGCTTATCCCACCTCTGCACAGTTCAGCTCATTTTACACTCTGAGAGACGAGCGCTGCAGCCAAGGCAGCAGACAGACATGCTGCAATGGACACTGCTGCTTTTGTCACTCCATAGAGTTTTCCCAGACACTCCAGTCAGGATTGCCCCTCAGCTCACACAGTCCCTTTGGGCCCCCGAATCACATTCACACAGGCACACATAAGCACACATAGACCTACTACACACCGACACACTCAGCAATAACAGTCCCCTGCTGGAACTTCCTGGGCCCCTTAGTCATGCGTCACTTGTTCAGTCCTGCTCATCGAAGACTCTCACTCTCTTCAGACACACTCTGCCTGACACCAAATGTCATAGGAGTTATGCAGCAGAAATACAAACACACATACACATAGCAACACAAACAGCAGGACAGGCTCAATGAACACATTCAGGTACATTTTTTCCCGCTCCAACTGTGTTACAGTGCAAAATCAATCAAACCTGTATTGGTGCATAACCGTATAACCGTATTGCATGACTGGGAAGCTGACGTATAAATGGAGGGGAACATAACAGCATCTAAAGATAAACAGCTTATGTGGTGCTGAAGTCATCAATAGCAGATGTTTCTACTGTTTCACTCTAACTGCCTTTGTTGCTTCACTATAATGGAGTACTGACGCATGTACACCACAACTGGTTTAAAAAGCTGTTGTTTTAACTGTCTAATAACACCATCAATTTCCAGCTGCATTTCAAAGCAAACGTGTTTAAAGCTCTTTCTCAAAAGCAACAGCAGTGTAGATCTACAGAAGAAGAATGGGTTGCTACATGCAACTTTATTATCATTCCCCTTTGAATATTAACCCATGGTAAAGGAATCATCATACGAACTGCACTTAATCAGCAATTAGGGTCTGACTTTTTTATTTTCAGAAAAAGGCTCTTAAACTGATGAGAATTACAGTACACTCATCTTAAACAACTGTATTCATGAACATACTCTTTAACCTTCCTCCTGTGTTAGCTTTTACTGCGCACCCACCATGTTAAGGGTCGGTTTTGACCCGTGTCTTAAATCAGCTGCTGTAAATTGCACTCAAAACAATTCTCTATCATTCAGTTTGGTTCTCATCTCTAGGTTTTCTTGTTAGGCTTCATTATCCATGAAAATATTGCTTATAATATTTTTTGTTGTTGTCCTCTGGGCCTTTCTTTGTCAGTATACCCCTCACACAGATATCTAGACTGAATTTCACTCACATGTCTGGACATGCCCGACATTGTTTTTTGTGCTGGAAAAAACATGGAATAGGATCTGACTGTCAGTGTGGTGCCTGGCGGTGCACATATGATTTAAATTTTTGCTCTAATTATAAGATATTAATCTAACCGAGTCGACAGCGACCCTAACACAACAAGTGCCATAATTTGAATAAGAACACTTTGTAATTTAGTCAATTAAGTTTTTTTATTTTTTATTTTGTTGAAATAAAGGTTCCTGACAAAGTTAAAAAGTCTTGATGCAAAAGTTTATTTAAGTGGTTCTTTTAAGCATTTAAAAACAAAATGGGTCACTGCAGACCCTAACACAGGAGGAGGGTTAACCCCCTATTCTACTGTATCAACCCATGGGCTATATATCAAATGGTCAGCGTGCCTCTAATGAGAACCATGAAGCTAAGATAATGCCTCTATTGGTGCTGAAACTGACTGGTGGAGCTCAAGGACTTTCCTATGTCACACCACTTTCGGTAAGCAAGGCATGCATTTAATTTACTGTTAAAACATCAAAGATTTCTCATGTCAGTACAGTCCGCAGCAGCACAGATTTTTTAGTTGATTTGAAACAGATACCCACTGTTCTGGAAGGTTCAATATGTCTTGTGTAAGTGTTTGTTATGTTTTCTCTTACCGCTCTGTGAGCCTGAGGAAGAATGATGAAGGAGCTTGCATTTGGACAAAACTGCTGTCAATCTATCATCTTTTCACCGATTGACTAATAATCTTTGAATATGAAAGCTCTGACTGCTATGATAGGAAGCAAATATTTATTGAACATGTAAGAATGGACTCATTGACAGAAGCATGTCTGCCTCTGCTACTGTAGGTGGCGAATCCCCCTTTAAGCGTATTACTGTCTTGTCATCTCCCCTAATGATCCACGGGACGTCACTTTTACAGCCCTGTGCCATTTGTCTGTTTAATCTTTTTATGTCCTTTTTTTCATCTGACAAGGCTTTTTTTATTGTGTGGCTTCCTCGCAATGCAGATGCGGTTCAATCATGGCATGTATGTGGGACTTACCTAGCTGAATAAAGGTTAAATAAAATAGAATTAAAACAACACAGGCATGTGCAGAACTCTGAGGCCAGTTTCAGCTCAAATAAGTCATACATGCAAGAGAAACTCAAATTCAGACTACATCATCCAGGTATGTTCATCCGACTATGAGAAGCTTGACTTCAGTCCAACTAACATGTTTACATACATCTTAAAAGTCCAGTTTCAGTCGCACTATTGCATTAAATCATAATCTTTAACAGCCCTTAGATAGACATTATGACATCTTTATAAACCTCTGCTGTACTCTGTACTGGAGTGAGCAAGAGATCGTACGAAAACACTTGAGTACAACAGCAAACATCACACAAAACGTTAGCATAGGTGGACGTTAGCATGCTAGAATTGGCACATGGTCTACCCCATGATTAGCACTAATAAGCACATGATGTGATTTTAAAATGTCTCTAAAAGATGGAGAACAAGGCAAACTTTATCTTACTAATAGTGAGAACAAGTCACTATGGCAAATCTATGAAGAGATACATGGAGTATCTCTTCACCTAGTGCCTAGCTTAGCAGAGTTGCTAGTGTGGTGTCAAACTGAAAAATAATGTACTTTTTAATAGCTAAAATACAGTGTTTGATATTGTAAGAAAACTCTGTCTGAAGACCAGTCAAACAATATCAAACTGAGAAAAGTTGTTCACTTTAAGGATACACCAAAGACAGCGCATTGAGCCTGTCTGTTCCACACAGCCCATCCTAACAACAACACCGACCACAAACCTCAACAACAGACAAAAGCTCCTATTGAACAAGGAATTCCCTGACAGGTGTCTGGTGAAATGAGGACCGAAAAGGCGACTACAAAGTGAGTGTATGAGAGGAGGATTGTTTAGAATATTCCCTGCTGGAGAATTGTTTTGGCATGATTCAGTGTTTGTGTAAATTCGTGTCTGTTAGTGTAGGGAGGATTGTGGGCGAGCATATGTTTTTAGTCTTTTTGTGTGAGGTGTGGGTCTCCAGAGTTTCTCCTTGAGAATATTTTGCATAAACATGATGTGTGAGTGTGCATATCATCACATATTTGCTCACACATTTGTATGTTTTGTAGCCTTGACAATCCACCGGCACTTGCCTCTGTACTCCTACATGACCATCAATCTGAACATGGTGTGCGGCTCTGTAGGCTGCGGGAACAGATACCATATGGGCCTTCTGGATAAATTAAGCTGTGGATCTCCAAATAGGTATGTAATTAAGTATGCTGGTGGGCTATTGTAGCAGCTAAACTAAAAGAAGGAGTTGATAATGAGAGGGAGTAAACTGAAGCAACACAAACAAAAGCACTATCTTCTCTCTTTCTTTTCTGTGCTGAATTGTCATTGCATACGGTAACGCTAGACAACGAATTAAATGCTCAACCAACTTTCCATTTTAAACTAGCAGGTACAAGCCAAAGCCTGCAACAAAAAGACATCTCTGTCTTATATTTCAGTGAAAACCACGTAAAAATCTGATGTGGAATAATGGTCTTAGCCTGGTAAGCCTCAAATTGCAAGAAATTGGACCCAGAAAAGTTAGGAGCTTAGTGTGGCTTTATTATCACACTTCATTTTCTTTCATTTTTTTCTTGTAGTTGTACGGCCTAAAATTTCACCATAAACTCAAACCTTCATTCAGTACCCCTCAGAGCCAAAACTGGGAAGGCTTCAGTCTCGTAGTAACTTGTCTCTGGCATACATGTGAGAAAATGTTTTAAAACCTCTAATAAGATTCAGGAAGTGCCTCATTGTTTCTTAAAAAATAAACAATTGTATCTAAGATAACAATCCACATCTTCTTAAAGAATTTTTACATATTTAAAGCTTTACGTTGTGTAGGTGTATTCCCAGAATATCGTTCTCCTTAAAGACCATACATCCAGAGCAGACCACACACACGCAGCCAGAGGAGACACCGTCCCAACGGCTTTGACAAGGAAGTGAAACAATTCTCCAAGAATAATTGGGGACAATTAGCACTTGCACAATTTCCTCACTCTGCTGCCTGTTTATTTATTTTTTTTTGTTGTTAGTGATCTGATTCTCACCGAGTAACGGACAAACATCCCAGAAACTTGCCTGGAGTTTCTGTTGTTGCTCAAAGATAGTAATCTTTCCTGCAAAGCCTCTCTGAGCAAATAAATCACCAGTTTTGTTGACAAGTACAGCTGTTGGAAGGTTTTTTTAGAGCACTGTGCCGTAGGCTCCACGAACATGAAGCAGTGATTTATGAAGAAATAAGTACACAGAATTTAAAGCTTTGAACTTTTACTGTTGTTTCAATACTTTTTGTTCTGCGTTCATTGTGTTATGTCTGGATGAATACTTATCGTTTATGACCGTTTGGCAAAATGGTGAAATAACATCTCATTGAATTAAACACCTCAGATGAGAGAACATAAACATGTCTCTAAATGGTTTGTTCTGTATGAGCTATAGAGCTGTAGTGTGGGCCAATGTGTGAGAGAATTATCAGTATTGTCAAATGTTAAATATCAGGCTCATGTGAAAAATTCAAAGGCTTTCTATATAACAAAGGAAGTCTGGGAAATGGTGTCTGAAGCAGAAATATTCTGATGGAGTGATGGATCTGATATCTATTAGTTTCAGCTGTGGGGACTGAGCTGTTTACAATCCAGTGGCGAGATCCAGTGAGTGGGTGGTCTGCAGCGCCTGCTCTCATCACAACATCATTTCAGATCTAAATGTTGGCTGTTAACTTACTGGAAGTACAACGGAAACTTGGCGGAAATGATAGCATGTGGATATCGTTGTGAAAGAGGTTTGACATATCAGAGCAGGATGATTACGCATCCGTGAAATGTCAGTGTGGGCGTCACATTATAGCTCCATGTGTTTGTAAGGATGTAGACAGCTCAACCGGAGGTTGTGATGTAATGTGTGACTGATCTCCTGCTCATAACAGGTGAGATCAAGCAGGAGAGATGCACCTTCTAATCACACCCACACACGCGAAGCTGTGCTCCTGTGGAAGTGAGGCTGACCCGCCACAGACCAAAACATGCACAAAAAAGAAATGCTGGTATATGGAGTAACGTGGGCAGAGAATTCCTGAGGTCTCCTGTTGAGTGTAATTAGAATAGTTTTGAAACTGTTCATAGTTTTACTCTGTGGTTATGTCAGTACCACCACTGGTGTGACACAGGCGCATCATATCCAACATCAGACGGCCATGTGGTGATGATATACAGGTTGTTCCTGGAGAAGGGATTATATGGTCGTAATGACAAAAGCAAATGGGATTTATTTCTCTTTCAACAAGTGAGCAGTTTGTCCTGATACACATCATTTTTTAAGATAAAAAGTGCCGTCACAACATATTCTTCACATGTGTTCTTTAAAAAACCACAACTATTTAAACACACGTATTGCTAAATACAGCAAAAGCTTGATTTAAGTAGGTGTTTACTGCAAGTCCCAGTTAGTCTGCCACTTTTCTAAACTCTGGTGAGAAACTCTAGTTTTGTGAGTTTATTGTGTGGGTCACAGAGGAATTTATAGATTGCTGGCACTAAAAATGTCAAGTAGAATTGGCTTTAATCTTATATCTTCCGTTTTTCATAAATTGAAATGTATATTAGACCATTCAAGTTTGTGTAGAATCCCTGAAATATGTTTTTATTTTCTAATTCTCATCCTCTGTTGATTTTTTAGCTGCAAACAGACAATTGAAAAATGATATCTCTAAGGGCACCGCTGACCTGGCACTTGCCACATATACAGAGGCTGTAGTCCTGTACTCTAATAAAGGAAAAATGCCCCCCAAAGTACCTTGAAAAGTACCCCCCAGAGTTTCTTGACATTTATGAAATAGACTGAAGTTAACGTTGATGCCTTTTCATGATATCCAAAAGCAAACAAGACCATCGGGAACAAGACTTACAAACTGTACATTGTCATTTTTAAGGCCCGAAACCCATGTGAGGGGGTAGGTGTCAGCTGAGAGGCTGAAGAAACAGCCCTATTTTAACCATTTCCACATAAAACATTGAAAGTAAATGATACGTTCGGTTGTCAAAAGTCAGCAGTAATAGATTTTTGTCAATAGACACAACTTAAACATGTAAGATAAGCAAAGACTGTTTTGTCTACAGGGGGTGCCACATTTGACACAAACTTAAAGTTCCTCACACTCACTGAAAGTTTAAAAAAATGATGTGTGAGTTTGAGGGACTGGAAAAAATTTTATATATTATTTGTCTCAGTAGCAATTTTAAGGCAAAACCTTGATATTACTTTGATTATGGTTACTAAAATCAGCAATTAGTTGGTTTGTTTTTTTCAGGATGATGGCTGCTTTTCCCTCTCTCCCCATACTTCTGACAAGAACCATCTACCACTGTTGTAAATACGTGGCTTTTACCAACATGTTTAGTATTTGTAGGAGTAAATGAATGAAATGGGAATCTTTGTGATACTATTCAAGAAAACATTTGCAGGATGCAGAGTGGTGAAAAAAAATATGCTAAGATGCAAAAAAAACTGTAGTTCCTCTAGTGTCCACTCGAGGTTGGTTTCAAATACACCAGAAGCCACATACACACCCATTTAACAAAAGGGCATCTTCATAACAAAAATGGACACTTTCATAGCATACTTCAAAACACAATTACTTCTACATAGCTTAATTTATCAAACAGTATAGACTATATTTATAACTCATTGGTTTGGGTGATATGAAGGTTATGAGTTTGCATAATTTGAGACACAGCTGACTTGACTGACAGGTAAGTTCACTGTAGCCGTTAGCAAAGGTGAAGTCAATTAAAAGTCAGGTTGAGTCAGCATCTCAGACGTGGCGGCAGCCTTCAAAAGGCTTCAAAACTCAGTTTCAGAAACCAGTAAGTGGTGTCACAAGGCTGCTTCCATGTTTCATACAGTCTACAGTACTAAATGTTCAAAAACTATAACTTTGTTCGCACTTAAACTCTCAAAACTATGAACAAAACTCAAAAAGCAGTGGACTATTCAAGTGCCGGCGCAATCACTGATCACTGTCCATAGCTATTTTGCTGGTTGTAGAGTTACTCTGCCTAAAACAACACTCTCCATTGGAAACCTACATCATTTTGCCAATTGTGCCTCAGTATCAGTCACATAAAAATGTTAAAATCACAATAAAAATAAAAAATAAAAACACTTCTGTTTTCCCATTTACTCCTCACTGCCAAACATTACCAGCCAAGTTCGAGACGCTTCTGAAAATCGACTTGGCTTTTTTTTTCCACAGAAAAGTCTGATCTAAATGCAGACAGTAAAATTTATTGACCGTTTTGCAAATTTTCCACAACAACAATTTTCATTCTGTCATATGTCTTTCAAAGACAGCTGGAGGATTAATTAGAAAATACCACCGCTTCTACATGTGTGGAAAAAGATCGGCAAACATAAAAGTGAAATCACTTGGTCTGTGGAGGCTGTTAAAATAAAGACAATCCAATCCAAGAGGCTTAAAAGCTTTTTAATCATAGTCTATAAAAATAAACAAAAACTCGATCAGTGGGGCGCCACTAAACAGAAGTCTTTTTCTGTTGAGTCAAATCAATTTAGACACATTGAGGTCATGTGTTGATGCCTGATGACAACATCTGACCAAACATTTGTGTGGATTTAGGTGACTCAGTCGTGATATTTTGTACACAACACGGAAACAATTAAATATACATCGCTAAGAAAATGATTTTGTGTTTTTATTCTCCAGGCACAGCAACAGCCCCATGGTGGCATTGTTATTTGCCCTGTTCAACCTAACAAAACATCCAATTCCATTCCCAGTGTAATAAAAGGGTACTTGGACAGGAATATAAACATCGCCCTAAAGTTGAACCAGATGCTGCCGCATGGCGGAACACAGGATACAGAAGGAGGGCGAGAGAAAAGACAGAAAAACAAGGGAGGTACTTTACACAGCAAAGTGAGTCAGTACCCAGGCCTCAGCACTTTAAACACTCATTCCTACGTTGTTTCGCCCTCCATCCACCCTGACTCCTCCCTCCTAATCTAGAGCAGGGGGGATATCCCTGAGGAGACAGTGGAGAAAAGCCACCCAGCCTGGATTTGATTGTCCATCGCCTCTCACATGACATCTAGAGAGGCCTGCCGGAGAGGCAACTCAGCCACGGCACGCACAGGAGAGTAGTTCTAACCACCGCACGCACAAACAGAGTGCCTGACCCACCCACCCACCTACCCAACTGCACCCAAGCATGAGAGGGAAGCTGTCCAGTTCCCTTCAGGGCGCAAGAATGATCTCATTTGGCTGAACCTGGCTATGAGTACGACTGTGACACAGTAAAGAAGTATTCAAATATTATAAAGTACATGACAGACTCAGTTTCACAGTTGTAGAGTACAGTGTGTATTGTTCCTGGAACTATCGTAACACAAGCAGGCCATGTGTTCTGCCTCTCCTGAGGAGGTCTCCTTTTGAAAGTTGTAAGAAACGAGACACAGTTGTGACAAACATTAAACTTTATGTTGTTTTTGAAAAGGCAGTACAAAAATACAAAAATATGTTGATGCATTCATCATTCAAATTTCACAGTAGGTACACAGGTAGGTACACATGAGACTGGTATTTACAGGATACAAGGATTTTTGTCTGCTTTGAATTGAAGGATAAACATCTGAAATCGCCATTTGTTTCATACCTCCCAGGTTACCAGCGTCAACAACAAACAGACTGCCCCACCCATGATATGGCAGTATCATCTGGTTCATACAGCTGGCCCTCAATAAGGCAAATTCTCAGACTAATATAATTCTCCTTTCAGACAGACATTTCTAATTACATTTGTCTGTACAGAGTTGTCTTTAAAAGAGATTTCCATCAAATCGAAGCAGACAAACAGCATTGGAATGAACCAGTAAATGCATTTAGGAAAGCCAGACCCTCAACAGAGGAGGTATTGTAGAGTGTTTGGGGTCGTACCAACACTCTTAAACTCTTACAAACACAACCAAACTGTTATTTATAGTGATGAGCGGGTTGCTGGGAGTTTGGATCAGGATTCAGAATAAACATGTTTAGACTACAAAGGTCTGTTTAGGCTGAATCTGTTACTCACCTCCACATGAGAGCTAGTGTACATACAGTACAACTGTCCTGTTATTGTTTGTGGTAAACTGGAACCAAACTGACCGACTATGAAGTGGTACCAACTCTTTAGACAAATTGGTGTTGCTTTTCGTCAGCTTTGAGGGGAAAACTGTTTGAGGGGAGTGGAGACTGTAAAAAGTGTAAAAAAACAAAACAAAACTGTAATACAGGAATGCCAGAGGCCTCAAACACAAAGACCAAAACACAATAAATACTTTTTTCCAACAGCTTTCCCAAGGATATATGGATTTGTTACTAGGATAAAAACATAAATAGAGTTTGATACCTTCTCCAATAAATAGTAGTGGTATTCTATTTACAATATGCACACATCTCCCAAAGAGCTCACGTGTTCGTCTGCCTGTACTTTCCAAACTTGCACAAGATAAACGTAAATTGCTTGCAGGTTTTTGAAGCTCTTCTTGAGTTACAATTACTAATCTATGTCTCGCAATAATGGACTTTTATACCAACTGTATGGTCATTCTGGGCACAAAGGGCAAGGGGAGTGATTGTCAAAAAAAGAGGTCATGGTGGGAAGCTCGTGGTGTGGCACTTGGAAATGAAATTAACAGTACTGTCAGGAGTTATCCGATTAGACCGCGTTTTCCTCGCTGCCATCAAAGTTGTGGGATTTCCGGGGGGGATCTGTACCAAAAATCAAATCACAACAAAAAGAAAGATTCAAAAACCTTATTCAGAAATTACAAAGAAGTAAAATAAGTATTGAAAGACAAGCAGAAGTGTTTCTGAGGCCTTACTGTTGCAGTGACCGTAGTGGCGCACTCCTATGGAGCGGCCCAGGAAGCAGGTGGCTCGGCGGAGGTGGCAGGCACTGGGGTAGGTGATGTTGTCGTTGCCGCAGATTGGCTGCTCAGATGGCATCGGGATTGGGCAAGGAGTTGTGCGGCACATGACGCAATGGGCGCTGTTTGTCTGGTCAGTCACACATGTGTGGGTACCTGGACACACCACATTGGAGCAGGACTCTGAAAGGAAGTAAAAAAAAATATATATTTGGCTTTTGTGTGTGTAACATTGTACTCAGAAAATAGCATAAACTATACAAATGTTTGCTTACTCTTGCAGTCTCCCTGGTACATAACCTCCAGGTCTGGGTGACCCATGCAGCGGGCCATCAGAAGAGAACACTCATCCTTATATGACTTTCCGTCGCTGCCGCACACAGCATGCTTCCGGGTAATGTGAGAGCAGTCTGGATTGCACACACACTGTGGTCTCCCCATCTTCATTTTGCAAACCTTTCCAGGACTGCATCTGACTCCCTCACATGTCTCTACAAAAGCACAGCCAGAGGTTTCATATGTGCGTGATCGCTGCACGATATCAGTGTAATGTTACTGTATTAACAAAACTGCAGACATCAGGTGATCCGCAGGCATTTTCATTCAAAACAAGCCCGAGATCTGGGGTTTTCCCAGACCATAATGTAATTTTCACCTGGCACAATATTTATAATAATCACATCTCTTTATTGACCGTTACACACAGGGGTGTCTCGCCTGGTGGAATGTGAGGCTGCTGTGTTTTCATAACAGATCTATGTGTACGGCTGCTCACAGACTGGGTTAAGCTCCTGCAGGGGGATAGAGGGGCTCTGAGGTAGATGGAGTTCAAATAACTGTCAGAGAAGTTTACTGGCTGAGAAGTGAGGAAGCCCCGGGCTCCTCCGATACCCTGTCGTGTCAAAGCAAAAGATGAACTGTAATCCTACACAGTGCAGAGGCAACTTCACACAATGCACACAGATCTCCTCCTGGGATCTTTCTGAGTCTTTGGAGATGATCTGCTCTCGGGCCTGAGACTGCTGTAAACAAAAAAGAACTGATTTCCTATTTCCTGTTTTTACCAGCGCTTCAATATCCTGTTTGGTCCAAAAGTTTTCTTTTTTTTTTTTGACTTCCCTGCTCAATCTTCATGTTGATTTCCATCTTTAACTTTCTTTCTCTCTCCTGTTGTGTACGCATTTTTTATGTTGATGATGTTTTCTTTCCACAGAATTCCAAATGATGCAGAAAGTGTTGCACATTATGAGTCCCAGACATCTGGGCATGTGGCAGCCTTTTATTCCAGCCTGCAGGAATGTATTTTCTTATTTTACCCATGAAGGCAAGCTGGGCTCCTTTTTAACTAGCTTCAGACAAAGTGAACACATAATGAGAGAGGGGAGGGTAAAGGAACAGGGGCTTGATTGTTCCAAATCCATTAATTGTCCTTGTGATATGGCTGTTTAGCTTTACGAGAACTTTTTTTTTTTTTAGGCTTTAATTACTGTGGTCTCTCAGCTTCTATGAATTTTATCTAAATGCAGCCCACCTTTAGTTTATTCCACCAATGTCAAATAAAAAATCTGGGTGTTTTCATAAAATACAATGTAATATATTTTTATCGACTTGGAGAAACTTGCAGTTTGGGGCCTATGATGGAATAGTACAAGTGTGGTTAATAAAAAGTGAATTTATTTGCAAGTGAACCTGAATGAACCTTGTAGAGATTTTCAGGGGGAGAAGCTTCTTAAGACAGCTGGGTGGAGTTAAGAGGAATGTGTCTCCTGAATCCACGTCTGCATTTTGTTAGAAAGCTGCACAGGGAACACATTGTGTTGATTCACAAATGGTGTGGTTCGAGTTAACTTTCACTCACTTCAGACGCGAAATTTATTTTGGTTCATGGAACATCAAATATTGAAGAAGTTAGATCTCATGTTGTGAGTCTGCAATTGATATTCAAGCAGCTCCTAAAAACCTTTCCTTAAAATTACATCTGACATAAAAATGGCATTGGCTTTTACTGGGGTCTGGTAAAACATTTTTCAGGATGTTTATTCACAGAGAGCCTGTTAAGAATTTGAGCTTAAGGCACCAAAGTTAATGTCTTGGATCCATGCGGTGACTAAGAGAACCCCACACGCAGTTATAAACAAAAACAAAACAAAAGAAACTGATCCAATCTTCTTGGCCGATCCGGCCGGTCACTTCTGTGAGGGGTTTGCTTGTTTACCTTTGCAGGGTTTGCAGGAGACGATTCCCAGGAAGCCCAGCAGGCTGACTTCATTCATTGGCAGGCTGGAGTTGGACCAGGCTGTGTCCAAACGACCTCCAGCACAGCACTCGTCTCTGGTCACTCCTCTCATCAGCACCATGTCACATCTCTGGTCCTGACTCTGCTGCAGCCAGCATATCCCAGCTGGAGAGAGGAGCACAAGTATACATGAAACAAGTCAGTTTGCCACACATATGTACAAATAATACATTTATATCAAATCATTCATTTAATGTGAATTAGACTTTATTAAGTATTATGTATTAGATAGCTGTCTTTTCATTAAGATGTAGTATGTTTTTAATATCATTATGAAGTGCTATTTCTACTAACAAGGTAATTTTGTTGTGGTTAATACTACACTTGTAAAGCAGAGCACATAGTATAACTTGAAAACTTGAAAAGAGATGCATACTTTGTAAAAAGGATGAGATAGATGGCATCTAAACAAATATAAACATATGGGAGAAAGAAGCTTATGAGTATCATAACTGCAGGGATTTACTTAGTCACTAAACTTTGGCAAAATATAAAATAAAGCCTACTCACCACTGACAGGATTTCTCCCAATCTGATAAAAGGAGAGAATCAAACAAAAAAAGACGATAAAGAAGCTCATTTTGTCCTTCAGTCGGTCAAAACTTCTCCTGAAAGCTGGTTTGAGTAGATATCAGTAAAAAGACGAGAAATTCCTCTGGCAAATACAGTGGATCACTCTAACTCTCCTCTGGAAGCAGCTCTCTCCCTTACGTGAATGAATGTGTTGTGGATAAGTGATGTCGTTCCCCCTCTGTATAAATATTTAGCCCAGATGGAATTATGCTGCTGGGATGGGCGATCCTCTCAGCCAGTAATAAGCCAGGGCAGGACACAGTTTGACTCTGACTCAATTTCCAGAGTCAGGAAATGATCCATGCCCTGCAGCGCCAGACGCTGGGCACTTATATGACCTCACAAAACTTTTTTCACACCGACCACACTACGTTCATTAAAGACTCATAAATCCTTGAAAAAAGATAAGAGTGAGGATGAGTTTTCATAACCTCGCTTCCAGAAAAACTTGATTTGTACAGGGAGTGATTTCATTAGCTCCTCTATTTTTTTATTCTTTTTTATTTTATTCTTTTTGGAAAACTACATTATTGCGTAATATCTAAATTTAACCTCATTTAAAGCAGTTCAATTTATGAGTTTTATCTACACTGACAGCTGGGTCTCAGATGTACTTTCTCGAATTGCCTTATCTCTCCCTTAAATGCGGCACAGCTCATAGACATTTATTTTCCTCAATTTCCTTACTGTTTGATCATTTTGTTTCCATCTAAGAGCTGCTCTGTGTGGTTTAAGAGGGGGAATTGGTCTACAGAGAATGAAAACGTAGGTCTTATATCTTATTTAAGTCAAACTGTAGTCTTTTAAAGTGGCCTAATACTGCGGCTCTGTAGTGATAACATGCAGAAAAGCAAGAATCACCACATTATAGATTATACAGTCACTTCTTAAGTAATTCTGAAAGTGGCTGTGTATTCAAAATATGTATTCAAAACGGCTTTTGAAGAAATAGTCATTTTCCTTTAAAAATAAATGTCACCTATTATTTTTTAACAGTGGTCTAGGTCAATCAGTGACAGCTAATACTTTTTTAAAAATTGCAGGGACGTTTATCCATCTGAGAAGCAGAGGTGTGGAAGAGAACATGGTCTTCTCTGGGCAAAAATCTGCATTTAATAATCACAACAGTGTTGAGGTTTATCAAGAACATCCATGTCTATCCTCTAACTCTATGATCAAGCATAGAAAGCTACAGCAAGAAAGACTAAGACATGAGAAACAGAGTAGATATATTGTGTGTATACTCCACCTGTTGACTAGAGGAGAAGGCATGTTTTTTTAACACCAACTAATCCACAAAAACCACTCAACTGGAGGTGGTTACTGACCAATCTGCGTTTTCATCACGTTTGATCAGAACATCTGCACAGCTCGTCTCTCTCCCTGCACTCATTCACCCTCTGACACTGAGAGGTATGCACTAATGCCAAAGTAATGAGCTGCTCCATCTGTCTGTCACCGATTTTATTTTATGTTCCCTTTTGATCGTCGGTGGGGAAATGAAGGTAGCATCTGCTGTAGTATCTGTGTCTTTGTGAATGATGTTCTCTTCTTCAGCAGAGATCCCCAGGAGACCGGAGGAATGCTGCCTGACCTAGGAGGGAAGGGGAAAAACGAAGAGAAAGCAGTGAGTACCGGCTGTGGGTGGCCTGCCTCCTCACTGGGACTCTGCAGATCCACTCAGCCCCTCATATGGTTTGGATCATCACTGCAGAACCATACAAATGAATACAGCATGGTGGGGACGTCGGAGAACTCACTATGTATGATCTTTATTAGGGTGCAGCTTACTGTGTCCCATCTTTGAAAAATATTGGTCTCTTTCAAGTGGCAGGAATCTGAGGGGTAGCGTGAAATTTAAGGAGCATCATGGTCAGCTGTGTCGAATGTGAAATAGAACGAATGCATCTTTGACAAGGCAGGTGAGGAGTTCAGTCTAACATACTGTACATAAGCCTATTAATGAAAATGGCAAAATCACTCCTGCCATCTAGTGGATAAAAGAGCAGAATTAGTTACAACTCCTGGAAGAGAAGAGTTAGGCTTCTGTGTCTCATTTACATTAATGATCAAACTCTGAGTTTATCTGTTCACATGTTTTTAATCTCAAAGAAAGCTCATTGGGAAAAATTGAGACAAAACTGGACTAGTAGATATTGTGGTAGCATCAACACACGATTATACAGTTTGGCCCGAATACTCACACATACCAGCTGCTTACTGAAAAAGTTTGATCAGCTGGTAAATTAACTTTAACCTTTATCTTTGTTCAGTTCACTTCAGACAGATTTGAAGCTGAGGTCAGCTAAGTTAATAGGGTGGCTGTAGCTTTAAAGGCACAGAAAAAGGCAGCAAGAAATAGACTGCACTTGAAAGCGACAATTTTCAAACTTATCTACTTCTATATCCCACTGAGCATTTTTTGGTCTAAAACAGGTCTAATAGAAGTCTAAATGTAGCCTAGACGACTGGTCTAAAATCAGGCTACCACAGGTCTAAAAATGAAGTTTTTTAGACCTGTGGTTTAGACGTCTAAATTTGGACCAAGTCTAAATCTGGGCTATCTCCATCTATCTATCATAATTATCTTGGTTAAGTACTTGGAGATCACTTATGCAACTCACAGTTGCTATTTGAAATAAATAGTTATCAAATAATTGGTTAAAGTGCAACATCTAAATTCTGTCTAAAAATATACAGAATCTAGACGGTTGAAAGAAGGTCTTAAAAAAAACCAGACGTCTAATAGCCCTTTATTAGTCAGTGGGATTGCTATGTATTGAACAAGAATACCAGCCTAAATTAAGCCAAGCTAAACTTTGATAAGCCGATAGTGGACCAACTGCATAAATTGAAATTAGTATTTATCAAAACAAGCTGAAGTCGAAGTGGGTGGTGATGGTGTACTGGAGTGTTATACAGTAATGTGTTTGTAATATTTTCTCCATTTCATGTACATTAAGGAGGGGAGCACAAAATCAGGAACACCTTTCCTGCTTCTATGATATCGATCCATGTTGCACAACTCTGAGTCAACACTGTATAGTTGTAAGAGCAGCAATTACAAACAATGACCAGAAGAGGTCGCCTCTCTCCTGTATATTAATCTTGCATCCTCTCAGTAGCCCTTGTATGTTCAACCCTGCAGCCCTCTAAACTCACCATTAGTCCCTCCCTCCTGATGTAGAGCTTGTTAGCCTTTAATTATAAACATCAAACTGGTCCGAAATTTCATTTCGGGCCAATTTTCTTCAAGACACATTGATCATCTTTAAGAGGCAGAAGTGATAACTGTCACATGGCCTGCCCTGGCTGAGGCTTGTCTCATGAAGAGCTAAACTGTTGCAACATGAGCGCTACATTTTGGAGTTAAGTTATCCTATCTTCAGTTAAGTTTTACTTCTGGTTATCAACATAAACGTTTATTTTTAGGTGGACTTTTTATTCAAGTTTTTCTTTTATGTTGCTTAACGGTTTATAAAAGGCTTGCAGCTTCTCCCCTTAAGTGACACTGATCAAATGGTACTTATTTGGTAAGTAGGTTAAGTAGGTTTGTTTTATTGTAAAATAAGCTTTTCCCTTTTTATTTTTGACTTTAAGAGGGTAAACGTTTATTTATTACTGTGAAATCAAAAGGCATTACATGTTTCATTGCAATTAAATAATCACTGGGGAGGAAATAAGTACTTCCATGCTTTTATAGTCCACCCACTGCACTAACTGAAGTCATAGTGCCAGTGTGCACGTCACATGGCTAAAGAGAGCTCAGCACCAGTAATTGCTTTGTCTGCCCAAGACTGGTTGAAAGCAGTTGCATCATCTATCCACTCAATTTAGTCCTAATGTGTGTTACTGATTGAACCGGCAATGAAGGCAGGGAAAGTGACAGGGCTGGATAGAATCACCCCCTCTGTCCCCCCTACACACAACTTTCCCCCTCCTCTCCCACCTCACCCTCAGCTCTGTCTTCTCCACTTCCTTCCTGTCTTTAGCGCTGCCCATGTGAAGTCCCTCCAGCAGTTCATTAATGGGCATGGTTAATGTCGGCGCACGCGCTGCTCGTACAAACACCCCTTCCTCTCTCCCTCACATACCCCCCCTCGTTCCCCACCTTGTCACCTTTTCCGCTCTCTAAAGCCCTCTTACTGTGTAATCAGAGCAGGGTACCGATGTGGTCGTGACTGTGGGTCTCCCTCTGTGTCAGACTGACTGCCATTTAGCTCCGGATCTGTGTGCCTTTCCAAATCCCCCGGCTTGTCCCCAGAGGGCAGGAATTACCCCTGGTGTTCATCTTCCCTGTAAACGCCTCGTACTTCTGTATTTATGAAGGCTTATATAAACCCTCAAGTGTTTTCAATCAACTTGATTTACAGACTTTTACTGACCTGAAATCTCGGCTCTCAACAGCTGTCAAAAAAAAAAAAAGTACACAATCTTCAAAAAGAGTTTTCACATGAAAATCTAAAGTTTTCTTAAAGTTGCAACTTCTGTCAAGTTGATCTAAAAACAATGCAATAGCTAGTAATTCTAACTAACTGTATTTTAGTGCTTTTCCAGCTATTTAGTCATCATATTAATGACAACTCCTCCAACAAACAGCACAACAAATGCAATCTCCTTCTAATTATTGTCAAACCGTGTGATGGAAGTATCTAATATTCACTTTTATGGCCAATAACTGGAGATGATTTCCTTGGTAAAAAAAAATTCACATATCCTCATCAGGATAGGTTTTCTGGTAAATTCTTAACTGCCTTACTTACTGGTAAACTATTGTGTGTCAGAGATACAGAAAATCATGGTACAGAGAATTAGTTTCCTGTGTTTCAAGCTCCTTGGTGTGTTATGATTTCAATATTGCATATCAATTATTGGAAATGTATTTTAATTTCCCAGCATTGTGAAAAAAAAACAAATGCTTATTGAAGCTGTCAATTGTACTAACTTGATTTTTCTTTTCCAGTTAATCCGCACTGGTCCTTCATCTTAACTGCATTAAACATGAAAGCTTTTCCACATCCTACTACTCCCACCACCCTCCAATATTAACCTAAATAAATCAAATGAAGGACACAAATACCACAATGGAGCATTTCAGTATGATCCAGTTATAAGCAGGGTAAGTTTAGTGACATCCACACTGAGTTCCAGCTGTTTCCTGTTCACAGCTTTTCCATGACCATATTGGTTTACATGCTCTGTCTGTCCTTTCATTTCAGCTAATATACCAGCAACCATCTGCCGTCTTTACACTTCATTTAGCCTCGTGTTGCTATCAGAGCTCATGTCTAGCAATAGTGTTGATCAGAACTCGTTCAAATCAGCCACATTTTTTCCTGGTAATTTGTTTGCAACTCGATATGACTCACTTACTGTGGGCAGGCTGCCACAACGTACTGTAGTCACTTCCTGGATTCCGAATGCAACCTGCCCTACATAATTATGCAATGTGGTCAGGGAAAAAAGTTTGAGAATATCTGATGAGGTTTAATAAATGTAGAAAGTTTACAAGAATAGAGGTAATCTTTTACGACTCCCAAAAGTCTTTATGATTATCCCTCCTCCTGTGTTAGGGTCTGCGGTGACCCGTTTTTGATTTTAAATGCTTAAAAGAACCACTTCAATTAGCTTTTTGCATCAAGACTTTTTAACCTCTATTTCAACTAAATAAAAATAAAAAAATCAAAGTGACTAAACTATAAAATGCTCTTTTTAAAATTATGGCACTTGT